TAGTAGGTTTGTAAACGTTCCTTTCCTAGTCAGTTAATACTATCCATCTGTGCTGGAGTTAAAATATGTTTGATCATTATATGGTCATATATCCCATTGCATTAATTCCTGGTCTGATGAGTCCTTACTGGAAAAATTAATCATAGGCTGTTCACAGTCTGCAGACGTTATGAATATTTAGCCAATTCTTCTTGAAGTGAAAGGAAATACTGTCATTCTGAAGCTTCTACTGATTCACAAAGACTTAAGTTGAAAAGTTTTAGAACTGGGCTACACCTATTACGACACTACTGCAGGGAGATTTAAAGACACCAAAAATCTGCAGTGATTACCGCTTAACAGTTAATAAGTGACTACTAGAGCAAAGTTGCACTTTTACACATTACGTGGTTTGAAATGCTTCACTACGATAGACCCACAAGACGTACATTAACAAATTCTTCTTTATCAAGTCTCTGGTGGACTGACCACCAATGAACTTCCATTTGGCATAGCTGGGTATAAATAGTCACGCTTTAGGTCAAAAGTATCACGCGCTACAGTTCAAGAAGTTGCTAATCACATGATTGCTGAATAAGGAGCTGTTGAATCATGTCATACTCCATGATTCTAACATTTATTAGAATAATGAGTGCTTTGGTGAGTTTTTCAGGTGTTAATGTGATAAAAAATCAAGCACTTAGTCCATCCAAACGTCAAGTTGACTTGTTATCTGTGTTGTCCTTAGGATACAATTTTGAAATCAGTGGTTTAGTGCGTCAGATATTCCGTCTTGCCACACTGATTTAAGTACTTCCAAGGACAAATACTTGATTTTTGAGATCTGTAAGATTCATTCTTAACTTCATACGATTATTGGCACGCTGTTACGTTGCACTGCTCGTAATCGACTCCCTAGCCAGTTAGTTGGTCTCGTATTCGTGGGTATATAACAAGCCCGAATAATTAGTGATCGGTCTTTGAGTCTGTCAAGTTCGCACCAGAACAACTCCTAAATTGACGAACCCGACGTGATCACATATCCCGACTAGTAACAGATATTGAATTGGTGAGCCTGTTCCATCTTATATTTGTATATTTTTTTCATTTCGATAACATTCATATATCCATTTACTACACCTTCTCATGTCCGACCATACTACCAAGCTTATTCGTATTAAGCCAAACACGAACACTACCCAACTCGTGCCATATTGGCCAGACAATGCGGAGACATGGTTTCTGTATGCCGAGGGAGATTTTCGAGAACAGGGCGTCTCAGATCTTCATTCTCGATTTCTTGCCGTCATACGTTCAGCACCGCTGGAATTAAACAGGTATCTTACAGCGCACATGTTTACTCCTGAAGTCAGTGATCCTTGTGCACTTCTCAAGGCCGCACTCTTGAAGAAAAGCGATCTCACAGATCGCCAGCGCCCAGACGAATTACTTCATAACATCGAGCTAGGCAGCCACTCAGCTACTGAAGTCCTTGCACACATGCGAGAAGTAATCGGTGCACGAACATTCGACAGTGGCCTTTTCCGAGAACTATTTCTCTCAAAACTACCACAACCGGTGCAAACCGTGTTGGTGACACTGCAGTCAGTCCCACTCGATGAACTGGCCCCCTCGGCAGGTAAAAAAACTGGAGATTTCCAGCGGACCCGTCTCCAACGTATATTCTGTCTGCGATAAACCAGAGAGCCAGGATTCAGAGGTGACCAGGCTGTGCAACTCTGTTAAACACTTGCTACGATCTCGAAGTACTAGTTCACGTAGAACCCCACAGAAACGCGTCTTAGTGCATCGCAGCAACTCACGTGGTTGCCCCAAAACTAAACCTAACAGGGTGGAAAACCCCAAATGGTGCTGGTTTCATAATACTTTCGGGGACGAAGCCAGAAAATGTCGGAAACCATTCAGTTTTAACAAGAGCGCAAACTCGGGAAACGGTCACGCCGACACGTGTTCATGGCAACCGTGGTCGGCGGAAAAAGCCATTTGCCTTACGTCACCGACATAAAAACGAAAGTTCGCTACCTCGTCGACACCGGCGCAGGAGTAAGCGTTCTCCCCGCACCGGCAAAGGAGCGTCATCATGACCCATCCTTCAATCTCCAAGCAGCCAACGGCAAGGTAATTGTGACATTCGGGGGACAGTATGCCTACCTCACATTAGGTTTGCGCAAACCCACCCACTGGATTTTCCTCCTGGCTGACGTCTCTATGCCCATCATTGGCATAGATTTGCTGAACCATTACAATCTACTCGTAGATGCTAGCCGTCGACGTCTGATAGATAACAACACGAAGTTATCTATTGGCGGTACCACCTATGTAAGTCCGAGTTTGGCCATCGTTAGAACCAAACAATCAGGCGACGCGTCCTACCAGGCAGTTTTGGAGAAATATACAGAGTTGCGACAACCGAAACACACTCCTCCGTGCATAACCAGCAATGTTATGCATTACGTGACAACCACAGGTCCACCTGTGGCATCCAAAGCGCGCCGTTTAGCCCCCGTCAAGCTCAAAACGGCGAAAAGCGAGTTCGACCACATGCTCGAACTGGGCATTATCAGACCATCAAACAGCCCTTGGGCATCACCACTGCACATGGCTCCCAGGAAGAATAGCGACGAATGGCGTCCAAACGGTGATTACCGAAGGCTTAACGCCAAAACAACACCGGCAGATAGCCCAACTATCGAAATCCTTGAAGATGTGCCTGGTAATGCACAGTTACAACAACCATCAGCGCAATAGGAAACACGATCAGGTCGAGCCGTCAGGTTCTCGGAATACTTGAAGTAGTATTCAACTTAGCGATGTGAAATAAGATGTGCCAACGATATTTTTTTTCAATTCAGTTTTTTTCTGGGCACCTTCTTCATTATTTACCAGCAGTGAAAAACTCCTCGTACATTTTGCCATTTTATATCAATTTTTTATTACCATGTAATGGAACTTCTTTTTAAAGAAAAACGGTGAAAATAAACGTGAACTTTATTTTCGATATATATATATATATATATATATATATATATATATATATATATATATATATATATACAATTACCATTTTCACGAGGCTTTTTCGTGGTATTAAAGACCTTCATTTATATTCCAGGTGCAACGAGCACTGGACGGAACGTCAAAGGAAGCTGAGGACCGCGATCGACGTACAGTTTGATTTATTGTAATTTATTTTTCAATTGCCACGACACCCTAGAATAAGTTCAGACAACCAGGGGCCACTTCATGCAGTGAGCCCATCGGAAGAGTTTTACCAGTGGAGAAACTGCTGTGTTTTTACTTCCGGCTGGTATCGTCTTAGGGTCCTCACGGACCCACTAGGGGAGGAGTGATCTGTAGCATCACACTTCCCCAAAATCAATAACCTGGGGTTCCACGACACTCGACATTGATGCTAACCTTGATAGTTTAACTGAACTCGCTAAGCTGAAGGCACCCGGTCAAGCATCCTCGCCATTCGGCACGCTGCCGTGTTACGTTGCACTGCTCGTAATCGACTCTCTAGCCAGTTAGTTGGAACGCATCGGAATCTTGGCACAACCATCCAAATATACTATTCCATCCAACTACGCTATCGTGTTCTTCCTTGGTCTCGTATTCATGGGTATATAACAAGTCCGAATAGTTAGTGATTGGTCTTTGAGCCTGTCTAGTTCGCACCAGGACAAATCCTAAGGGCTCAACTTTTCCGTCACCTTGAACACCAGCTTTAGCTATGGAGTCATGATAACCAGATCGAACGCCATTTTGCAGTTTCTGGGTGGACAGCTTGGTGCCCTCACCTCGAACTCTTCTCACCGTTTTCAAATCCTACGCACGGCCTCATCTGGAGGTCTTCAATGCGGTCGCCCCCAAAACTCAAGAGAGACTCCAATCTCCTCGAAAAAATGCGAAGGACTGAAACAAAATGAGTTGTGGGGCTGAGGGGGAAGGCAAATCCTGAGAAACGTAGACACCAAAGCCTATTCACCTTGGGTTATCATAGAAAGAGAGGCGATCCCATTGTGGCCTACAAGATCACCTATCAGGCAAACCACGCAAACAAATCAATCTTACCTGAAACACAGTGGTCTTTACGAGAAAACCCCACTAAGATAGCACGTCAGAGAGCCAACACCATATTTAGATCCAATTTCTTCTCTCTCCAACTTCCTGTCGCCTTACGGAATGCCCTGCAGCGGCAAGTGGCGTGGCCTTCTCAGTCGACTCTTTCAAGAGGCGGCTGGATAGTTATGTCACCTCGCATGGTCTACCGCGGACGTACTCAGGTAGTCACCAACCTCACCAGCCCACCCTCACCTCTCTCATGCCTACCGCTCACTGCCTCACTCCTCAATACACCCACAATACCCACTAATTTTCCTAAGGGAATAGACCTACGCCATCTATTTTTACTATTCGGGCAATGCCCGTGTACTTTTTTCTGTCTTTTACTTCTTCTCATTATCCCCCTTTTTTCTTCCTTTTATTTCTTTTTTTCCTCCTTTATCTTCCTTCGTCTTTTTTTGCGTTTTTCCTCTCTATTGTTTTCATTCTTTACTACTACCTACACAGACAGCAGCCACCGCCCCAGCAACCTGTAGCTCTCCAATCACCTTACAAATTACTACCTACTAACCCGCGAAACATCCACCCCACCGAATCTAAAAGGAAGAGAGCAGAGGAAATTTCTCCATCCACTGCAGGAGTGAACCGAATAACTCGAACCAAGCTCTCAGAACTAGACACGAGAGATCAAAAACTATCAGCTTTCTACGCTTGAACTATCAATATTGGATTTCGGATTAGAAATAAGAAGCAGTCCTATGTACCTAAAAGTAATCTTCGGAAAGAAGAGGTGCAGTCATAAAATTTGTATTTTTGAAAACAACGCACTAAATAACAATCTTTTGATCGGTCTTGAACCCAAGCTTAAGTTTTCTAATAGTAACTAACACTTTAAAAGACCTTGACATCTATTCTTTTCCACACAATCAAATGTGGTTTTCACAGCCTTTTTAATGGAAAATATTCAAGAGTCAGAAACCTGAGAATGATTTTGTTCAATCTTCAATTGGCAACATAATATTAGACATCCTAATCAACTGTATGCGTTTCTTTTGAACGTATGTCTCACCCTGGCGACAAGTTAGTTGTCGTTCTTATTTACAGTATTTCTACCGTAACAGGTTTGACTGGTATCAGTCTGAATGTAATGTTTGTATCAATTATCTTAGAAAGAATCTCAAGCCATCTGATGTTAGGGTAGAAATTGGAGACAAATCGGTGAGATTTCCGACAAAGTCACATAGGTTTTGAAATAGGTTACATTGTTCCTTACCACGCCGCTGGCAATGAGTTGCTTAAGGGTTTCCATCTAGCTCATCCAGTTGTTCCAGAGAAGTCATCTTACCGTGTCACATCTATGAAGGTTGAAATTCAGTTGAGAAAGGCAACGGAAGTCAGGTGGAGTAATCTCGAATCCCAATGCCTGTCCAGTGGATCTAAAGTTCGTAAGTGGAATCCGTGGGGTGCTTTACAGTTTTCGGAGTCAGCCTAAACTGGTTTGTTTTTCTGCATGCTCGTAGTTTATTATTATTCTGTTTTATTATTTAACCTGCTGTGAAACGAGAGGATTCTTAGTAAGGAATTAAATTTGCATTGCAATTTTGAACTGTTTCCATACGGTCGTCTCAGCAAACGTAACTACAAATACAGTGAAGCCTATTTTTGTAATTGTCTTGATTGAGCGTAGATAGAAACCGGTAGATTTATAGTCTCACAGTCTTTCAGCAGCTATTGAAGAACTTTAAAGTAGGCAGTTGAGCTTAAAATGACTGTGATCGTCTTAGGAAGCGTTGGATTACTGAAAGAACGTCGCTAAATATAGACAGACCAGTGCACCTTTTTTTATACTTTCCACTACATTGCAGGGAATTATTTTCCAAGTTATTGTCCCACATTATTTGCTAATTATGGAGAAGTTTTCCGATTTTGGAAAGAACTGGGGGCAGGAATTCCATATTAGACTACGCTTTACGATAAGATTGCAGGCTTTAAAATCTAGTCAAAAGCTTTATTTTAACTCCTTAAACCCTGCCATTAAGTTCCAAGTTAGTTCGCAGCATGCTTCCAGTCAAACGTAACAAAGAAACAGCAAGTAGGCATTCTTTTAAGCGTGGTTATTTGAAAGTCCTTAAAGGGACGGCAATATTCCTGTTCCAACGAGAAACCTAGTTCTTCAAATATGCAATGTCTCACTGTCTATTCGTCCCTACCTTTTGCCTTCTGTATGAGTCGCTCAAGAAAAGTATTTCATCCTAGTCGAAAACTTGGGCAAACCTCAGAAATAATCATTTTAGACAGCAAAGTAAGACTTCATGTTAAGGCAAGTATGTTACAGAAGAGAAAACTAAGTGGTGAATTACTTGTTTATTATTTTAAGAAAATTAGGTTAGTAAACACGTTACTAAAATCAGTTTATCACAGTATGGAGACTCCGCATCTTTTTGTGTTGATGATTTTAGTTAATCGTATGAGATACCTCTAAATACCTCCGAAGCTTATGTAAACCAATGAGAGTCTGTAATTGCTGACTGATTTATCATTGACATTGATTACTGTGTCAGTAAGCTTATATGTCAACAGAAAAAGAGCTTTAACTCCTTTGTGCAACTTAAGAACTTTTATGGGTTATAAAATTCATCGCTTCCAGTCTTTTACCTCAACCTCGCCTGGGTAACTAGTTCACTAGTTACTACCCGGTCCTAAGTCCGGATAAAGAGGGAAAGTTTGGCATAGGGCTAGCAACCCTACCCCATAAAACCAATCTAACCGCTAAAGAAACTTCAAAGCACAAAGAAAATATAAAAAGTAAAATTAAACTTATTCCTCGCCGATCAAATTGCAACGCTACGCATCATCATAGAACAGAGCATAGAATGGCAGTCAACTTCCTACCTCAACTTCATCGATTTTTAAAGGCCTGCGATAGCGTCGACCGAGAAGTAATTTGGAAATCGCTTCAACACTACGGTGTTAATGCCACTAACCTTTTTCAACTTCATTCAACAGCTATATGAAGACGCCACGTGCCAAGTGATTCACAATGGAAGGCTCAGTGACGCCTTTGAAGTGAAGACAGGAAGGAGTAATACAAGGTTGCCGGCTATCACCGATGATCTTCCTGATCATGGTGTACTGGATCATGCAGCAAACGGTGAGGAGCGACAAGATGGGCATACTCTGGACCGATGAAAAGAGCCTAGAAGATTTGGATTTCGCCGATGATTTATGTTTAATGTCGCGCAAACTCGAAGACCTACAGGCAAGAACCAACAAGTTAACAGAGGAGGCAGGGAAGGGAGACGGGACTTCAAGTGGATGTAGAGAAGACGAAGGTGATGAAGATACCCAACTAACAACAACAAGCACCAATCACCATTAACGGGAGAAACCTAAAGGAAGTTATCGCATTCACTTACCTAGGCAACCACTGGTGGCACGGATGAGAATATCAAAGCCGTGATCGGAAAAGCAAGACAGGCGTTTATTAATTTGGAACCAGTGTGGAGATCGACTGCATTCAGCATAAAGCGTGAACAAGATGCCGATTTTCAACACTAAGGCAGTCAAGTCAGTGCTTCTATGTGATGGTTCAGAAACTTGGCGCGTTACAAAAATCATTTCCAACAAACTGCAGACATACCTCATCAACAGCTCCCTACGCTTGCTCGATACTGAAGACCAGATGGCCAGAATAATAAGAATAAGCAACAAGAAACTCTGGGAACGAACCAACCCGGAACCTACCACCCAATAAATATGCAGAAGAAAGTGGAGATGGATTGGGCATACACTGAAAAGACCGATTGGGGACATCACGCGTCAGGCCCTCTAGTGGAACCCAAAGGGAAAACGACGAGTTGGTCGTCTGAGCCGAGGGTGACATGAAGAGATCGTGTGAGGAAAAAATGAAAGGTTATAGGCAGTTGTGGAGCCAGGTTGAAAAAACTGCAGAGAAGAGAGTGCAACGGAGACGTGCAACTGAAGCCCTGTGTTCCACTATGAACCTAAAGGACAAATAATAATCTTGTACCTCGTTGGCCTTTTCTTTTGGAACTTAACATCAATGCAATTTGTTATTGTTTTCGTGTAACTTATTGAATTTAATTTCCTTGAATAAATAGTAGTTGTCGTTTAATTGTTCCTTTCACATACATAGTGAATAATGTAATACTTGTAGCTTAACTCGGTATTGGTTTTATGTACTAGGATATGAACCACCACCACCTTTACTGTTCAGGTCTGTAGTACTAGTGGGCTACGTAGATCGAAGTATTTTGGGCAGGTCATAATTTGATACTTTTGGAGCGAGAATGTACCGCTTCAGTCAGTAAGGCAGACCTATGGTAAGTATCAGATTGGTATCCATCAGTTGCTATAACTCCCCATATTTATAAAATGAAAAATCCTTAAGAATCACTAATCAAAATGACAGTTAAGAACCCTATCTTAAAACAAGGCTGTCTTATTTTTCACTTTTCATGACTTACCTATTAGTCCCTTTTGGCTCAGTAGTAAGTCAAAAAGAAGCAGAAATGATTGAAGTAAGATATAGATGTTAGTGAACTAGACTATGAGTCCCATCTGTTGCATGAAGACTTATGGTGCTAGCCGGTTGCTCAGATCAAGGTAGGTGGAACGGATTTCCAACCGGGAACTCATTGCTTGAAGGTCAAGTCTTTGGGCCCATGAGCTATATCTCAACTGTCAGACTAAACCATATGGTCAGTTGGAGGCCACCTAATATTAATCACTCCCATAATAGAAATTATTGGTTACAGAAATCCTTTTTGACGTAACTGAAAGTCGATCCATTCATTTATCAACTGTAAAGTCTTGGTTATCTTAGTCTTCACTTTGTTGTCATTTGATTTGTGATTTGTACCTTTGCAGGTACTATGTGGCGACTTAAAGTGCTGCACTTCTATTTGTTATATCCTTCACGTTTCTGAGACCGCCACATTTTCCACGTTTTGTGGTATGTGCTGGTTCTACTCGCAGCCCCTACGTATGAAAATAATGGGATATCACGTTATTTGTTGTGGTCTACTTGTATGTTTTTCTGTTTTGGATATTAGTGACATCGTTGAATCAGATGCTTATACTTTGTGATTCATGTTTCAGACAATTCTCAAGATGTCACCAAAATTGTTCATTCTTATCCATCTTCAAGCAAGTTTTCACATGACTGGAATAAACTCGAGAAAGAAGCAGCTGAAATCGAGGATGAAGAAGACCCACTAAATAAGCTGTTTAAAAATATATATGCAAATGCCTCTGATGAGACGAGAAAAGCAATGGTAAAAAGTTTTGTAAGTTTTCCCTCGCTTTTTGGTTTGTTTGATGATCTGTAGGTTGGTTAAATTCAAGCATATCTAAAGTGTTGCTTCTTAATCAACAGTAATAACTAAAATAGCGTAGAGAATCTCATGGCTGCAATGTTTTTCATGGAATATAGAATCTTCAGGAGTAATCATTCTCATAACAAAAGTGACAGTTTACACTTTATTACTAGGCGGAGATTAAATCAATTTGTATCGTCATGCCCACCCCCCTCCCGAAGAAAAGCTGCGCAATGAGTCAGAGAAGTGTTTCTGTATTAACTTAAGTTTCAAAACACTGATTTATAAAATTCCAAGGTGTGGGTAGTCATGAACTGCCAGTCCTTCTCACACACCTCTCAGCAATCAAATTTCTCCAATTTGTGATCAACCTACCTAATCTTTACCTTCTAAAATTTCTTCACATCTCTTTCCCAGTATTCTTACATCAACTTCATTTACTTCCGGCTCTATAGCTCGCGACAATGACTGGAGTTCAGTTAACATCATCCCTGGTCTCCTGAAATCGTAAATCAAGCTACATATCAGACCTTTCACTGTCCGTATTCCTCCTCAAATCGGTCGGGAAGCTTCTCTACCCAAAACTCTGGCATCTTGGGCCGTGGACGTCTGGTGTGTCCGCGATACACGCATGCAGCATCCAAGTATAATTATTTTACCTCAACAGACCAATACGGTTAAACTGGTGAAATTTATCCTTCAAGTTTTTAGGGATTCGATGCCTAGTTTTTACAGGCTTGTAGGTGTAGGTAAAAGATTGAGTACACTGTTTGGCTGGATTCCATTTGGCAGTTGCCTACAAGATGTTAGACGAATGGTGCAATCTTCGATGTCTTTGTAATATGTGTTTACGAGCTCACTGACTGCAGCTTGGATGAAGTGAAAGATGCGTTCTACCCCAAACTATCTAGCATCCTACTGATAATCGAGTGTTCAGATGTCTTTTTTGTAGCGAATGATTTCAATGCAAAAGTGGTTAGGCTAAAGCAGACAGAAACATCCGTAGGCAGCACTTTTAGAATTCCTGCTAAACAAACGTGTATTAGAGATTGTTTACTACAACTACTCAGACAATCACCTACCTCTGACCAGCACGAACTTCAGACATGGAGACAGACATTGTCTGATGTGGTTTCAATCGATCTAAGCTCAGCCATAGACATAGATAGGCCATATCGCCATCGGTTATCTCTGTATAGGATAGGTGGAAGATTCCTGTTCCTTCTAGAGCACATGTTTGAACAGTAATCACGCACTAGCTCAAGCATACTTATGTTCGCACCCACATGAATGTAGAAAGGCTTTGGCTGCAAGACATTTCTCAACTCTGCTCTGTGGTGAGACTACTTAAGCTGCTTCCAACGAGGAAGCAGATAGACAGCTTTTGGAACAGAATAAGATCACTTATCCTAAAGGAGCTTGGGTCCATCTGTAGTCAGCTGAAAAAAACAGTATTAAAGACCGCCGGAGACCCTCGAAAAAATGTCTAGAAAGGGTCAGTGAATTTCAACAGCTTCCCAATTAATGGATGCATGTAAACAGATTCACGTATGCTCTAAGCATAGTGAGGAGCGGAATCAGTTCAAATGTAGACTGTCAGTGAGTCTACACAATAACCGTTAAATGATCTGTACAGTGAAGGGTAAAGAGATGGGAGATACAGCGGTGATATGTGACACCAGGCAGTGTTTCAAACTCATTAAGGAAACTGAAATGACTATGATGTGACTGTAGTAAAGAAGGATGAGTTCACTTGTGAAAGGATCAACTGGAAAAGTGGTGGGAACACTTCGAGGAACGTTTGAAATAGCCTCCAGCTAGTCTTTGGTTGTGCGCTTTCCAACTGGTCCATGGATGAAACAGGTGGGTTTTCCAACTCTTTCAGAAGTTGAGATGGATGTAAATGATCCAAAAGGGAGGTAGGGCATCACGCCCTAATGGGTTTATATAAGAGGTATTTATGGGATAGTAATCGAGGATTATTAGTTAGACTAAGTCGTTAGCTAGTGTATAGAAATAGTATATAGTTGTGTAATTGTCCTCATCTTTCAAAAAAGGAGCGAATTCCTCCTGAGATAACCACAGGGTAATCATTTAGACAAGCATAGTGTCTAAAACCCTATGCTATGTAGTGATTAGCCGTATAAAAAGCTCAAGAACAGTAAAGTCGGAAGAACTAGACACGTTTCAGACCTGATTAGGAGTGTATCCTTTAAAATAAGTTGTAAGCTGTACTTAGTTGCGACTCCTGAGCTTTTAGCAAGTAATAACACAAGTATGGTATCGTAACCATTTGTACAAGTAAGTTGGCTGGTAGTCTAGTGGATAAACGGGTTCGGGGTTGAACTACACTATTTGTATTGCTATTTGTTATAATGCAATCGTACTTGTTTTTTTATTTACCAGTACCTCATACCGTTTTTAGCCAAATGTAATTATTAGCTATATATATCTACCATTTTCTGCTCTGTGGTCAACAAGAAATTTTGTCGACCAGCCAAGTAAAATAATTTTTCTGTCATATAGTTTTCTGTACTAGTAGTTTAGGTACATTTGGATATTACACTAATTTTGCGAAGTTGAATTGGATTACATGAATTTTTTCAGACCGAATCGGCTGGAACGGTACTTAGTACCAACTGGAATGAAGTTGGAACAGGAAAAGTGGATATGAAACCTCCGGATGGAATGGAATATAAAAAGTATGAGATGTAACGTTGACTGCTGTTAGCTACTCTGTACTTATGAATATTTTTCAATGGAAATAAAGCACATTCATATTGATAACTTGTGTTGTATGTCTGTCAATTTATATTTTATGATGAAAACAGAAAAAGTTGATGATTTTAGATCTTGTTTATCTTAAACATTATAGACAATTCTTCTCATATTGTTCCATAAGTCTAACAGTTTTTGAGTTGGCTGGTTGAAGAGCATAAAACGGACCTATGACTTGCACACTATTGGTCCTCTTCGTATGCATTCGTATTTGCGATAATATTTCTTCAAGCTTTATTAGTAAGTTAACCTTACCCACTGTCTTAGGAACTTAACTTGAAAGCAATGGATTTCGTATTCGAACCCCTCCCCCCCCTCACTTATTTTGACCAGAAAACCTGTTAATATCGTAAGTCCTCACATAACAGGTGTGACTCATAGCCTAGTACACGGGCATGCATGAAGTTATGTCATATTACTTTTATCATTAGTGGCAGTATTATTAGGATATAGTTCGATCCAACATGGAGACCCAGAAAACAGAAGTGAGAAAGTAAACAAAAGCCGGTTGTTCAAGAATTTCCAAAAATACATCCGAAGGAGTATTCACTACTGATTATTATTGTTATTACTAACCTAGAAGAGCAGCACTTGGTGATAATAACTTGGAAATTTCAGTAATAAGTCTTGCCATAAAGACAAATTGATGTAGGACCTTGCACACGATTGCATCAGTTTATGGTATGACACTTCACTCAGAGAAAAAGTGGGTTAGTGAGAATGATATTAAGGCAAACGAAAGTATATTTGGGAAAAAGAGAGCATAAATAACTTTCCATCCCTATTCGTTTGTTGCATATCTAACAAAATGAAACAGTACTATTTATCGAATGAAATTCTTATTTACGTAAATGAAGTTTAATAACATATTCGATAATTAGAAAAAGCGAATGCTTTGCGCTATTGTGATCGATTTCGAACTATATCTTGCAGCTTCCAATGAGGTGTTGTATACGGCTTCCAAACTAGCCAGAGACTTCGTTAGTTGATTTTATGCTTTGGTAGACGACGACTCGGAAGGATTAGCACATGTCTACGCCACATCATCAGCCATTGCGAATTCATAACTTCATCCACTGACTTTTGTGCGCCCAGTACTTGATGTCTAGTTTCGACACTACTCACCGTGATTCGACCATGTGTGGGCAATTCTCCGGTGATACTCGTGATCGAAAGCTTGTAGTTTCCCTATCGCATTTTGGGTATACAATGGGACTTCAGTTGGAAATTGTTCGTCGCTTAAAAATATTTCCCTTCGCCAAAATCAAGAATAACGACTATGTTTCTCTATGCGTAAATTAGGCAAGACTTAGTAATCTTGTGTACTGTAACACTTTTGTACTATATTTTATGCCACTAAAAATTATGCCTTTCTGGATGGCGACTTTTCGTAGTTATTAATAATGCCAACATTTTGTGAGAAATAGGGTGTAACAAGTTTTTCAGTTTGGTTGGTCTAGATTCCGAACAACAGTAGTTTATGGGTACGTGATACGCTGCATTATTACTTTAGTTTGTCCTTCATACTTATTTCGAGTTGCAATTCTCTAGGCGATATTGTACACAGCTGATCACAGGAACGTCGATGTATTTCCTCTTTCTGACGTCTACACACTTCATTTGTTTGTTTTTCTCTCGTCCGTATTCTCTTTAGTTTCCACAGATATTGCCTTGGTGTTGTGGTCTGGCTTAAATGTTGTAATGATCCAACCAGAATAAAGCGAACTACTACGAAGTTCACCCATTCTTTGATAGCTAGTTAAATATTGCCCGCGCTAGAAATCAGGTGTGTTGTCAAGTGCCAAACGGATGTTTTTATGTCCCAGCTAAGATTTCGTCAGTATCCAGCCTGTTGTGGCTAATGTAACCTCCCTAGTAAGTCTCATGATCAATGCATCCCACTAATTCATGCCCTATCCCTAGACTAAAAGTTTATGTTGACCAGTCCAGAAGTCTCATCTAACATTTCAGACATGCGAAATACGTACCAACCTGAATAAGTAAATAATCGCTATAAAAAATATTCTTCAAATTACTGAGAATAACATCGTTTTCTATAAAGTCTTGGTGGGTATTTTTAGCAATTTGAAGAAAATACTAATCAGACTTGGTAGAGGCTTTGCTTTTTGTATGCATCTTTGCCTAACAGAGACGTACCGTTTGCGTACTAAGTCAACCATGTGCACTGCTGTAGTTCAATCCTTAAGAACTCTGATGTACTTAAGGTTACATCCCTCAGTACGCCTATAACGAAGTTACTTCAGATGAACATTCTTCGCAAGTCGTTACGCAGTTACATTAGTCCGAATATAATGGGTCTATGAGGGGTGTGTACTTGGCCGGTATTCTCTTGGCAATCAGAAATTACCTCAATACTTCTTGGCCGATGAAGTTGGATACTACTTTCAGGTCGAGCACTGGTAAATATAGTTGTATTCTAAAATCTGTCCAAGTATGAAGTTCTGATCGATGCATCCTCATCCAAGTGTGAAGTTTGCCCAGTTTCTTCTGGCTTCAGTTAAAGGTCGAATGACTGTGAGCCATAGAATCTTCGTGAAACTGATTTCCGGATGGGTTTTACAGGAGAAATTTTCTTCCTCGTTAACTGGAAGAACTATATACCTAAATCATTCTGATGGGTTTGCTCATGATTCCAATCCACTAATTAGTGCCACAGTTACTTTAAACAGTAATTATTCATCCTAATACTGGAAGTATTCAAATTTTGGAAGCAAGAGCTATGCTTGTTTCCTAAAAATGTGTTCACACAACTATTTATCGCTGTCCAGCACAAATTCTAGACAAAAAGACTGTCCGACCTGGCGACCACCAACGTTTACACCTCCATTCCTTTTGTCTTCGTGTTGTAACTTTTCTAGCGTTTGTAATATTCCCATTATGGTTGGCTGATATACTGCTCATTGGTTAAAAAAGCGAGATTTACATTGAACATCGGAAAAATCCCACTAGTCACTTTTGCTCTGAGTTATATTATTCATGGATATCTGTATTGCACTTTTATAGACATTTATTTAACAGCAGTCTGGTAACCCATTAAACTTATTTCCTTAGACTTTCAAACAAACGGAAAGAAACACTCTACAGGGAAACTATATGGTTAGCATTGTTGTACGTAATCGAATATAATGAAAGAAAACGAAATTCAAATTGTGAAGAACAACGTATAATTAGGAAGCTTAAAGGTTTACATGTTTTAGTTACACCTTATAGTTGGGTTATCGCAGTCATCCTGTGAAAATGACCATTTGTAGAAGGCTGATTACTTTTAGTGGTGTAAGGTCTGCCAAAACTGCCTGAAAATTGGAAATAATTAACATCGTTATTTGGTTTATACTGTATAATATGATACATATCTATGAAATACATACCAAGTTGGTTCACTGTTGTATTTGTCATGAAAATGTTCAGCATAGATTCTTTTTTATCTACTGTTTTGATATGGATTCTTGATATCTGTCTTGATGTTGTGATTTAACTGGCGTCATCCCAACCCAACTGTAATACATCTATCGAATCACTTTTTTCTTGAATTCTATAGCTTACAACAGGTGGAATAATATTTTTCAACGTACTTCTGACCAGCACGCCTAATTCAGTTAATGTACTCTTGAACGTTTCGGTAAACTTTAATGAAATGATGGTCCCAATGAATTTAAAGATGGGTTGGGGGAAATATAGTTCCAACTCGATTCATTATCTACTGATTAGGCCTTATATCATTCTTTGACATCTTCTAAAGCCTGAATATTAGCACTAGCCGTTATCTCCAAATTGTTTATTCTGTCACACCGCTTTGTTTACTTTGACATTACTCTTTTTCTATCCATCTGCTCTTTGTATACTACTGTGAAGTGTGGCAACTTGAACTGATGGACTTGTGTGCGAGGTTCTAATATCACTTTCAATTGAGTTTAATGTAACATTTCTAATGTTAACACAGCACTTACTGTAACTTTGGAATTCGTACAAAGTGACCATAGTCATTATAATGAATTGTTAGTGTCTAGACAGACATATGACGTAGGTATGAGTTTGCGTTGGTAAAGTTACTTCTAGCAACGTTCTCAGTGCTTATTGTTGTCTTTTATCTGTGACTAAAACCATAATTCAGTTAATCATCACTTAAGTACACTGGAGTCTATGTTGCTGAAAGTATGTTAGTTTACACACAGATATTTAAAACTGTTTGACTGAGATGGTGTAAACTATTTAATGGACTGGTTCAGTAAGCTGTTTTTGCCATTGACTAAATGGATGCACTACAATTACAATTCTTATTCTCCGTGCCTCATTCTAGGATACTAGTATTAGTATTACGTGCGGAATAATTCGGAATTAAATCCAGAACTCAGCACAGTGATTGTCTAACCCTGGAACCCACAACCATACGTCGTTCTGCAAGTTAGCGAACCAATATTAGTAGATAATTTACAAGAAATCAAGGTTAACTAGACTTTTGATTACTGAGCGTAAACCTTAGTCACTCACTTGCATCTCAAATACCAGGTATCTAACAGTTTAGAAACAGAGACTTGCATATTTTCAATAATCTTATTCGAACATAAGTTAACACGTCTCAATAGAAATATGACCCATTAGCTAACACTAGGCACGTTCATGTTGCTATCATAATAAGCTTTCTGTCTCACAAACAGACTTTCTCTAAAAGTATTGATTCTTGAGGCTTAGTTGTCACCTGTTAACAATCCAACAAGTCTGTCTGATATTTTTCTCCAATCCCGGCAAAGTAGCTCAAGTTTCAGAAAATTAATTTGGCAAAATGCACTGAAAATTTGCACCGTGAAAATAAATACCATAAAATTAGGTGCTGCAATTTGTTGAGGTGAAACAATATGATTGAATATGACTGAATAAGCAATGAATCACCTTCAAGTGGAGAAATAAGCGTCTAATACTGTCGAAGAAGCGTAAAATGATGATAATATGATAGTTAAACTGAAGTACACAAAGTGAAGTGGAATGAAATCGACAAACTAACTAAAATGAATTGTTAATGCCAAGGTAGAGGAAGGGGTTTCATAAAACCCCTTCGAATGCATAGTTTCGGCTTTTGTTCATGTATAGCTAGTGCTTCAGCTATGCATGAGTGGTGAGAACTTAGACTTCCGAAGTAGTTCAATTTAACTTTGTAAATTATATTAAAGGACGAATCTCTCGAGGAGCTGAAGTTGTTTTTCTTTGCTCGCCTTTGGTGAATGAAACGGGGTAATGTTCTGCAACGCACTTTTGGAAGGCTTACTTATAGCGTCCAATATGGTCAGCTCCATAGGAGCATGTGAGTTTGTAGATACACATAGATGTTGACACAAACGGCAACCTATCCTTTACACACTGCCGAATCAAACGACAGCTCGAGAATATCAACCTCAGTCTTGCAAAATAAAAGGTACTGTTGATATACTTTGACAGACGGATCTTCAAAGCTTCAGCTCCGGCATTCCCTTTAAATTGCAACTTAAAGATTAAGACTTTCTTCGGAACTGTAATAGGGTGATGGGTAATTCGTTTCTTTAAGTTTTTACTAATAAATATTCTATAGTATCCGTTATTCAATAGTGTTGTTATAAGAGTTTCAATTTCAACCTCCATCGGTGTCTTCTAAGTAGATTTTATGGATTCCAGAACACAACGAATGAATGAGATTTCTTCTACTAATAAGAGGTACCCAAATATTAAAGTTAGTGAATTGCCCAGTCCAGGTTAGTTTGCGATAGATTGACCTAAGCAGTGACCCGTAATCTCTTCTCACTAACATCATGTCTAAGAAGTGAGATGTTGAAGTTAATTTTTCTGCAGTGAATCTTATAGATGGGTGATAATCATTGAATCATCTAAATAGCTCATCAACTGGAAATGTTTCACGACAAATAAGAAAAGTATCGTCAGTGTACCTACTATACTATACAAATAAACTTCTCGGATTTTTTCTTTTATTGGTCCATTTTCGAACTTTGTCATGATGTCAGGCAAAATGGGGACCTCATTGAGACTCCATCTGCCCGATTATATTTCATATCATTAAATTTGAACCGTACGTTAAACACATATCTTAATATAAGCTCCTTTAAGTAGCTCGTGGTTAGTGTATTGCTAATATTATTAGAACCAATGTAATCGGATAGATTACAAGCAGTTTCAACAAGTGGAACATTCTTAAATGAAGAAGAAACATCAAGCGATATCAGAGGCTCACCTGTTACGTTGATTTTTTTGATGCAGCAGACAAAACCAAATGTATGAGGAAGACTGTATTTATACAGATTTAGCATCACAGGTTCAAGAATTTCAGCAACCCACTTCATCAGTGAGTAATAAGGTGATCTAAGCAAATCCAATAGCAAGTGAAGAGGGAGGTCATCTTTATGCACCTTAGGCAATCCATATAAATGGGGTATGGTTGAACTGGATAGTTTAAGATATTCATACATATCCAGGGTAATATTATGGATTCCTCTTTCAGTTTCCCTATGATTTTTCATTCTCAATGTCTTCTGCCCTCTCTCTGGTCCTTGGATTTTATAAATTTCTTTTGATCGCTAAGAATTACGCATATTTTATCAATACAAATCATCCGATCGAAAACAACTATACCAGATCCTCCATCTAGGCGTACAAATATTATATCCTTGTTATTTAGTAGTTTTTTTCTGCTGTACTCCATGGTTTTTTGAATATTATTCCCTGTTGTCGACACTACATTTTCAAGTATAATTAGCAACAATATGGAGTTGAACTACTTGAAGCTTTCCGAGGACGTTGGGTGTCTTGAATCTGATTGATTAGATTTTTGCATTCACTTGCACAAGCTTGGCAGAATAAGGAAGAAACCCATTTAACCCCGTCACTGGGTTCTTGCAATTTTTAAATGACGAAATGTACTCATTTTTATTCACGAGTTGCAGAACACTACCCAATTTAATTCACCAAAGGCGAGCAAAAAGAACAACTTTATCCATATATGAACATCTCGTGCAGTTAGATCATTCAGCTTCTCGAGATTCGTCCTTTAATATAATTTACAAAGTTAAATTGAACTACTTCGGAAGTCTAAGTTCTCACCACTCATGCATAGCTGAAGCACTAGCTATACATGAACAAAAGCCGAAACTATGCATTCGAAGGGGTTTTATGAAACCCCTTCCTCTACCTTGGCATTAACAATTCATTTTAGTTAGTTTGTCGATTTCATTCCACTTCACTTTGTGTACTTCAGTTTAACTATCATATTATCATCATTTTACGCTTCTTCGACAGTATTAGACGCTTATTTCTCCACTTGAAGGTGATTTGTTGGTTATTTTTACAAATGTTTCTCTCTTCTATTACTTGTATCTCCAACATCCCGTCTGCACGTTTCCGGTTTAAACAATGCAAGACATTATAAAATCAGTGATTAGCAGTCGATCAGCTTCGAATGTGTCAGTGAGGTGTCACAAATGGATCTCAAGACATCAGAGACTGTTCATTCACTGGAACTAATGGAGTTATTCCACTTGTGAGACGGTTCATATTCTGTTGTTTTAATAAATTATAATAATCAGACGAGAATTAAACGTGTTACGAGCATGAAAATTATTTCCTGAATTATGCTTTTATAACACTAATTTTAACGTCAGATATTCAAAAATGTACAAACTGAAGACCGTTGTTTTCTAAGCATTGTCATCGTATATCTAAAGTGGATTGGTGTCTCCTTAAACAGAATATTGATAATCGACAATTTCCTGTCATGATATGCATTTCTGTCTTTCAGCACATTGCTGGTTTGAACATGTACAGACATGTGGAAGGCGGAAGTTGTAACTGAGACTTTTATTTATAATGACTACACAGAAAAGCTCGTTAATGGTCAGGATTATTAGGAATTGATATCATGGCTTTGTATTAGCACCATCAGATTTTTTCCAACCTTATCGTAATACAGGCATTATTATATGTCATAGATAAATTATACAGAACGAAAGAATCCATCATGTCATTAGTTAGCAGTTGTACATCCATATTATGTAATGTTAAAGGCTTGCGACGTTTCAAATACAAAATAACGGTTGCATTCCATGTTTTGTATGACAGCTTTCCTGTAGGTGCACCTCTTGAAGTTCCCTTTATCCAAACACTAGTTCATATTTATTTTTTCACGAATATTTTGGGATGCAATTTGTGCGTATGTGTTTGCTGCAATTCATGACATAATTTGACATTTTTCATTTTAGTCACTATTGTGACTACGGTTGTTCATTTTGTCTGCTGGTTGTGGGTTTAGGCGGTCCACCTATATGGTACATTTTGTATCACACTGCTCTTGAATCAATTAAGTGGATTTATCTCCCTCTGAACCTCTCATTTAACGCTCGTTTGTAAGATATCTAAATGTATCATGGTGCATTTTAGTAATGAAAAATATGCCTTAGTGCTTTATTATCGCCTCTCACTGTACTTCATATACAAATAGTTCAACTGTCCAGAGATTTTAATTTCTGCTTCAAGACAAAAACCGTTGACCATATTTAACCAAAACTACTGTCAGCCTCTTATGACGTTTTATCAAACTTTCAACTGAATATGCACATAATAAAACAATGTGGTTGACGACTGAAATGTGTTTCAGTTTGATATCGGGTGGTTGGAGGCAGGAAGGAAACTATAAATCTAAATTTCATACTTATCAGTGATGCATTTGGATTCAAAACTGCGACCGGAACAGGCAGGCTTCAGGAAGTACAAATCATGTGCTGACCAAATTGCAACACTTCGTATCATCATAGAACAGAGCGTAGAATGGCAATCAGCTCTCTACCTCAACTTCATCGACTTTGAGAAGGCCTTTGACAGCGTCGACCGAGAAGTAATTTGGAAACTGCTTCAATACTACGGAGTACCGCAAACCTTTATCCGCCTCATTCAACAACTATATGAAGATGCCACATGCCAAGTAATCCACAATGGGAAGCTCAGTGATGCCTTTGAAGTGAAGACAGGAGTGAAACAAGGTTGCCTACTATCCCCCATGATATTCCTTATTGTGGTGGACTGGATCATGCAGCAAACAGTAGGCAGCGAGAAGAGGGGGATACACTGGACGACGGAAAAGAACCTAGAAGACTTGGATTTCGCCGATGACTTATGCCTAATGTCACATAAACTTGAAGATCTGCAGGCAAAAACTAACAAGTTGACAGAAGAGGCAGCCAAGACGGGACTTCAGGTGAATATAGAGAAGACAGAAGTGATGAAGATACCGCACCACCACCATCAACAACAACAACAACAAACTCCAATCACCGTCAACGGGAGAAACTTGAAGGAAGTAACCTCCTTCACTTATCTAGGAAGCATTGTTTCAACTACAGGCGGGACGGACGAGGACGTCAAAGTCAGAATCGGAAAAGCAAGACAGGCGTTCATTAGCCTGAAACCAGTGTGGAGATCTTCTGCACTCAGCATCTGGAACAAGATACGGATTTTCAACACCAACGTCAAGTCAGTGCTCTTGTATGGCTCAGAGACTTGGCGCGTCACGAAAGGCATTTCCAATAAACTACAGACATTCATCAACAACTGCTTACGCTCGCTGCTGAAGATCAGATGGCCAGAAAAAATAAGCAACAAGGAACTCTGGGAACGAACCAACCAAGAAGCTATCACGCAACAAATATGCAGGAGGAAGTGGAGATGGATTGGCCATGCACTGAGAAGGCCGACTGAGGACATCACGCGTCAGGCCCTCGAGTGGAATCCCCATGGGAAGCGACGAGTTGGACGTCCGAGGGTGACATGGAGGAGGTCATGCGAGGAGGAAATGAGAGCTTCTGGGCTGTCGTGGAACCAGGTTCAAAAGATCTCAGAGAACAGAGGTCACTGGAGGCGTGCTACTGAAGCCCTATGTTCCACTAGGAACCCAAGGGACTAATAATAATAATAATAGTGATGCATTAATGTGTACCTGCAGCCTTGGGATAATCGATGCCCCTGTGGCTTTTGGGTTTACACGCTTAACCTATAATCGTTTGGGTTATGCTTCTGAGCCTCGTTATCTTACAAAGGGTTGCTGAGTTTCAACATGACATAAATAGTAATGGCAAAGTGAATAAGTGATATGTAACTTGAATACTGCAAATGACCGAATAATATTCTTACCTCGACTTCAGTAGTTGATTTCACCAGAAGCAGGTTGACACGGCGGTAAGAAAATATAGCTACAGCTAACACTGAAGGAAAATATAATGCAAAATTCGAAAAACAATCGAGAAGTTATTTCGGAAGGAATAGCGAAACTGAAAATGATTACTGCATGAATAATTTAGGCGTTTTGATTATTGTGAGAGGATTTTCCCTATAAATTTCAACCTGTGCAGCAAACGTGTGGTGATGAAAAGTGAAATCGCTATTTCATGATTGTGAAAATTTTGTAGACTCCAACTTTCTTCACACTTTAAAGCATCAAATTTTAAATTTATTGCTGTGAAAACGATAAATTTTTACTATCCTATCGGCCTGTGTGTATGACTACTTATATATAATAGCGCCTAACATAAATTCCTACAGTGGCCTGATGCTGCTTGAATTTATCGTTCTTGCTAGATAGTTGTACATGATAAAAAATTTTACTATGATGAAAAATAAATCATTAATAAAGATGTAAAACTTGGGCACTGTGGTAGAATTTAATTCCATATTAGATTTGTTTATTTGATTTATAACACAAAGTGATCTAGTATTATTTACTTGATGACGTTTCGAGCATAAATTTTCGCTCGTAATCATATCAATGTAATCACACTACTTTCGACATCGGATTTTTATGGTTATGTCACTTTATATAGATTTTTTTTATTGGTAGCAAATTTTCCATATCTCTGGTACAAGTGTTGCGTCATTTCTGTTACATGTGTTGTGTGTTGATTCGATGAACAAAGATTTAGTAATCAATAATTTATGCTCGAAACGTAATCAAGTAAATAATACTGTATCACTATGCACTATACATCAAATAAACAAATCTAATATGGAATCTCTCTCTCTCCACCTAATTATATTGGACTTAAGTACAGTGGCTTTATCCCACCCTATTGTGTGGTTGTGTGTTAATGCATGCATAGCAATGGCCAAGTTTTTTCTAGATTATTGATCTTACTTAGGTCTGTTATTCTATATTTAGTTAAATTCCAATATTCGGCAATTCTAACTGACCCCGACCAACTAGTTTGACCTATATATCTGATATCACAGTCATTACATGGAATTTGATAGATTATATTATTTTGCTTAATTAGTTCTATCGGATCCTTAAGCTGACAAAGTTTACATCTGAGTGAGTTTGTAGGTTTAAATACCACCCTAATTCCAGCTATGTTGAGGATTCTACGTAAAGTTTCTGAGGTACCCTCCTTATGGGGTAATACAATGGAGGCTTTGAACTCCTTTTTACTTGTGTTGTCGTTATTAGCAGATAAATAAATAAATAAATCACATTTTTTGCGACTCGTTCTTTCAGAAATATTTACTATTTCTAAATAATTTAATTTGTATCTATTCACTCAGGCTAAATTTTAATTGTAAGGCATCATAGTGCCTTAGAAGATGAAAGTGAATTACAAATAATTCATTGAAGAGAACTCATTTAAACGACTTCATAACTGAAGCTTCACAATAACTATTAGTGTTGGACGCCAGTTATTCATCTGAAAAAACCTCCATATACAAATTCATTTATAAGGTAAAAATTAACCTGTGAAAGATTGTGCATCTCTGTCTACATTATATAGTTGCTGTTGAAATGGTGGAGGATATTTATAGCTCAGATGGATGATCGTAGTTGTATTGCGTTCTCTGAGCTGGTTGGTTTAATCGTTAGCACTAACTTCAATACGTAGTTATATTTAAGTTAATGCTGACGATGTTGTCTAGAAGGACAATGAAAGCTTCATGATTAAACCATCCAGTTCAGAGAATACAATAAAACCAAGATATCCAATACAAATAAATTCTAACTAGGATAAAACTGGAGTTCATGTTTATTTGCTTGCTCTAATATTTCAGTAACAATTCACTTTTGATATAAATATAACGGCCAATATAGTTAGCGTTGTAAGGAAAATCATTTAGAATAAAATTAACTTGCTAAGCAGTGTCTTTTGATCTTAATGGTCTACAAATAAATCTATCAGCCAACTTTTAAATACCATATCGGTTGAGCTCTACTTTGTAATAGGTTTTGGTAAAATTATCTTAACTGAATAAATAAAACAAATCATTGACCATAATCATTTCTTGATTTATTTTATTAATTGTATAACAAGGTAAGAAGGATGCCCATCAAAAGTTCTAACAGAAAAAAACCAAGTTCAGAGAAAACGCCTACCAAATCATTTTGAACTTGAAATATTCTTCGCTGAAAGAATAATTTATAACTAATTAGTCAACAGTTCATGTTCTTAATGGTGAACTGATCTGTTCATGTCAACTAGTCGGATTCAAATAGCTTGAACAATGAAACTTTAGTTACTTGAATAAACATATTATGTATTATTCTGGGCTTAAATAAATGAACTCATTGTATGGAGTCTAGTTCCTACAGAAAATCTATGCAGAATCTCGTACAAAATTGCATCAGTTCAACTTGCCACAATTCAGAGTGGTATAAAAAAACAAATGGATAGAATAAGAGTGATATCAAAGTAGACAAAGTTGTGAGTGAGGAAAGGGAATTTGAAAATTAAGGTTAATCAAAAAAATAAGTTTTAGAAGACACATCTGTGTAATTGTGACTGATTTTCACCAATGTCACCAAGAGTTCTCAATAATTAATTCTAATCATCGAAACATAATTCAGCGAAGAGAATTTTGTTTTTCGATGATATAATTTTCTAAAGTTGTATACATAACAAAGGTACGAGTCTATCATTACACAATAGTGTATAATTGCCTCATTAAGCGAAAAACTTAAATCGAGAATAGAAATTAGTTGCGTAACAATCTCTTAGACAATGGAAATAATTAGAAAAGCAAGGAGTATCTTTGAGCACAGTCCTGCATGATTGTTGAGAGGAGAATGTAAATCAATTAGCAGTTCAATTCTTGAACATTTGATCAACTCCGGACACTTAGCTTTACCACAGTCCCCCTTCAATGTTATTTACAGAGCCAAACGAAATAGTTCAAAAGGTGTACGCTTTTGCTCACAACAGCAGCATCCACAATCAGCTAATTCAAGGTTGATCTCTGCATGTAGAAGTATATTCCATTTCTTATCTTACCATGGTCTTAACACATTCACAATTTTTCGATTTCATCATAATTAGTTAGTTTACTATTATCACCTTCGTTATGACCCTTGTTTCTTTCTTCACCTTCTTTAATTCTATCAAGTGAACACTCAATATTCCCATTTCACATCAACCGACTATTTTCACCTTGTAAAACTCTTTGTCTCTCTCATTATTTCCATTGTCCAAAAGATTATTACACAACTACTTCCCATGATTGATTTCGGCTTTCCAGCACTACCTTAACGATGCACTTATACCCTATTGTTTAGTGATAGACTGTTATACGTTTGTGATAAATATAAATAAGACCCTACAGCTTTAGAAAATGATGTCGTCGAAAAAGAAAATTTTCGTCGCTGAATTGTCTTTTCTTGTCTCTATGATTTCAATCATCTTGAAGACCCATGTCAAGTAGTCTACACCTCCCTATGCGGCTTAGACCTAGAGTCAGAGACTTCATGCACAGGTTTCATGTCTTAGTCTGACCACTCTGTACCCTTTTCCATCTTCACCCAGCATTGTACACGGAGGTAGTCAGTGACTTGGCATGCGCAGCACTTATAAAAGTCACCTCAATCGATGAAGGTTCACCACGTCATAGACTGACTTGAATTCTTCGTCTACTACCATTCGCTCATATGGTAATTCCACCTTACGACGACCATGCCATATAATGAAAGTAAAGAGGAAATGACTCTCATATTATTCATTTCGTAGTATCTTGCTCATATATATTTTCAACAATTGCGATAAGATCCACCGTAAATAAGACCAATTTTTGAAATCAAACATACCAGGTAAAATTTCTAGTGAATCAAATCCAAGTATTCGGTCCCATAATAAAAGTACTTGGTCTGGTGCTAAGAAACCACTGAATGCACGCATTAGCCATTTGAATACAAAACGTATACTATAAAGGAAATAACAAACATTAAAAATATATACTTAATTAAATAGGGAAATTTCTGAAAACATCAATTTTAACTGAATGGGACGCCTATCAAAATAAACTATAATCTATGTAGACTATACGGATAACATACTATTGTCAAGTCATGACTCTAACAAGATACAGTACCTTCTGAATATCATAAACAAACATCTCAATGTTTAACATTCGCTTCATGCTTGCCAGTTGGGAAATTTTGTTCCAAAAGTAGACTGAATCAGTATTTTCCTTGAAGATAATGAATGATGAACTTCAGTAGATCGATCGTATCATCCTTTTTTTAGTAACGATATCGGTAGTAATGCTCTGCATACTCTTCAAATCTTGGTGTGGATAAAGAGACCTTCATGGTATCCATCACCATTTACATAAGTAGCAAGATTGTCGAGGAAGCATCAAAGAACGGGTAAGCTATGCATCTATGAAAAATAATCACCAGTGTGCACGTTCATTCTCTAGGCAATATGCCACATTTATCGGATGGTGATTGATGTTACAACGTGAATGCCCAAACCTTGGTATGCGGAGAGCGATTTAAGTCTGTGACTCAGCCATCGAAAGTAAACTGCCTAAACCAATGCGCATAGCTCATTATCGCTTGGACATATCAATGATGGTGGATATACATTCTTAATTATAAGTCTTCATTAACTCAAATGACTTTTAAATGCATGGTAGGTTATGGCTTGTCTCGATGTATAATGTTAGCCGAATTACACTTATACTTCAGGAAAACTAAGGGTGGCCAGATTAAGACAAAGCACTAATTCTATGACAGTCGTATTTAAAGTTGTAGGCCGTTTGTATGGTATGACTTAAAACCTATAGTGATTTGGCCAAGAATCCATCATAATGATGCAGATGGGTTCATTAAAGATTATTACATACTATTTCAGATCTATTTGATCATTATCCTTTCATATTTTTGTTCAATTTATTATCTTTCTGCTTCAAGTGCTTTGTGTCTACGAAATATAACCATGTGACCAGTGACAAGTTTGTGTTAGGCTGCTTATTTTTTTCAACTGTCTGTTTGATTTACTTATTCATGTATTTCTGATATAATTTTCGACTTTCATAATTTATGGATTTGTGTCCAAATGGTTTAGGTATTGAGTTACAGTTTCTATTTTCTACATCACTAAAAAAGGAAATCAACAGGCTAAATGACAAAAGAATGAAAATAGCAATATCAAGTAAGGAATAGAAGGAGAGTAATAAGCAGAACCACAGATATATGAAAATAATAATGATATTGGAGGCGTGAAGGTATGTCCATCACTGCTGTATATTTTCAGTTATTTCTTTCAAGTTTCGGGCCTTGTATGGATTTGTCATGTAAACCATATTCAGTAAGCTTTCAGTACTCCACACACCTCTTATCAGCAATTAGCTGCTAAATGGATTGACTGATTGCACATCTGGATATGAAGCTTATATTGTCTTATTACTGCTTCAGGTGACGTAGTATTTTGCTGCCTAGGATTGCACACTACGTATACAAGCTCATTGACTCAATGTAAAAGTGAAACAAGTAATCCATGTAACAAGTGACTCGGGATTATTACTGAGACTGAGTGATGTATTACGTGTAGTGTCAATATCAGACAGGACACTTTGACTTCGCGTGTATTGATTTCCTCTCGATAGATTCCTTGTTTGAATTTCTGTACACAGTCCTGTTCTATGAAGTCACTGACAAGATAAAGAGCTTCTGAACACGTTGGTTGACAACGTTCCTAAACTTAAATTAAAACTGTTGCTTCGGCACGCGTCCGCATAGATACCTGATTTGACATTAAGGAGTGAAATAGTTGATCTCGTTGACCACTCTACTAACTTAGGATCACCTTCGGCTATTTGATGGTCGTTGAAATCGCAGTGTAGATACAAAACGCCTCAATCTCACTTGTCAGCTTCAGCCACTTGTGCTGCTGGAAATGTCTGAATGTTCATGAAAGATTAAGTGTACTGGAAAGGAAATCGCTCTATTTTGGTCTGAGATTTCGAAATATTGCCAAAAACAATAATGGATACATAAAAGTTTTTGTTACTGTACAGGATCGCATATGTGCCATAATACCATCACATGAACAATGTAGATCTCAGACGTTCATTTCTGTAAGTCAGGTTTTGAGGTTCTCAACCATTATCCTTCGAGGTAACTGAGATATGTGTTAAGCATGCATAATTACCTTCTACTTCAAAAAGTTGTTAGATTAAAAAGAATGAAGTTAGATTAATGCTAAGGATGGTAAAAGCTAGACGTGACATCAATTTGTGATGTGTTGAGTCCGAGCCCTATATGGAACTGTAAGCCATCTCAGTGGAACTCTTTCGAGACTATAGTATTCAACAGTTGAACTAGGTCATTGATAAAGTAGAAATTACATCATGGTGGCACATTCTATCTTCGTTTTACGTGTAGCATGGTATTCTATTATTTGCTTTAACCTACATAAGATAAACTTAGTTAAAATATTAATATGTTTGCACAACGACGATTACAATAGGAAATAAGCTGGAACTTCAGTTTCATTTTCCTGAGATATAAGAAGAGTCAGCCATACGGCCACCGGGTATTAGTGAACCAACGGTATCCCACATTATTCCTAGTTATATTTGTTTATTTGATATAGTACACAGTGATACAGTATTATTTATTTGATTACTTTACAAGCATAAAGTATTCCCCATTATCATTTCAATGTATTCACACAATTTTCAACAGTCGATATTTATAGTCTTGTCATTTCATATTATTTGTTTTTAGTGGTAGTAAAACTTTCCATATCTCTGAAAGTAAATAATAGTGTATTACTGTGTGCTATATCGAATGAGTAAATTTAACATGGAATTACATTCTAACACAGAATCCAATTTTTATACTTATTAATATCCTGCATGAATACACTGCATACCAAAAGGAATTTACAGATCTTTTTTGCAGATAAATATCTGCACAAACATGAAAATATTTCTAAAAATTGATATTACTAACGAATAAGATTAAATTATGAGGCATTAGATTATAAATCATTAACCTACGGTTGTGCACCAAATGATTTCAAATGAAAGAAAACCTCAGGTTCTTTGACTTGTAGTAAACGTTCAAACAATAAACATAAGCATAATATACCCTGTTCAAAAATAAAATTAACAAGGAAAAACATCAATTCCCATTGAACATATTAGTTGAATGCACGTTAGGTGTTTGAAAGCGCAGAGCAATTTTTGCATTTTCATTTTGAAAGTATTCAACAACATGGTAATAAACAATAATCACACTTCTTGAAATGAAACAAATTATACTAAATATGTTACTTTTTGAAATATTAATTTTTAAGTGAATACATTGCAGCACCCAAAAAATTTAAAACAAATAAAAACGGATGATTCAAAGTGTTACAGTGTACAGTAAGATTGACAAAATCTTCACAAGACGTAAATTGTTCAAGCGTTTTTCAACAATCGTTTTGTTCCGAAGTTTCGAAGGAAAACATATGTACCAACGTGTGCATATTGGATTGGTTGAAGAGACAAAAATCAATAGAATGATCAAATCTAGAAAAGCCTGGAAATAACCGGGGTCATTGTAAATATTTATAAAATATTGAATTTCGTACATATGTTTGATGTTCCAATACATCTTGTGTTATCTTAATGTCCTTTCTGTTTATCAAGAATTTGAGCAGCTATCGAGGGGTGGAATCTGAAGGTTATTGTCAAAGCTTCCATATATATATATATATATATATATATATATATATATATATATATATATATATATATATATATATATATATATATATATATAAATCACGCTATATAAAGTCACTACAAGAATATAACTATCACTACTAAGATTTTCTTTAAGCTTCAATATAAACAAATGACTGCTAAATATGGATGTCTACGATAACTTTATCAACGGTTATAATAAATATAAGTGGGAATAAAATACAAACTTACACTATTTTCATCTGATATTGTGTGCAGTTTGTAAAAATAGCGTACGTACAACTCACGAAAGATTATGTATAAAGTGACAGGATCATCATATAAATAACATAATGGTAACACTAAATGAAAAATTTAAAATAAAGGAATTAAGTTACTAAATTATATATTTGCTAATGAATTTTTAAAAATATTTGTCGATCTTTCACCAATCGCATAATGTAGAATAATTTTGTAAAATTTCTGTTAAAAGAACTAGGGCTTCCGCTAAAAGTGTAATCATGGTTCATCAATTTAGTCAGGAAACTTTCGGAAATAACTGTAGTCGGTGTTTTTATTATGATGATAGCAAGTCATAAACACATCTAACTTACCATTAAATTGAACTGGAAAGAATAAAAACTCTTGAAGTATTTGTCAATTAATATTACTATAATACAAGCAATTCTACTAAAACTATACGCGTTGCACAAGAAGTGGGTATCGTGGCTCGGTGGTGTAGTGTATAACGCTCTGGCATTTGAAGCAATCGCTCCCGAGTCCGAATCCCGGTGGGAACAACATCACTCACTGGGAGGCAGGTACATCCAGCTGACGAGTCCCAAATAGGACGAAATATGCATCCTGGATTCCACTACTAGCCAGTATCCATCATTACTATTTATAATTAATATCACTGTTGTACTCTGTAAGTTGATGACAATGAGAAAAAGAATCCGTGTAAATTAGAGCATTTATTTTGTGCAGTTGTATCAGAACGAAGCTGAAAAGTATCTTCTGTAATTGTTTTGCATGTTTTCATCAACTACGGAATGCAGCATATTTTCTCCCTATTGATTTATACCACTGTTGAGCGTGATATTGAATGGTGGAGTCTCTAATCAAACAGATAACATGATCTACATGGGAAGTTGTATGGTCCATCGTAAACCAGGCAGTTTTACTGCAGGAAGTTTAAACCTATGGCATACAACCCTTGAATACAGGTCATATGAGCGAGGGTCATAGTTAATCAGTCAAATGCGTCTTCAAAATAACGCTTGTATGTAGTCGTATCTTGGCTAGATGTAGTGCTAGGTTACAAGTCTGTCGATGAGTTCACTCTACCAATGTAAAACTTAATATACTGAAATTAAGTCGGTGTTAAACATGTTTAGCCACCAATTACCCTGATGGATGACTCAAGAGCAGAGTGAAGTATACTTTAGAATGTTTATATTAACATATAATGATAACCCAAAAGATATTTTGAGCGAGGTGGCAAATACAAGATTCATATATGGGTTCCAAGGAATGATTGACACTTCTATAGTTAAAAAAGTAAAATTAAGTTGGTACAAAGCTAAGAATAGCCGGATAAAGGCATGGCATCAGTTCGATGAGTCTCTAAATATTTATCTGAGTCATTTTGTGAAGTCTAGGCTGCCTAGATGGGGTATTCACGAGATAATCACGACTGGAAGACTTCCGAGGGGAGCTTCATAGTAACGCTAAGGCTGCTCTTAAAGAGGAACTGGTAGGATGGTTATTGGGGGGCAACAGCATTACTCATCTCGACAAAACGTTGCATCACCTCCAGCTTTCTGTTAAAACACAGTTACTATTCATGATTAGCCCTCAGAAAAAAGTAGAAAATGGCCTTTAAATCACAGCAGTTTCACTTAAATTAATGGATTCTAATGGGCAAATTCATGCAGATCCTGAGTTCAATGGGATATATATATTTTAAAAGAAGTATATATATATATATATATATATATATATATATATACATTTAGAGGGAGAGAGAGAATGCATATGTATGTGAGTGTCTATTGACTACACTATAGTTTAAAATCACTCACTGTACATAGAGAATCCGTGAAATGGTATAACTCCAGACGGAGGGTATATGTGTGATTCAGTAGAATGTTTTCCAATTACTCTGGGCGGAGATGCAGACATAGACTTGAAATGACACAATACTGTATGGTCTCTAGTGAATGGAAGAAGAACCTGAAAGAAGCAAACGATAATAAATTAGTTGTTTTGTAGATTTCCTTTCAGTTCTTGAACATGTTTAATAGGATACAGCTTTTTAATTATAAAAGATAGCCTATGATTTATGTTATTTGATGCTAACTTGAAAAATAAAACCTTTACTTGACAAAAAGGTGGATGAGAAATACAAATTATTTTATTTTATCATTAAACAACAATGACAAAGTATCATAGACTGTTGAAAAATAAAATTACACACCAGCGTTCTCATGCAAATCACCATAACTTTTTCAGAGGTATTTAAACAAGAATAGGAGTTTGAAATCTCAGTACTGTGCTCAGATGGAACAGAACATCGAAAAGTTCATGCAATTCAGACCATTTTACTACAACTATGTAGACATATATAGGAAACCAGTGATAGTCACTAATATCACTGAACATCCAGGAAGTTGGACGGCTGTTTTGTCCCAGTATGGGACTCCTTTACAGTATGTACTCACGATCTCATCAGGCACGCTAGGAGGTTTTTTAATGGTCCTTCAAATTACGTCGGTCTGTGATGAATACTGCCTTGAAATCATTCAATCCCTACAAGCCTGCAAATCGAATAAATATAGACGATGTAATTCAAAAAATACTTGCACATTTATCCACTAAGTGATGAGCAACACGTGTTGTGTGAAAATACACGATACAACATGCCTACCCGAAGCTCCGTATCCGAAGTTGGGTTCCAATCTTCTTTCACACTGGATTACAACAATTCACATAAATATTAGACATCTGCTTGGATGACTAAAAAGAACGCCTTTAAGCGTTTACGCTGGATTATACCATTTAATACTCCTTCTTCATCATGTTACACAAAACCATCGGTGTAATCTAGAAGGAAAACTGAACTATCCGGACAATTCCAAAAACAAAAAGTTTGGATAATGAGGAATTACCATGATACAAATAAGCACTAGGAACTTTGTTCGATGCATCACCCAGTAAATGATGTTGATTTAGTCTGTGATAAATCCAACAGGATGATTTTCACCATGGACTGAAATCAGTTGGAGAAACATCAGAAACCTGGGAGCAGTGGACAGCTATTTCGTCCTGGTGTTAAACTCCTCAGCAGTGCGCGCTCATGATCCCCCCAGGGATAGTATCTAGGACCTTCAGATTTCGAGACAGCAGGTTATTACTGAGCAAATAGATCGGGACCCAACGATTCATATTTCTTACTTCTGTCAGCTGGTGACTCGCTTAGATAGGTGATTCCCGAAGTTCTAATAAGAAATCGTGACCGATGAGGCCAACCAGGTTGGACATGAGGACCGTTACTCAGCCATGGCGTCGAATAGAGGTAGCGCTATACCATGAACTGACAAAAGTAGGAAACATGGACCACTGGATTGCGACCCAGTGGCTCGACTGTAACGTACTGGCAGCGGAACCCAAAGGTCCTCGGTTAAAAACCCGGAGAGGTCATAGAAGGGAACTGCCGAGGAGTTTCATACTTGAACGAAACAGCTGTCCATTGCTCCCAGCTTTCCATGTTTCTCCAACAGATTTCGATCCACGATGATGACCAACTTGGAATAAATGAATTGATCCCCACAAACCTCCAAAGTCAGTAAATCCAACAAGCTACTAAAACACTCACGGAGAGATATTAACAGCTCACTTCATACCGAAGTTAGTGCTGATGATGTCGTCTAGAGGGACGATGAAAGCTTCGCGACTAAACAACCCAGCTCAGAGAACACAATACAACCAAGACTATCCAACTGAGCTACAAATATTTTCCACTATTTTAAAAGTAACATTAGATTATCCTATCAAAAATTCATAGACATTCCAAACCGATTACCGAATCTTGACAAAAAAGCGAGTGTGAGAATTATTACACAGAAGAAATGCAAAGTATTTACCCTCATCAGGATTTTTAAAAATACTTTTTTAGTTTCTGTTTGAGCGCTTTTCTTCAATAATTCTTAGTATCTCCACTTGTTTAAGCGAAGTGATAAACTTGTACTGGCATTTAGACACCATTTTACGATTGCCTGGACATAATGACGAATTTTATTCGAATGTTATCTGTCTTTTTATGATGCCTACGATTCATGATGTCTTGCTCATAAACTATTTTGAATTTAGATCTATATGCTTAGGGTCGATATTTCGTCTTATTGATCATAGATATGTTCTATTACGAGCTATTCTCAGAATATTATCGAGGGCAAGTCGGAAGGAAATAACAGCTTATTTAAAACTTTACAGCTGTTTCTAAATTGAATGCAAATTTCTAATTTAAAAAATGAATATTGCTTGTAAATGCAACCTGATCTTATCAGGTGGCACAGTAAAATCCTATTCCATAAGCATTTGAAAATCGCATAGGCTACTGTGCATCATGGATATAAAACTATAGTTTTATAGATATTCAGCAGGCTTTAACATCAATGCATTATCTTAACTGTGAACAACTAACTAGTAACTATTAGATATGACTCAGACAATTCAATTTGACTCATTCTGTTAGACAGACAGAAAAAATCAACGCAGAACCTCGTTCACAAGTGCAATTGCTTAAGGGCTACACTTCACAGTAGTATACAACAGACAGGTGGATAGAAAAAAAGTGATATCAAAGTAAGCAAAGTTGTATGAAAGAATAAGCAATTTGAATATAAAGGTTAGTGAGAATATTCAAGTTTTAGAAGATGTCGAGGAGTGAATACATCTGCACCATAGTGACTGATTTTCAGCCATGTCACCGACAGTCCTCAACCAATGATTCCTTTCGTCTCGGAGATTTCAACCAGGCAATCTACATCTCTTCACACGGCTTAGACCAATAGTCACAGACTTCATCGACTGGTGCCAGATCTTGATCTGACCACCCTGAACGCTTTCCAAACCTAATCCAACTTCCTCTAACATGGCACGTTGGGGTAAGCAGTGGCTGAGCATAAGCAGTACATGTCCAAGTCATCTCAGTCGACTAAGGTTCACAACCTCATCAATCGACTGTTCTGTCTTGACTATTACCCTTCGCCTGACCTCAACGTTGCTCACATAGAGATTTCAACCGTATGCAAGTGATGCTTAGCTTTCAGTAAATTGTTCAATAAGTTGTTTAAAACAACATATTTTGGAAACATAAGCATTTTCTACTATTAAAACACATGCTATAACTTACCTGATATGTATAATCACAAAATACAAAATGCATGTCGTCGTTAGAGGCTGTAAGTTGCACTTCCTAAAAGGATGTTAGTGAATCGTTTCATATAACGAATGATTTAGTGTACCTTACAAATTAGTTGGTCTGTCATATATTCATCTTCTGCAACAAATGATTTCAGTCGTTCATAATATAGGTGATCCTACGAAATAAAACAATATATTTATAAATAATATAAAGAGATCCAGGCAAAACATTAAGTTAAATTGATAGCCAATGTAAGAGCTAAGTTTAAGGGCCGATCGAAGTTCACATCTTCATGTATTACCGTTCGTGTAAAGCAAAGTTGTTGTTCAAGCTTCCTTCTTTACCTCCATTATCGTCATTTGCTGCTTGAAATGAACTAATATGTCTAAAAGAGTGAATTTCCGGTAATGAAGCTGTTGTTTTGAGTGTCCAAGATGTACAGTTTATTTAGTAAGAAAGAATAATCAGTAATTCCCTCTACTAGTGTTAACCGTGTATGTTTTGATGTCACTTGTGAAGTGACTTTCTACTCTATCATTGTTTAGATAAACACCTCTCGATAGGTTTGATATTTGCACACGAAAACGCACAATATATTTTACCGCACAATAGTAAATCAGTACATTAGCACTGACGTTTGTTCACTGGTAACTATGAAGTTATCATTTTCGTTGACTGTTCATGAGACACTTACATGCTATGAGATTGCAAGTATATTTTCTTCCTGTAACCAACTTTTTTCTCAAAAATAAAAAAATGGTAGTTTCTAGGAATTTCTTCACGGTTATATCAACTATCCTATTCACTACTATAAATGATAAGGTGTTGTTTATTCGAAGAAGTTCTCATCACGGATTGATATCAGCCGAAGAACAGTTGAAAGCCTTGAAACCCTGGATGCTTATTTCCTTGAAGTATAAGACTCATCAGCATAAGAAACCAAACCCAGGACCATTAGGTTTCATAGTGATTACCTTACCATTCAGCCACTAGGTTTCAATCTAATGGTTAGAATTTTCATATTTCTGTTAACTTGTGATACAGAACGAAAATGGGTTGATAACACAAGTTACCACTTTGCTTAAGCATTTCGAGTAATCCATGTCGAAGCAAGTCACCATTAAGCATAAAATATTAACTGATTGAGTTTTTTGAAGGGATTGGTTATCTTTAAAGTATTTTCCTCCCCGTGTTCGTGAAGAATAGAGTGTCCCAGCTTATTCCTGAGTTTGCTTGTACTACACTGTTTTGGATTTTCAAGCTACTGACAAAGATAATGAAGACCTACACAGTAATCTTGACGTTTTAATGAGGCGTGGCATCTTTGACCAAAGTGCATTAATGCTATGTTCGATCTTAATATTGACTGACTTGTGGATTTAGAACTAATTCTGATCACCTATCTACATCAAAAACAAATCTACTCAACTGTGTAGTGTACCTAATTAAAAAACTAACAGACTTCGAAGTCTACAGTTCACCAATCACTTTTTACTTTCCAATTTTGTATTCATGTAATAAGTTGTCAGTTTAGCTAGCATCCCAGTATTGATGGTATCTACATTATCATTCAACAAATTTAATATACGTGGTCCGACCGCTGACCAGATTTTAGTTCCCTTCAATCACCATGGACCCCAGTTCAAATTTTCATTTCACCTTCAATTATCACCCAGTATAAATACTAGTTTGCTGAACCATGGCTATCTCAGATAGTCAAAATGATAATCAATATGATGCTCCTCCCCTCTAATTCAGTTAGATTTGGATTGGGCAGCCAGTGTGAATACGACCAAGCAGTAGTAACCCGTCACGAATGGTAATCGGACAAAACCCTTGGTGATTGAAGTGAAATAAAAATCTACCCAGCAGTCGGACATCGTAGCTCAGTTGGTAGGACATCAAGCCGGAAACCCAGTGGTCGCTGGTTCCAATCTGGCCGTGGTTCGAATTTTCATTTCACCTTCAATCACCACCCAGTATGAATACTATTCTGCCAAACCATGGCTGTCTCAGATAGTCAAAATAATAAATTTAATATTAATAAACTTTAACATGATGAACAGATACTTACGTCTTTCATTACTCTTGCATTTAAACATATTGCCCATAACTGTGCACGGTAACCTAATGGACAACCATAACGTAAAAATTTCTGTGCACGTTCTGAAGAACCAATGCTTATAACTGTAATAGTTTGAAAACAAAAAAATTTAATAACAGTATCATAGAGTACTTTCTTGAACTTCTTGTTCACGTGACAATTCAAATGAAGATGATGATAAATCATCAACACCAATTTGAGGATTTCGTAGATTTAACGGGTCGTAAAACCTTCTCTAGTCGACAAATATAATGTCAAAAAATGTTAAATACCAATTCAGAAAGACTTTTAACATTCAAAGGTAAGTTGAATAAGCCCCAAGCTGCAGTTATATCTAAATGGTAATTGCTGAAAAAAATATTTTTTTATAAAAAGGCAGTGATTACAATATGTTTATAAAAAAAAAAGCACAGAGTTTACTCTTTAAAGCCCATCCTAGGTGTAGATTTCATTTGTGGATGTTTGATGTGTATAAGAACATCTAACAGATCTTTTGGACCAAAAACAGGTTTAATTGTTGACTGTTCTTCAAAAAAATGTCTCATTAAAAGAAAATGATATAAGTATACTGTTGAAATAGACTGATAATTCTGTCCAATTTTGAAGAATAGATTCACTCTGGTTTGTCGGTCTCTTTTAAGCAAAAAAATTCAAAAAAAGTTGTTGTAATAGCATTTAATGTTCAATTTACTTTTCTCGCCAACTGTATCCCAAGTTCTTGACACATTGAGTTTAAGCTTCTTAGCATTTTGCGTTCCCAATTAGTCTTAAAGTACCTCTGTTATGATAAACACAACATACTTGAGCTTTTTTCAAATAATTACAGTTGCAAGAATTGTTTAAATAATGTTCATCTGCTCGTTTTTGTTTTATTTGTGTTAAAATAATAGACTTTTGTGCAAATATCCAATTTTTAAGAGCTTGAAAGCTATCACCTTTTATTAGTGATTTATATATATGATCTTCTATTTCATTTTCTGGTACTTCTTCCAGATTTTCAATTAGCACCTAAAAATGCAATTTTCACAATTAAAGCATTTTATGGTAAAGGAAAATAAAAATCAATACATTAGATAGCTCCATACAATCTGAGTATCTTTTATTTATTGAAGATTGAATCCAAGGTCAATTAGTGTCGATCAAGCAATAACTGACAACTTGTGACATTTATTTTGTCTCATTCTGAAAATTATTGATGTACGCGTGCGCGTAGATTTTTCTAACGTACTTTAACAACGCATAATACAAGGCAGAAAATACTTGTTAGCGAAGTCAAGTTCACCATTCGCAAAGGCTACTTTGATTGTTTGAAACGCCAAAAATGGTTATTAATGGTTTACTAACTAGAGATTCTTATAACATGATAAAAAACGTGTCTAACACTGCAAAACTTTCAATAATTACTCCCAGCTGATATCACTTTTGATGAATTATTTTCAGTACTGAATAACTAATTTAAAATATAAAAGCTGGACATATTTTCACATTGTTTTATGCATACATAAGAGAACCGCCGTAATATTCATGTGTGAATGGAGGAGTGGCACACTGGGTTAGAAATTTGATTTTCAACCATTAAACTATGAGTTTGAACACCACTGTATATACTGAGGTGTGGGTAATCACGTGGTATCTCCACACAACACGTATGGCTCTTTGCCTACAGCGTGGACCCGTATGTGGTTGCCGAGTTCATCTCTTTTTCATTTTCGATTCGTTTGTATTCCAGAAAAGTGAAGCAAAAGGAAAGAAATATTCGTATAAACAAGAACATTTTTATATTTGCAACAGAGAAAGTAATACGATTCAAAAAAAAGCACATAATCAGATAAAAAGTAGAAACATTTCGATTATTTTGTTTATTTTCAGCGATATTACTCAACCTTCGAAAAAATAGCATTCTGGCACACCAACGAGGGAATCGTAAACTGACCAGCAGTAAATGACTTCAAGTATGGATGCCATATGTTTTTCTAAACAATACTATTTTATTTATCTATCCTACCCCTTATTCAACTGTTACCTAATGGTTACAAAACAAAATATAAAGGTCAAACTAATTTAAAACTTGCAAACGACAAAGAGTTTTCTGTGAGTGAACCACTCATCATCGTTCTCAATTTTGTTGTTTTCTGTATTGGCTTCATGCATAAACTCTTTTATTTTCGATCTATTAGTAATTCTTGTGGCAAATCTATTACAAACCAACAGAACTAAACGACTTATGATGATTAGTTTATCTGTATATTATGAGTTACTTTGCATATATAGCACAATACTGTTGAATATTCCAAGTATGCAATGAAGAGAATAAAGAGGGTCAAGGAATATTCATTTACAAAATTCGGAGCAATCTATATTTTTACATCTAATCACTTTGATTCAAAATCCTTTTTCAAGTTAAAATATAATCCAACTTAGCTTCACAACAACCTTAAGATGATAAAGGTTTGATCTTCATCTGAACAAAATTTTAAGGATCACAATAAATACTGCTCTACAGATCCACTAATAAACGGTAAGCTTAGAACACCCGCATTATTCTTGAACCTTTAAAGATAGATAGAAAGAAGCATCTGTTCAAGCCATCGCACTTTTTAACAATAGAGAAACGTTATTTGATGGTTTAAGGTTATAACTGACCATATAGAGTCTAATTCAAACAAGAGCGCCGATTGGTCATTGGTTGTATGCCAATTAATGTGGATCGAGGATACCTCATGTTGCTGATTATCAGAAACCAACAACTCTTGCTCTTAGGCTTGGTTCAAATGCATCTATTCATGTAGCACCGAATAAATTTCACAACAATATGAAGTCATTTTGGCTTAAAGATCATACTGCAAACTCGAATGAGTGGGGCTGAATAGCGTAACACCAATGACTCTCCACAGACTGACAGATAGTGTTAGAAACACTATGGGAGAGACACACAGTTGAATGACTGGTTAAAATTCCAATGAAATAAGCTCAGTGTATGTTGTCTCAATCATACAAAATTAATATTAGTCTTATGTTGAAACCAGTATCGGCTACCGCAAACCATAAACGATTTCATTTAGTCATCAGTATCTAAAATATCCTCCTACAATTCATTATAAGGTAAATTTTAGTCAGAAAGAAATATATCGTCGTCAAACACTGAGCATCTGCTTCTCAGAATCAAACCTTTAGACGGTGATGTAAGCATAGAGATTCATTACGGTCAGCGAAACCATGAAATCTTTATAATGCAAGTTTATAAAATAGACAATAAGCAGGTTAATTTACTGACACTTTGAAGGGTTTATTAGAAACATCTACTTCTTTGAGGCAATGATGTGTTTTTGAAAACAGTAACCAGTTTAAATAAGATACTTACCATTGAATCATCTAACAAACTCATTTCGATACCACTACATTTTATGGATTTAAGTAATTCGCAAATTATAATATCCTCAATATTAGGCACATAATCATGCATGTTTAAACGAATCATTGCGTAAGAAACCAATCTGCGTAATCGGATAAACTTTTAGCAGTTGATCAGAGATAATTAAAAGACAGCATGAACAGGTTCATAATAGTGAGATAGAGTCTGAAAAATAGATAGGAAAATCTAAGCACAAATATAGTAAAAACTGGACAACAGATTTAGTGTAGCTTGAAAAGAGGACATGAAGTTGTTAGCGAAAATAATCCGTAAACAAACTATTAAGTGATTAATGTTGTCTTTGAAAGATCTCTGTTGTAAGTTGTGAGAAGTGTATTGGCGTTTTCTATGTAAAATATGATAACTTTTTGCAAGCCTATAGAACAATATTTCACTGCTACTCAATCATAAATAATTACTAAAAGTTGTACGTTGTAAAATTATGAAGTGACTTAGGAAACTCTGTTCATATGAGTTTCCCTTAAGTTCAACAGTTGTTTTATTTGTAAGCATGAACCTTCTTCTACATAAAAATGAAATTCAAGGGAAAAACAATGGTCTTACTGATTTAGTAGGATTTATTTAGAACTGTGGTTAGTGAAATCGTATGATATGGAGAACGTACCACTTCCGAATGGATTATTTTTATTTAGGCTATAATCCAAATGAAAACTCAGTGAGAGTCATATAACTCAATGAAACTCAAGCACACTCAGCTCAAGAGCCTCAAATCGGGTGAAAGACACACCCTAGATTCGACTGCTAGTCGCTATTTATCATTACTGTGTGTTCTCATTGAATTAGAATTTCTTCAAAATGCTCTCCGATAAGCTGGCAGCTGTTTTACGCATAGACTATGAATGCCAGTTTCACCTTATAGCCTTAGTCCATAAAAAGAGCTGCAGATAACCTCTTCAAACAAATACAAATAGAGATGTAAAGTAGAAAACCTAAGTAATCAGACAAGTCATTCAAATTAACTACACTGGTTTCCATTTCTTGATCTACTGATAAATATAAAGTGGTGCTTGAGAAGTAGGTCCCATAGTGAACACCCTAGAGACCAAGATCTTGACTTCAACACTAAGAACGTCAACTTCTAATCTTCAAACGAATGTGTTCTTAAGGTTACATGTATGCTCTACTGCCAAGTGCCAATGAGCATTTTATTTCAATTCAAGGTTACACTATAGTTTCATGTCACTTTACCTGGCATTGAAAGTGCCAGCATAATCGATAAATCTTAGTCAAAATTTAGGAACTACTGGTTTCTACTTAAAAAGAGACTGCAGTTCATCGCCCCAGAGTACTTTAAATAACCTTGCTAAATAATGAGAAATTCCCGTTGGGTCATAAAACTGAAAAGAAAACAACTCAGCGAAAAAACGCATGTGAATGAAACTCAGGCACTTTGGTAGACCGTAATTCTGTTTTAGTCTGTTGACTAAATATGTCACTCAGTGTAGCAGTATTATCTGCTGGATAACTTTTCTGTCATGATTAATTATCCGCAACTTTTAGACGTAGTTCATATAGTTCTAATTCTCTATCCTCCTTTTGATATAGGTGGTAAAATTCTTCACAAATCTCACTGCATGTTTCGGTGCTGTCTCAATAAGACAAGATATACCAGATACACTAAGGATACCACATAATTTAATAATTGCTCCCCTAAATTAATCAATAAATTCACACGAAGTTGTAAGAAAAATGTGACTACAAGCAGTAACACGAATTTTCAAAAATGAAAACAATTATGATAATAATAATGAAAACATTGTGAAGAATGAATCCGAAAATTTTAAGGTGTTGTCGTCTAAGGAAGTCACCTCAGAAGTACTATGTAAGAATCGCAACAAGGCAGGGATTGGGGTAGTATCTAAACCTATAAACCCATTTAGTGGCAGGCATCGTTGGTTTATAGATCTTACTTATCCAATGAAGGAAAAGAATTTAGTTTATCACACCCCTTGCAGTGATTGTTAAGTTAAATACATGTGTCAAAGTATTCAACTACTCCCAGTTTGACTGTTCAGGAACAAAGACTCGGATAAATAAAGATGTATAGATCCTACTATACAAGGAATCTAGTAGAAAGATCAGCTATAAATATACATGTAACTGCACACAATCATGTTACAGGCGGAAGAATGACAGTTTTTAAAAATTAACTTAGTTGTGTGGAGGGGGATAATCATAACCGAATCTGAGTTTATCGAGTCAACACTTGATACTTGCAATAGAAATGACTCAGCACTTGTTCCGAAATAAAATCGAAATGCACTCAGCAATCTTGTGCACATCCGTGCATTAGAGAATGACCCACACTTATTGTGTAATGGCCAGTGATACTACCTAGGCTGCCCAAACCCCTGTAGGTGGAGAATGGCCCTGACCAGCTACCCACTAGTTGAAAATCTCTCCAAATCAATGAGCCACAGCTCCACCAAAACCTGTTCCAGATACATAGAAAATTCTCTGACCCATACCACAAAGGAGGAGGTAGAATTAGAATTATATAAATCATGTCTCAAAGTTGTATAGTCATGTAAAATGGCTATTGACAATAAATCGTGCCAGAAACGTTATCCAGAAATAAAACTGTTTCTGTGTGTGAAACAACCAATAAACAAGTTAAAATGAACAGAAAATTTAGCATTTTTGCAGATATCATTTAAATGGGGTATAAAATCAGTAAATAATGCTGTCTCGCTGTGTGACGCATAGAAAAACAACCACAATAGCAAGTGTGCAATCCCATATATAATCATAGGAAACAGGTAATAACCGATTACTGAATATACTGAATATATTGGGATTGTTTTATAACTATTATTTTAGTACAAGAGAAAGAAGTAAAATAAAATATGAGTGATAGCATACAGAAACGATTACGTAATAATCTATAAGAACGTAATAGGAAGACCATAGAATTTGAAAACGTCGGAATTTTCACCAGAACATAAGTTCTAACTTTGACTGCTACAAAATTTAACTTACAGACTAATGCCAACACTAGAAAAAGCCTATGAAGTGTGCCGTTGTTAGTTTACCTCTGGCACAAGCTACAAATTTTGACGTTAGGAAAGTTTACAATCCCATAACATTGGGATCTGTCATCCTAACTTGTGTCAAGTAGTCAGCCATGGATTTTATACCCTTTCCTGTTATCATTATCAAGGATTTTCAAAGTTATTTCATATGCTAGTGCAATTTTAAGTTTCTACAGCCACTTCTGAAACAATAACTTGTAAGTCTCTAAATTCAGTTTCGTTTTAGATTACTGAACTCTAGAAAGAAGTGAAGTTACCTCTCTAAGGAAACAACAAAAAGTAGGTATGCACCCCTGAGTTACGGAAGCTTAAGATGTGTTCACCAGGATAGGAATAAGACATGTTAGACTGCATTAAAGTTTATGCAGTGTTTAAATCATATAATTCTTTTTTTGTTCACAATTTATGCATAAATTAAAACCCTTGCCTAAACATGAGATATCCACATATTTGCCTAAAAGTGAAAGGTATGAACCAATGCAGAAAACTACTTCAATATTTTCATTCGGTATCGTAACTGTCTTTGCACCAGTAATATAAAGGTGAATTTCTTACGATTGCAAATTGTGTTTCCATAACAGTCTGTAAATATATTAACCGCATAGATTATATACCCTCATTTTGAATGACAGGAGTATTTTGTTCAAATATTCATACATTATTGTTGACACAGAATTCTTCTTAATTCTTCAGTTTCTAAGTAAACAGAGAAGCATTCTTCTTTGTATAATTTAACTAAGTTCCAACTTTAGTTCACTGTAAAATAAGTGAGTTACGACATTTTAAATTGTAACTATGTGTCTCTTATGTGAAAACATTCAGTTTGCTTATCAATAATCCAATTGTGTCAACTACTGCTTATTTCTTCGTATTAAGCAACTACAATTTTTAGGACATGGCAATGGATTCTGCTCGAATGTATACATTTCCATAAAATACAGTTTCAGTTTAAGTCCAAAAGTTTGTGAGGCAAAGCATATCGGTCAAAGTGACCGATAAGGATCAGCCAAGTAACCGGAGAACAAAATCTTATCGAAATATATAATAGAAAACCCTATTAGGACAAGTAACTGAGAGAAAAAATCGACTTTTACTCAGTATGCACTGACTTAATCACACTATAGGATGGGATAGGGTGACAACTGTGAAATCCAATGTAGATTGGTGGGGAACAAAATTGGCTACTGAGTCTAAGTTTACTGAATCGACAACAAACCAACGTGACAGGAATGATTCACCATATATTGCAAATATCTGGAGAATTTTACTACCATTAAAATCAAAAGGTGAAAAACTGTTGAAATATGAAAGTAAAGTATGGAATTTGTACGACTACTGTGACGTGCACATCACGATATTACTCCTCATCATGATGAGGAGCAATACATTCAAAACATCACCCAGTGAATAATCATCAATCACTGTGTTCTATATCAAGTAAACAATATAGTTTGGGTTTATACTCTACAATAATGCCCAAGTTTTGCCCTTACATTATTAGGATTATTATGTGAGAAAGAAGCCATGTGGATACTGAAATTATGACCTTATGACACCCAAAAACGGCACTTCCACATTACTTTCCAGTAAGATCCCAGTATAGTGTACACACTGTATTAACAGTCGTTGACTTTTTATGGTTCTATGACTTAAAAGCGCTATTTAAAAGTGTGTCTAACTTTCTCTAGAGCTACATCCAGGTGTTTGACTACCAAAACGGACCCACAGTACCAACGAGCAACTCAAATAAGCGATTTATATAAAAAATTTAAGAAGTGGGATAGAGGTGCCGGCGAATATTCCAAAACACATGACAATGAATCCGCAATTTTTTGAATACATCTAAAATTGTAGGTGTACGTATGATTCCAACCAGCTTTCTTAAAAATTCCCTCGATTTTAGTCTGATTAATAGCCTGCATGTTTATTCATAAGCCAGTTGCCAAAATAAGTCATCCATCTTTGACCTCGTATCACATTCAAGTAGTCGAATAGCTGTTTGATGAAAAATTTATCACAGTCATTAGATATATATATATGACATTTTTGACTCCTTTTTTTAACAAGCTATTGCTAATTACAACTACTAAAAAGCAGATTCTTTCTAGTTTCAAATCGATTCATTTCATCAGCCCAAAATGAAAACTTTCAAGAACAGTTCAAGAAACACTGTTTACAAGTTTAAAGCATTCAAATTGCGAGTCTCAGAAAAGAGAATGAAGAGGACAGTGAAGAGAAGTATAGCAGTGTGAGTATTAAACGTGCTCATATATCAGTGAAGAAGTATGAAGTGTCTGCATCGATATTTAGTAATTTGACCTCTTGATAACTTCTGACACTAAAAGCTTTCTTGAATGCATTTGTACAATAAGTTTATATATATATATATATTCACAAACTTTCGCGCATGAAAATGACAGACAATGAGGAGATAAGACTTTCTACGAAGATCTCAACACTCATTGTCCATGACCCTGAAATAAATTGAGAGGTTTTTATACATCCTTAAACCTTCACAAATGGGCATCGGTGGTAGCCCATACCGTCAGAAAAGGGGAAAATAATTCAAAGTATGGGGAAATAAGGGGAAAGCTCCATGTTAAAATAAAGCGACATCAGTGGGGAAATACAACCGATTTCCCCTTTTTACGCTTTTTTCCCTTTTTAGTCGCTTTTTCCCACTGAAAATCGCTTTCCTATTTAGACCTTGTCCAGTTTTCCCCCCTAATTCCGCATAATTTACCCTTAATTATCGACTTTTCTTCCTTAATTAGTGATTGAATAGTCAATCACTAAGTAGTGATTATGTGAAAGTAAAGGAAAATAATCGTATAGAAACGTTCTAATACACAAGATTTTTCGTAACGTTTTGCTATGTATACCGCAGCTTTAGGTTGATTGTTTCTAATTACTCATATTAAGTTAACACAGTCTTTGTCCTCAATAATTATTGAGGACTTAGAGAATTGTTATAACAATTCTCTAATCAACGTGTTTGTGTATGCATGTGCACCCAGCTCAGTCTTTTCAAAGATTTGAAGACTAAGTTCTTCATGACTTACTTCTTTTCTATGCTTGTATCCATAACTTGCAGACAGAAAGCACCTCACAGAAAGAACATTTCCAACAAGTAAGAATGCTGAGTTCAAGCACAAGCATCATCTGCGTAACCATTTAAGCATGAATTTACGTCACTTAAACAAAATTTACGTGAAGGAAATCCGATTGAAATCACCTTATTTATCAAGTTTAATAGTAGCTACTGAGTCAACCTATCACGTATCTGGGTACCAATTGGTAAAACTGTCTTCCTTTAGGCGAGCTTTTCAAAAATCACAGTAGGGTTTGACAAATTTTGATTAGTTTGTTATATTCACTGTGTTGAGGTTCATAACTCCCTGAACAAACATTTTTCTACCCTTTATACAGTCTAATGGCAGTTTCAAAGGATGTCTGCTTAGTTTGTCGCAGAAATGTCAGCTTCTTAGCTAAGGCGATGGGTTGTGAGTTTTGCTCTAAATAGACTCACGGCTCCTGTGATTCCAGTCAGCCATCTGGTTATTATGAAGTACTGCTTAATAGCCCTTTTGATGGTGATTGGTATTTTTGTTCTTGTTGTACGCCCAAAAGTAAGTACCAAATAGGTCTAGAGATAGTGAGACAGAACTCCGACCACCTTACGGCTGAGATCTCTACACAAACCAGCCTCAATCGAAAGAAGTCTCATGGCTATAAAAAGATCCCTCAAGTAAGCAGTAAGGGAATTAGCCAATTCATCACTGTCACTGACTGTCTCCGCGTTAGCACGCCTTTGAAACAGATCCCCTCAGTGACGAACGGGAATCTCACACCTGATAAGCGCCGAAAGAAAGGTGTGAAGAAATGTAGGCTGGTCAGTTCAGTTAAAAACGGAACATTAAGTAACGATCATAAGTCTGACAGAGTAGCGACCACTCGGACTAACGAGAAGCTGAGCCATAAGCTGATCATCGCCCCTCTTACTCAGGCTAAAAACGTTCCGTAAAAAGCAGGTCTTGCCCCCACCACCTGTAACTCAGGGCGGAGGCCACCTGCATTTCACCACCAGCCTCGTCCAATCATCAAGAAAACTCCCACAGCTGGCACCTCAGATCTTCCGAGTAACTCGCAAAAAGGCTCATCAGAAATCTGAGTCTGTATTCACAGGTCGGAATAAGCTCCAAAAGACAGACCATAACCTTAATCTCAGATCGCTCATACTATTCAACGTTCAGGAAAGCGGCTCCTCCCTATTGACTGGTGGTGAAGAACATGACCTTGGCCAATGAAAGAGTGTTCGCAAACTCCTAGGAACCTCCCCCCTACAGTCCATCTCTTCAACGCCTAGCGCTTAGTAAGTTCTCTCCCAAAGGCTCCCTAGACCTTTAAGAGTATCTCCTGATAGTACGCGTCAGTCCGAACACATCCTTCTGATAGGTCATCAGTTGGCGAAACGTAAACTGCCTGACGTCAGGATTAGGTTTGATAGACCATGGTCAGTACAAGAACTTCTTCGCAACAGCAAGAATGTTCACTCTCAAGAGTTATGCTGCTCGGTAATTACACAAGGGATTCCCGAATGTTCGCGTACCGATACTGCCAAACTTATCCACGATATAAATCAGTGGAGATACACTGTCAGTAGACTCCAAATCGATGTGAGGGCCAGAAGAATTAATCGTCTTCCAAGGCTAGCTCACCTCTCGACTATACGTACTCCCAGGCTACTCCAAGTAACCCTTGACTCTCCGGACATGGTTAGAACTACCTTGGAATCCTGGTACAATATATCCGATACACTCCCTGGAGAAATAAAGATAAGGGAGTGCAGACGCAGGGAACTGAGAGGCGATTCAAGCGCTTACCGTTGGCCAACGCACACCTAACGGTAGAACGGTTGGACTATGATCGAGAGTTTTTATCGACATTCTCCCAGATCGAAGAACCCGGCACCAGTTCTCAGTCGAAGAAATCGGTGGATACAGTAGCCTTTGCCAAAGCCGGCCATTTAAGGGTTGGCAACTCATGCTTAACGCAACCGGTTTCTGGGACCTCCAGTCCCCATACTCTTATTCGCTGTACCTTCAGCAATGTACGAGGTTTACGCTCCAAGGTGCCTGAGTTAAGGTTATTAGTGGATGAGGAAAGTCCTAGCATAATGGCTTTCTGTGAAACATGGCTACCAGAAAGCGTAAAAGACGAGGAAGTTCGCTAAGGACAGCTCAGCCTGGTCGTAAAGGATAGACCGGAGGGTCCAGGAGGTGGCACTGCTCTTTACACCTGACCTTCCTTAAAAGTCCATGAGATTCAATCTCCCGGAATCGGCATTAAGGGTGTCCTCTGGTGTAGCATTAAGTGCTGCGGAGGTCCGTGTTTAGTTGGAGTTTTATGTCGCCCTCCTGCAGCTGGTGCCACGCCAAATAAAATGTTAATGCAGTCCATTAGAAGGGCCCTGGAACTGGACTTCCCACAGGTGCTCATTATAGGAGATTTTAACTTCCCTCAACTCTGTACCACAGAAAGTCCATCTACTGCTCTAAAAGACTTTCGGGAACTGTTACTGGAAAACTTCTTCACAGAACACGTTTCCTAGTGTACTCGCTGGAGGCCTGACGGTAAGGCATCCCGACTAGATCATATTTTCACGAATCAGTTCATTGGGGTAAGCAACTTGAATGTTCTCAGCCCTCTTGGTGTAAGTGACCATGCAGTTGTCTCCCTCAATATTTCTGTGTCTAAGCCATCCGTTCCCGATCAGCCTCCAGTTAGGAATTACAAGAGAACTGATTTTGAGAAGGTTCGGCAAGATCTAGAAGGTTCCGCTTGCTTAAATTGCGATGACCTACCGGACCTTGATGCTAGATGGGGTCTGCTGCAGAATACAATCCTACAGACGATAGAAGACAACACTCCTCTGATCCCAAGAAGAACTAACAAATTCCGCTCCTCCTGGCTTAAGTCTAGCACGCGCAAACTAATACGGCGTAAACTGTCGTCTTGGAATATATTTAGGTGCACTAATAGCCCTTTTGACTGGCTAAATTATAAAGACATCCGTAACAAATGTACAGTAGGGATCAGGAGCGACAGAACAAACCACCAGACACAACTTTGCAGAACCCTGGATGGGAATCATGGGATACTGTACTCGTTGATGGAACAGAAGAGTAACAGTCCACCAAGTTTGCAGGACCCCATTAGTCTGGAGATTCTCTATTCCAACTCTGAAGTTGCAAACCTACTAGCTCATGAGTTCCAAAACAGCTGTCATTTAGGAGGCGAAACCCCGCCTCTATCGGACACCCGTATCACAGAGGGACTAAATCATATAGAGTTTAGGCCCTTTGTAATTGTGAAAATATCAAAGAAACTGAACCCGAATAAGTCTCCAGGAATCGATGGGATTCGCCCAAGAGCACTCAAGGGGTGCGTTGAAGTTCTGTATGCCCCACCAGCAAACCTCTTCAAATGCTCGTTTCTGGAAGGCAGGTTACCCTCTGATTGGAAACGGGTGGCTGTCATCCCAATTTATAAAGGTGGGAAAAACTACTCGCCCCGGACTACAGACCAATCTCCCTGATCTCTTCAGTTGCGAAGGTCGTGGAGAGAGTCGTAAATGACTCACTTCGCGATCACTTCAGAAATCAATCCTAAACGACTGTCAGCATGGCTTTCCACCACGAAGGTCATGTAACACCAGCTTGTTGATAGCTTGGAATAGCTGGACACTCTCTGTCGAGAAGAGAAGGTCCTTTGTAAGAAACTCCAGCTCATGGGCGTACACGGAAAATTATTAATCTGGCTTAGAGATTATCTGTGCACCAGGGTACAGTCAGTTGGGGTTTGCTCCTCTCTATTTGATTGGTTCCCGATGCTGAGTAGTGTATCTCAAGGTTCCATACTGGGTCCACTACTGTTTCTTGTTTTTATTAATGACCTATCAGGGGCCCGTAATTCACATGCACCATTATATGCCAATGATCTGAAGATCTGGAAGGAAATACAGGGACCAACGAATATTTCGATCTTCCAGGAGGACCTTACGAAAGTCCTTAATTGGACTACAGAAAGCCCGCTTCCTCTAAACTCGAAGAAGTGTCGAGATACGATAGTTGACAAATATAAAGGCAGTCACAGCTCTTACTCTCCAGGTGAAACAAATGTATGTCACTCTAACATGGAACAAGATCTGGGAGTTACACTGAATGATGCTCTAGGAGCCCCTGTTCACTGTCGCCTTGCAGCCAATAGGGCCTATGGGATCCCGAAGTTTCCCTCGCGAACCTTAGGGTGTCTATCTCCTCCTCTTTTCACCGCAGTGTATGCTCTGTACATTCGTCCTCATTTAGAAAAAATTAGTTTGTAATGTTCCCATACTTGAAAGGGGCATTGCCATCCTAGAACGGGTGCGGAGAAGAGCTGCAAAGAAAGTGATTGGGTTACGGCACAAGCAGTACCCAGACCGCTTAGTTGCTCTTCAGCTGCACCCATTGCAACACCAGAGGATCAGAAAAGATATGATCATGGTGTACCACTTCGCCCATAATCCCCTCCATCCCAACAGATTCCTTCTAAGCTTTAGTCGGAAAAGCGACTTGAGGGGTCACCCGTTAAGAATAGAGCATGAGAGAGCACGTACCAAGATCCGTGCTGACTCATTTGCAGTCAGAGTCTGTAAAGTGTAGAATTCCCTCTCTTCAGCTGTTGTAACAGCCCCATCTCTTGATACCTTTAAAAGGAGGCTAGAAGCACACCTCGAGTCCTACGGTACCGATAGGCTATGCTTGAGAAGCTTTCCCCAGATCAGATGCAGTAATACTAACTTGAGACTAGATTAATTAATTGATCGTATCTCTATCTTTTCAGGTTTTTCAGAACCAGGAAGATAGTTGTGACCACCCCAAACTCAGAACGTATTCCAATATGAGCGTTAACTCAATAAACAGATACCATTTGTTGCGCTCGAGATTTCAGTTGCGGACAAATATTTTTGAAATCCTAAAACCTAAATAATAAGAAAAAGAGTACGAATTTTGGACCATCCAATATCTCTTTAAGGAGCCTGTGTAAACCAGTTGAGTTCTTCTTGTCCGCTTCTTGGTCTTCAGGAATGGTTCCAGGCCGTTGGCGTATTTCGGTGCAGTGGACCCAGCCACTGGTCTGCTATAGCTCTGGTATAAAAACAGGAGGTTAGGTATTGGTTACTTCGCCTTGGACTGGGGTGCAGTTGGCTTCTTCAGATGTCACGCTACCAGACAGTTGTTTGGACTGGCCGTTAGGTTAGGGATAATGAAGAGAAAAACTGCAAATGCCAATTTGTGTGTGCAAAAGGAAAGGAAAAGTGAACTAGTGGAGTAATCTTCTCACACCCAGGTAAGGAGAGGAGGGGCGCAAAGATATAAAGAACTAAGGTAGGTGAGACCAACTCATGGCAGGTGGAAGGGATGAAAAAGGCTTAGGTGGTTGCAGTAAAAAGGAAACCTTTAGTGATAGAATTCTAGCGAAACACCACGGTGCCGAATACTACCAGATTCAAATAAAAAAAACGTTGAAAACGCCGTAAATTTTATCTAATTAATCTTCTATGGGCGTGGGCAGATGTCTCTAACCTCGTGAACTTCGTTTGAAAGCACTAGTATCCACCTGATGAAACTCGCCGCTTTTACGTCCTTGGGCTGTTTGACAGCCTCCCAGCTCTTCTGATCAACATGTCCCCTATTTGTCGCTTGTTACCAGTAAATACAAGTAACTAAGGCACCGGCTAGTCGACCCTGGTTCACATGTCACGTAAAAGGTAATGAGGACACAATCAACTTCCTTCAGAGTTTTGAAATCAATATCTTGGTTTCTAACCCGAAATTCCCAATGCATACAGAGAACCCCTATGATTTCCAAGGTGGTAAAGTAAGTTCAGTTGTTCATTGGAAGATCGAGCAACTACTTTAAGTGACTTCGTAACCGTCGCTTTGCGTTTACCAGACTGTACATTTTGTCAAGCTGCAACTAATTATTTACATAGGTACAATACTCTGGGTGATGCCTAGAAGATGCGTAAAAGACTGCCTTTCACCTGGGTTCACCAATATTTCTACAGACATGTAGGGGTTACCAAAGTATTCCAATTTTGTGGGCAAACGCGTTGCAGCAAGGTATCGGTATCTGGTCGACGTTGAAGGCAGCAATATTTTTATTCTTAAATTCCAGAGGGTTGTCATTCATTTATCAAACAATACCAGGACTTGGTCGCCAATCAGAGTCCTCCCCTTTTAGCGAGATATGTAATGGCACTGTCCCTGGGCTGTTCGAACATCGGACAATGTCAAGTTCCAGCATTAAGTCGAGTTCATTCTTCACCAACCTCAACTTATCATAAGTTACGCCTCATGCTTTGTGTCACAAGTGCTTCTGTGATTGTGTTACGATGCATGAGAGATGGTAATCAATTTCTAACTGTTTCTTGGAAGTTGCAGGTCGGGCATTTTGTTTTTAAGGCTAAACTTCAGCACAAAAAAGTTGTTCTTCAAAAAGATACTTCATGTTGTTTAGTGTCGGCAGTCATTCACGGGTCTCTGCTAGCAGATTGTAATATCCCTGCAAATCTACATCAATAATGGCCATGATGAAATCAGATAGAAAGGGAGTCTAGTGAACACAGCCTGCGAGAACCGAAGCAAATACAATTTTTTTCCCAAACGGTCAAAATCAGTCTTCCATTAACTGCTTGTAGATCAAAGCGCAGGTGATGACGACGTTCATTTGTGTTTACAGGAAAAACAGCAGCATCCGCTTTAGTGTTGGCGAGATAAAGAATTTCCGCCTTCACGTCCGCGACGTTTATTAAGTGTCTATTTCCGTCCACCGCCGTTGACGTTTCTGCTTTTCGGCATGTCAGTTTCCCCGCCTTGTGTTTTCGTCATTGAAAACTGACGTTTCCAAAGAATTCTAGCCTCCTTATTCATCTGATATGGAGCCACCACCACTTTAGGTTTTCTGTCTTGTGATGCTTCCCTGCTGGCTGGCCATGTGAACTGGTTATTTGGTATTGATACACATTAGTTTATATAAGACTGATCGCATGTTAGGTAATAAGAACGCAACCGGCTTTTCGTGGTCGACAGACTTGCGTATCACTTAGTTTGTGTGTGCTAAGCTCTGTTTTGTCTAGTAATTTTTAAACCAGTGTGAACTCCTTTGGGTGTTTTTTGATTTTTTTGTAACTCTTTTACTTCCGTTATATGTGGCCATACGGGCTTGCTTGTTGTCACGCGTATTCTGAATAGCTGAGTGTCGGAGGTCTTCCGAACACTTGGTCGTTAATGTTAAGCTTCTTCTTTCAGAGCAGAGAGGCTATGAGCCTGACAGGCCTGTTTCAAAGCTCAGTTCACTGTAAGGCAGATTAACTCACAAGAAACTAAGTTCAACCTGGTTACTTGCGGTCTCTTGGAGAGTAGTACGGAAAGGTCTTCGAACTCGCTCGGATGGGGGTACTGTGCTCTATGCGACAACCAAGGAAATCAATAGCAACCTTCTCAAACAGCTGTGGCCCCAACGCCTTCCGCAGTTGGTCCAAGGAACCTCACAAACTTTGATTCAATCGCCCATATTTTTTAAATGTATGAAGGACTCCACAGCATCCAAAAAGTAATGAGAGGACATCAATTTTCAGGTCATGTTTCTCGCTAACGTTCGCTATCTGCCACGAAACGTTGCTTCATTAAGTTGCAGGCAAAGAACTAGCAACATGGAATTCCTGTATCGTAGACGTTGTGTTGGCAGTTCAAGAAGTGCACTAAGCCAAACGCTTCTCACCTCAGGCTCCTAGTAAGTGTGTATATCAGCATGTGGTAGCGACTAACTTCACTGGTTAACCACAAGCTAAACATATAATTTTTACATACAGACACTGGAGGTTTTATGATTTTGCGGAAAAAATTCCGCAGGGCCATCTTGACAATATTTGGACACTGATTGAAGCGGGACTCTTCACTTTATAAATAAGCAGCACATATTTCCACTAAAACTGGAACAAGAGGGGAAACCGAGAAGAAACGCGTAATCAACATTTAAATTTATCAATACCTCTCAAAACGGTGTTTGTCAGTAAAATGAGACGTAACAAAAACTACTATTATCCATTTGCTAACGACGGTAATAACTATCACAAACACTATTTTTTGTAAGCATGAAGGGGAAGTCGATTTCTGCCCAGTCGATAAGACTTCATAGCTGCAAGTCAGTCATGTACAAGTAGTGCCTCGCAACGTAACTGTCAGTTATTTTGGGCCGCTCATTTTTTTAATATAGTTGGAGAATCTTGTAAGATGTGGAAAATGTTTTAGAGAACGTAAGTATGAGGTTATCGGTCTGTCAAGCCCTAGATAGCCCACAGAGGTGATGAGAAAATATTCGAGTTATGCAAACCCAAATAGATCAAAGCGTGCTTATTCCAGTGGTATGTTGATTTGTTTGAGAAGAAACTAAACACGAGCAGTTTTAGGGAAAATAATTCTTAGTGCCACCGAGCCAAAATACCAAAGTGGTGGACCAAACTAAGTGGAGAGATATTTCGGGCAACGGAAAACTGAATGAAATAAGAAAATAATTCTGCAAACACATGCCATTTATACAAAAGTAAACTGTTCCGGGTTTATTTAATGGTGGCAAATCAGTGAGCGTCACCTCCTCACCCACATAACTTCCATCCATAACTGATGATACTCTGGCAAGTGATAGCGACGTTTCTTTCAATTCGCAGTCAAATTCAGGGTTTCGGCTGTTATGCGCAGAGACACCGAGGAAATTCGAGGTTTTCTGACATCAAAATGGCTACATTGAGCGAAAATACATCTGCCGCGTCTGCTTGTTTTGCTGTTAGCAAGCAGAGCCCTTCCTTGGGGATAGCATCATTCCAGTTTCCTTTAAGTCTAGCGGTGCGGAAAACAGCAGGAAGCCACGTTAAACGGGATGCGAAGCAAGTGTGTGTAAATGAGAAAGAGGTTGAAGAATCTCAGGAAGATTATTTCCATACCTGATGTATTCGGTTGATCGGCCTGCATCGAGACTCTTCACGTAGGTCAAATCACCACATAAAAAGAAAATACATTGGACAACTTTACAGTGGTTATCTACCCTAACAGATAAATACTCTTAGTCTGTGCCAGGATGCCCCTTGAATTGGTTTCACTTTCAATATGTAGGATTGCACTCAACTGAATGCACCCCAAAATCCTGGAAATTCAGTTGATCATTTCCTTGTCTCGTTATGATAAGCGGCGGTCATATTTTTAGTCAGTATAAAGATATTTATTTCAAGGCGTAAAATCACAGTGATACAACTTTTTAAAACGTGCAAGCTGTACTTAGTAATCTTCGAAAATGTCAAATCCAATACAGCTGAATGCGAACTCATAGGTCCAAACATCAGAGATCTACAACTGCAGAAAATTCTACGACCAAGTCCCGACATGGAATCCTCAAAAATAAGCCATGCGTTACGCGTCACTTTGACTCTTTCGACCACGTTGCTAGCAGTTGAGAGGCGTGCTAAATACACCTTATCCCTTACTTTAACATAAAGAAGGAATCTGACATGGTTTCTCGTAACACGCTATTCGAAAATTTAAATGCAGCAAGTATTTGCAACTATCTCTTAAGCTGTTAGAAACTACTGATATTAACCGTCGCATCAAACCCACTGGGTAGCGTGCAAACGAGGCACGGACTTTCAGGAGTCCAAAATCCGAAAGCGAAACCGACCAAATCCAAAACGATTGGCTACCAAAAAACGAATGTGTATTCGTGCAGCAAGTGGACCCAGCGTAAATTGCTCCTTCCAAAAAATGTATACAAAACCTAATTGTAAACCAACAATTTTGATTTCTACCGCAGTCTCCATGCAAAATGAGGTACAGTGGTAACGCTAATTGAAACAAGAGTTTAAATATGGTTTAACAATCAAATCGAATGAAGTCAAACAACATGAGTGGTCAGTGATTCTTAATGCTTCAGAAGAATGAAATCAAAAAGCGCCCAACGGTACCTAGATGACAAAAGTCAGCTCATTTTTGTTCACCTCTAGTTATATCACCATTAGAGTTGTGAAAAACAGCTTTCTGGAGCCTCCCTTGTTTACTATTCACATTAATAGTGTTTGCAACTCTTCTGCCACTGGTGAAACTTTTCTGTACGCTGATGACCTAGAAGTCGTCTACCCCAGTAATAGGCGTGAACCGATTGATGCTGATAGACATTCAGCAATGACTAAAAGCGGTTACTTCCTGGTGTGCTGCTACCCTCCCGCAGTTGAGCATCAGCAAATGCATGTGCGTTTGCAGTGGCGACAGTGCCTGTGACTTGGTATCTAAAGTTCCTGGACAACGGTTACCAGAACTTGGTTCTCTCTTAGGCCCGGGACTAAGATTTTTCGGTGACTTCAGTTTCTCCGAAGAAGCGTTGTGTAGCGGAGCCATGTCACGTGGACTCCTCGAATGTATCATTCAGAACCAACGTAGTACTGGATCAAACCTTCTACTCTGCAAAGTATGCGTTTGCCCAAATTTGGGATACCGCTGGTTTGTTAAAAGTGACCTTCGCATGGATGACAGCCTATAACTCGGAGTGCAGCGCCACATTGCGTTAAGAAAGCCAGCTGCTGACTGCGACTTGGACTACGTCACTGGATGTAACATGCAGAGACCAGAACCTTTCTGGACTATCTGACTTAAAATAGTTCTCTTATATTATAAACTACGCTTCGGGCACATGCACTCATACAGCCAAGAAGTAGAGGTAGTCGTAACGTCTGCTTACAATAAACTGCACACATAAACGACTAGCTGAAATTGAGTGTTGCAAAACCAACTTGCGAGGTAGTTTTTTTCTCAGTTAGTTCCCCTACAAATGGAACAGGCTTCCTAAGAAAACACGCGATGAAAGTTCATTGCCTGCTTTTTGCCCCTCGGTTGATGGGCTCCTCATAGATGATGAGTCCATCAGGCGCTTAGCCATCATCTATGCTTCCTGTGTTGACAAAAATGTACTAGGACCCCTAAGTGTATAAAGTAGGTTCATTGCCAATCTCAGATACCTTTGGTCTAGATGGAAATAAGAAGTCTTACTTGTACACTCTTGCTTACCTTTTCAGCCGGTACTTCAGGTGATACTTTCACTCCCCTTTATACGAGGTGAACAAACCATGCCACAATTGACTGGGAACTGGTGCCTTCGTCAATCGGATGTATTCAGCGAAGGGACTGCTTCACCCCAGCTGATCTAAAACCGGCAATAGGTATGCTCTACTCTCATCTAAGTAACTGCCCCTTTGGTGAAACCACGCCAGCCCATCCCAAACAAATCTCTTGTTCCCCGGAAAACGCGTCCAAAGATGCGTCAGCCATCGACAAAATAATTCGGATGCCATGTCTCTGCTTCCCTACGGACTCTTCTTAACCCCTTTAGTTCCACTGCTCCTCATCAAGAAGTGCGTGCAAAACGAGTTGAAACTATTGCACTAGGTAACTCGTCTGAAGCGAAAGCACTCACAGGACTCTGAAGGAAGAGGGCATATCAGCGGAGGCTTGGCATCGACTTTCTCATCCGTGGCACTGGGGTTAGCAACGATTCACAAGAAATGTGTGAGTTATTCAGTAAAATCTTTTCTTCCAGCCATCCACCGCGACAGATTTCTCTACCGCCACAGACTCAGTGTGTATTACCGATCTACCCTCGTTCAACACACTAGAATCCATGCATAAGTAAATAAATAAATGTTTTATTCTCACGTTAAAAAAAGTTTTGACATGAGAGAAGACAGTTTACAGGCTTCATCACGTTGATACATCTCAAAATATCTACAAGACTTGAGCCCTCAGTGGTACTGACGGAATGTCAGTAAACTCAATTAAAAACTGCCGAAGGTCCTGCTGGTCATGAAATGAACGAGGAAATATTGCTTTACAGCGTACATAGAGTGTTAAAGTTTAGATAATAGTAAATATTGTCTTCATTTAACAGGGATACCAGTTTAGAAGCACCGCCGAATTCATGATTTCTGAAAGTTTACGAACTGGTATCTAGTATTAAATAATTTACACATCGAGTCATTAGTGTGCATAATCTTATTAAAATTTACTGAAATTCATTAGACGGGCTTAGATTTCTGTCTCGAATACAACCGGCTTCTCGTGCGACAACTTTAATCGACCTGTTGGAACACTCCGAAGCCCCAGTAGATTAGGCACGGATGGAATATCATGGTATTTTATCAAACTTGGTGGCCATGACATTTCGGTATTGTTGCTTTAGCTATGCTCAACTTCTTTGTACGCTTTTGCGTACCCCAGCTCACAGAAGACATTCTTCATCCTACCTTACCTTAAGTCTGGTGCAGACAGTGAAAGGATTAACCATTGGCCAATGAAAATTTACAACATTAATATATTTCGAATAACGAATCATACGAGCGCGTCATTCTCACAGGCAATATCCGAATGTTGTCTTCATCAATTAAACCGAGAAAGTTTAGGAAGTGCGAGCCATCGGGCAGTATAACGTCTTTTAGAGTAGGCGATTGTCTCAATATTGCTGTCACAAGTATTGGGCAGACACTATTTCGCTGCATAGCAGCATTAAAAACTGATACGGGTATAATCACTCAGTATGACTAGTATCCTGGCTATAGTGAGTCGCTTGAGCAGTAAGAGTTTACCTTACATACAATGCTGAGCACAAATAGGGATGAAAATGTGTGAGTACTCGATAACTTTGTGCTGTCTTCAGAGAGCAGACGAAAGTAGAGTTAAATACTGAGAGGAGTAGGAGGAGGTAAAACCCGAAATCCTATCTCCCCATAGGACTTCTTCTAGTCCTATCGAAAGTAATGGAGAGCCTAGTAGACGACTATGTCGGAGAATACTTGGACAATAAAAGGGGGTGTACGTGATGCCCGACGCAGCTTGCTGAATTGTAGGTCACGTGCCTAAAACATTCTCGCGGTCGGTGACCACCGGGCAGCATGCTGGGACCTCCAGGTCCCTGGTTATGTGGTTTTCCCGGATTTCTCGAGGGCTGTGAGACAGAGTCGTTAGCCATTTTCGTTCCAAAAAATCAAGGCTGCGCATCGACGGTCAAGTGCTCAACTAGCTCCGACACTATTTAGACGGCAGATAATTATGAGCAAAAGTCAACAGGGTTCATTGGACTTGGAGGATATCATCATCACAAGGAGAGATTCTGGGTCCTTTGCCCTTTTTTCTTTTTGCGAATGACTTCCAATTTAGCCTAAGCTCCACGGTTTAATTTCTCGCTGACGATGTTAAGTTACGGAAAGTTGTGACTTTCGAAGCGGAAACACCCGCATTACAAAGTGATCTCAGACTGCTTGTAGAGTGGGTGAATAACAAAGAAGTAGGATTTAACCTAGGGAGACCTAGAACTATGTTTCTCCACGCCCCTAACTCAGAAAAGCGTTTTGATCTCCCCGTCTCTTGCACCTTTCCCACAAATCCATGGAGAAGGACCGGTGACTAATACTGGCTGATAAGGTAGGCAGGAGGTGCCCCAGAGCTTGCTCAGTGCTGCACTTCATGCATGGAAAACTATTTATCCTCACTCTGGAGCCTGTTCTGAAGCTCTGCAAGGCCTATACGCGACCTTACTTTGAGGTCCTTAGTGTCATTGCACCACCATATGGGAAGAGAAATATGAACTTTGCACAGAAAGTTCGGAGGCAAGCAAGGAAGAAAGTTGTGAGAACACGGCAAAAAACCCTTTGAGGATAGGTTAAAAGTCTAGGGCTTTACTCCCTTTGGCTACCGTAGGTTACGCAGAAACTGTCTAAAAGCTTACAAAATAATAGATAACTCAGTCATCTGAACAGTGGGATCATACCAAACGGCCGATATGTTAATCCTTGCGGTAGCCCAAAGAGCATCCGAACATTGCTGAATATTTTGTACCGCCACTATCATCTCGAGCTTGCCTTGACCCAAGGCACCCCTACATAGGTCTTACACTTAGTTACCACACCCCCACTGATGCCATGAAGATATAGATTCCCCTGGTCTGTCCCGCGACCTTACTTGGTCTTTCTCTTCCGTCTGTTAAAGTTTACCCTATCACTTACCTGCCATGAATCTACCTGGTTTTACTCTTTTCCGTTCCGCTTCCTTCCACCTTGATTTGCACCACCTCTCCCTTGATTTCGCTGAACATGTGTTCTTGCCCTCTATCTTCCTTTGACGACCAGTAAGAACAAATGTCTGGTTGTACAACACTTAAGGAAACCATCTGCACCACAGTCCTTGGACAAATAGTACAACCAGAGCAACACCATGTGAGTCGGTGGACCTGCTGCACTGAATCCATTAAAAAATCGGAACCATTTTTCGAGACGTAGAAGCGAGCACGAGGGAATTAGTTGGCTGACACCAACTTGTAAAATTAAATTGGATATTGAAAGGCAGTAGCTTCGGTACTTAACGCTACCGACAGGATTACTGCAATACGTTTATCCGCTAATTCTGTGGAATGTCTTAAGTGTAGCTGAGCGTTTTAATAAATTCACAAGTACTTTTCCATTGACTGCAAACTATTTGCATACAGTTATGTTTATAAACACATGCACGCCCAAATTATTCTGAAAGTGCGGAAATTATGCAGGTAGTCCGTAAAACTTCGCTTAAGTGTCGCATTTCAGCATTCCGAATGAAGGGAGTAACCCGCGTTATTTCAGCATTCCCCAGTCAAACATGATCGTGTCATGACTGGGTGCACTTAGTGATTTTCGTCATGCTCTTCGTTTTTTATGTGAAAATGAAATCTTTTTGCATTGTATGAGTCTATCTGTTGTTGGCTAAAACGTTCTAGGTAAGTATTGAGAAGCTCGTCATCATTTCATGGAAAGGTTATCCCGTAGGACGTACTTTAATGGGGAAAAAACTTAGTGACTTATTCAAAAGACTTAATGGGATTAAAAACTATGTATTCAATGAGTACGTAGCATGAATGTCTGCGTGACATGTTAAAGAGGTGCTAGTAATTAAAGAGCTGTACATATGTACCATATGGTACCAATCACTATAGATTATGTTGAATTCCGCTCCTGACTACCTATGCCTGGAAGACAAAAAAAATTAAATCACTTCATTCACCAAAACGTAGAGATAGATGTGAAGTAGTAATGTAGATCTATATCAACTCAACTTTGAAAGATGTCAATTGTCGAGGTACAATGGAAGCTTGTAAAGCAAAATAAATGGTTAGTACGCGGGATGTACACGATATTCAAAAGTTTCATAGTAGTACTAATGATAAAGTTTTTAGAAATGGTAATAGTTGCCGTGGTAATGTTTTTTCACTTTTCTGTAAGTAGATGAAGTACTTAAACTTCTGCCTCCAAACTACTTCCTTACATTTCTTCTGCGTATCTTGTTTCAGAGATCAATAAGTAGTTTTGATTAGCTACGTCCAAGTCGCAGTCGACGTCCTTCTCGAGCCTTAATACATTCATGACTCGACTTTATTAAGGCTAGTGATGATTAGAGTGAATTTTTAACTTTACATCGCGTGATCCAGTAGAATGTGCATTTCACCTAGGACGGTTTCGTTTACGTTCTCACGAGTGCATACTGGAATACCATCTCAGGTTTCAAAACCGCCCAACATACAGTGAACTGAAGTCCGAATGTCATCGATCAACTTCAGTCTCATTTTATAGTCTGGTGCACTCAAGTTAAATGAAAGTAATGGACGTAACGCTCTTTGAATTCGCTTTCCTTTAACGACACTTCAACTTTTTCTATGGAATCCATTTGTTGGTTTAATTCCGGGAAGTCAACTGTTACGTCATCTGCAACGAATGCATCATTTCCTTTGGCTGTAACACAATTTACCAGTTGTGAGGTTAACTTCGTTCATATCACTTGAAAGATTACTAAGTAACTTCAGTGTTTCATCCAGTTTACATTCTACTGAATTACATGTTTCCAGTATTAGTAGTGCAGACTGCACTTACTGCAGGCTTCCACTTTGACATGTTGATTATGACGTTATGAACTGAGGTTGACTTGCTGCGGAACTGCAAAACGGTCATTTCATATATCTAACGTAATTTGCAGTGCATGCAAAAAGTTACTGCAACAGATTTTTCTTTGGATATTCAACATTTATGCAAGTCGATTAAGCAGCCTCAAGCTCCGTATCAGTGGAGTCATACAGGCAGTCACTCGTTTTCTTAATATCTTTAAGAAGTAAAAAATTATTAGTTGGAGGACTTACTTCACCGGCCTCTTAGCTGATAACGGTATTATATCCTCATTTTCTGGTAATGCATACCCAAGCGTCGTTGAGAAAACTGGAAGGAGCTTTTTCACTTTCAAACTGGTATCTGAGAATTAAGTAATTAAGATGCACTAAATTATACCACCTTATTCCGTAGTAACGTTGCACGTCTGAATATTCCGTCCACAACCAGTTGTTAGGTCATCACTTTTTTCCTTTGAGTAAACATATATCCTTGGATAGCATCCATCCGTGAGGCACCAAGCCAACACGTTTTTAATCAGGAATATCAAGCACCATGAACTTTTTACCTGAGCACTAAGGAGGATAGTTACAGAAAGGAAAAACTAATAAATGTATTTCTCCAATATGCATTGATGGCTTACATTCAAATCAGTTTACTTGTAATAGAATACCATGCTTCCATTACAGACAGCGAATTGACAATCGGTGAGAACGTCAACGAAGTGTATGCAGCAACGGTATAAATACTTCATAGTTCATTGCAGGAATCACAATCCATCTTTTCATATCGTCTAAGAAACTCCAACCTCATTCATGCCCTACTGTAAAACACCTAAACATGCCTGTTTTACTTAATGGGAATGGTTTATGGAAGTCGATGAGGTCATGTGGCCGGAAAAGATTTTCCGGTTCCATAATATCAGTAATTAATCCCGACTGACCCCCTAGCTATCACAACATTACCGGGAGTATAAGCACTTAACATTTACTTTCGAGATATCGTTGCGCTGCTCCTAAGGCCTGCTTTTTGTAACACATCCATTTCAGAAATAGGCTCCATTGGGTGAGGCTTTTCTCCCATGTACACTTAACCAATATATTAGCCACCTGCTCGACTGCAGCGTCACTACTGTACAAAATACCATCATCTGCAATGTGCTTTGATGACATACTCTCGTCCATGTTAAACCCCATGCTCAGCAGCGAAATTCTGCAAATCACATTTTATGGATTTACGGTATTGCCTACAAGCCTTAGGATAGGACAAAAAGTCTTTGCTTAAAGGCAAGTGGATGATGTTGGTTCACAGAGGTAATGGAAGCATATCATTAAGGACGAGTAGTCCCAAAGAGCGAAAATATCTGGCACCCGATTGCCTTCCATATAGATGCATCACTTAGTGGGCGACATCTCTGAAAATCCCTGGGTTTAATGTATTTACACTTATCCCACTGTATGGTTTTCTTATCTAGTCTCTTCTTCTACCTATTTGCAAACTGTAGCCAGACTGAAAAATTCTCACGGCACCCAAGTAAATAAAATCCATAAAATGTAAAGGAAAAGAGAAAATCATGTCAATAGGTAAACCCTCTAGGCCCAACTTACGACGATATTTCGTTTAAAGGTTTTGACAGGATATAGCTTCCGTTCTCAAAAGATACTTGCCGTTTGGATAAGTCATCCTACTGTCAAGCTTCAGATGACTTACCCAAACGAAGTGGTGGCTCAATGGTTTAGGCAGTTGACTTTCAACCAGTGGGTTGCTAGTATGAACATCTCTCCACCCACTGAGGTTAGGGCGGCCAGGTAGTGTCCTTAACCCTCACGCAATGGATGTGACTCGTTGCCTACCTCACGAATGTGCATAAGGTTGCTGAGTAGATTTCGATTGTGACTGTCAAGCGTATGTCTCTCAACGGTACACCTATCTGAGGAACCAGTGGTTGGGGACTCTACGGGATATGGCTCAGAACCGATGTCAGTGGCGCAGATGTATACACACATTATCGTCATCTTAACGACGCTATACCGAATCTTACCATTTTGTCATTCCTCTTTTCTTTCTTCTCGTACTTAATATTTCTTTTGACTGCATTCTCTTATCTTCATCCTTCACCTCACTACCCTTCTACGTGATGTACTGTACTGAGCTTTGGCAACCCGGACCGTTACGCAGTAATGCCTGGTCCTGTGTTGATACTGATTGATTGATTGATTGTACACCTATCACAACCTGCAGTGGCATTATGGCCGGTTGTGTGCTTTGCATACGATCGTGCGGGTTGTCACTAACTGCGGCTACAAGTTCTACCTCAATGTTGTTCACTATGAAGCTTATCATTATAAATATCTTTCAACACCGGAAAAAGTTCTTCCATGTATTCCTTGAAGTCTGTTTCCCAGCACCACCATAAATCCCTATCATAGATACATCACTAAGACCAACTATGTGACCTGGTATTGGTCGCAGCTGCTGACTTATACTTTTGGAGATATAAACAATCAAAGTTCGCCTGTAAGTTAATGCTACGGAAGTCAACACTGTGTACCCACGCTTCTACGTAATGCATAAGGTCACCTTTAAGACCAATGTGTTAATAAATGCCGTTGCCTAAAATTCTCTCCGGCAGATTGCCACACTTCTTCAAAACTCCCCTGACGCTTCGTAACTGCGGAAAAGCTGCAGAACACAGTCCATGTTGGCAATACTGATATTGGTCATCAGGATTATTTCCATAACCACATCTTTTAGTCTGTCACTCAGTCTTTAGTCGTTCAACAATTGGCACAGTTTCATCTGTTTCAATAACTATACAAGGCCTAACAGGCTATACCCTCATACTTGTAGTCGAGTCAATAACAAATAGGAACCTGGCATTCCTGCGTAACGGTCCAAGTTACCGCAACTCACAGCAACACTAATCAGCAAGATAGGTAAATATGTTCAAAAGTGGTATAATTATAAAAAAGAAAACTAGAGGAATAAGATAATGTGTAGATGCATCTCTGTAATTGGGATCGATCCTGAGCTGTATCACAAAATTACTGTCGGTGCTAATGCATCCACACATTTTCTACATCCTAATTGTTAAGACACACTTTGCCTTCTCGTCTATATCGTATGATTTTCTACAGCTTATTCATCTTGGTGCTTCGTATCCTAATGTGATGATGTAAGATAGGGCAACTCTTACTATCACACAGTAATGCTTATTCACATTTCGTCAACAGAGCTGAAACTGCACTAGTCGACTGGATTTCCATCAATAATCGTCTGTGCTGTTAGAATAGGTTTGATTGAGGTGAAAGGTAACTCGAAAAGGAAACGTCTCTTTGTTGTTTGTGTTTACTCTTCAACTGACTGCAGCCCAGATAAAGTTCAGGATGAACTCGACTATCAATTGATTAACCCTTACTACCGGGTGCGCTTGAAAGACATTGTAGGGCCGGCTGGGGAATCGTACGCACAGATCGAACGTCTAGCCGCTCAAGATTATCGTTTAGGTGGCCAGTAGGGTTTAGTTGGGTGCCAGTCAGATAATGGAGAATATCTGCATGGGTCACAAGCAGTTTCTAGCGAGTACCAACTTTTAGGACAGCTGTTACCGTCGTGGTGCTTGGCGTCTTGCCTCTGCCACTCAAGCCTGAACTCAAATAAATATTATAGCCAGCTACCAATGAATTAGACTATATTTGGGGCTGCTGCTCTTTCTGGAGCACTTGTTTGAACTTCCATCACTTTTTGTTTTGTGCTTAATTCTTACGTTTTGGTAACCATCAGAATTGTCGTCCGAAATGGGTAGTTGCAATCAAACTGGTTGCCCATAATATTGCGACTAAATGCCAAACTGAGTTATATTTAAGCCTGGCTACCAAACCTCCAGAAAATATGGATGAGCGTTGGCTGCCCTTACAAGACGTCATGAAAACGGCAAGTTGAACTGCTTATGTATGTGAAGAACGTTCCCCCCACTAAACACTGATTCTCTACGGGTCGCTTGTAACTTTTTGAAGCTCGTCGGTATATTCTTGCAGGCAGCGAGTACTTCTAAGACTGTGCAAAATGTGTAAGGGTCTGGTGAACCAGGGGAAGATTGGGTTTCATCTAGGCCGTGGATGCGCTGAGCACGTGTTCACCCACCGTAAGATACTAGAACATCACATTTATTGCTAGCCGACGATCGTCTCACTTCATAATATTAAGGCTGCTTTCGATTCTCTGGACATGCCTGCACTCTTGAATTTTCTAGTAGAGAACAGTATTCCTGAAACCTTTGTTAACATCTTGAAAGCCTTTTACTTCAACACCTCGAGCAGAGTGAAGACTTAAAAGCACCTATCTCGGTTATAAACTAATATAGAGTTTCGGTAGGGCTGCTTATGTTCACTTCTCTTTAACTTTAACATCAATGACACTAGAGACAACCTTAAAGGTAGTGTGATGGTGGTTTTGAACCGCTAACAGGTGAAAATCTTTTCGACGTTGAGTATGCGGACGATATCGTTTTAATGTGCAGTAACATACAAGCTACTCAAATTGCACTTACTCAGTTGGTGTTCGGTGGTTTGCACCGTCGAAGTAAAAAGTGCTTTCACAAGCTTAATGGGACTGTGCGCCTACAATCATTCTGGGTGATTACCGTTGGAAGTTGTCGAAACGTTAGCGTACCTGGTTTACTCTTTAAGCACTAGTGAAGATGCAACTGGTGAGATTTACAGTAGTACATCGAAAGTCGAACCAGCAAACGCGAACCTGGTTCACTTTTGGTGCCGTTGGCCTTGCTCTTAAAAATCGAGTATATAATGCTTTGGTGCGAATAGTTATGCGATACGCCTGTAAAACTTGACCTTCATGTGATCTAATAATATATGACAAACTCATTAGATAGGGTCTGCAAGATCATGCAACTCAATGGCGTGAGACGACAGCAGATATAGCACAGAGTTGAGACCAATAACGTTCCCTATGTCCATTTATCAAAATATCGTGATCTAGAGCAACATTGTTGTGTAACTAGCCCTTTCGTTCTAAGCTTCAAAGCTGACTTCAACCTTATCGATATTTTTTACCTTTACATAATCCAGGGTTGAATTCTCTATCATCTCTTGCTGTTATTCATAATAAAATCACGGACCTCTCAGCTATCTCTTCGTTCGACGTCTTGCTGCCAAGTTATCTTACTCAAAATGCTTTCAGAAAAACGCAAAAAAGTGAGATATTCTACAGATCCAAACGGAAACTTATGGGCTGATAACCCCAACAATTTTGGCAGAAAAATGCTTCAGAAGATGGGTTGGGCACCCGGACAGGGTTTAGGGAAAAACAGCAGCGGTATCAAGGCACCCGTTAAGGTATGTCAAATATTCTAATTTCCCGAAGAATTTACTGTGCAGGCGTCCACACACAAAGGAACACGAGGACTTGGCATGAAATCAGATTTCACTGTGGGCCTCAAACAAATTGACGAGTATGCAAGTCTCCTACGTGCACTAAACGATGCGCACAGTAATCCTGACAAACCGAATCTAGTCGGTGAATGTTTATCAACCAAATCACGACGAGGCACAAAAGCCATATGTGCTAAAGACGCATCAAAATACAGTGAAAAAGATCTTTCCATTGTTCTTGGGCGTTCGGAAGCACGTTTAGAAAAGAAAAAACTAACACCAAATACATCTGTTAGTAATTATGATGTCCAGTTTCCAACCGTAGTAAGTTCAGTTTCTGCCTCAGAATACTTCGCAAAAGCCAAAAAGCGCAAACTTGAAAGCGCGAAACAAGTTTTTAGTATGTTGTGTTTTAATTTTCACCAAGTACATTAGACGCACTAAACATGACATCAACCGAATGCAGTAAGGACAGTTGGCGGATAGATGGATTAACAACACCGATCAGCTTCGACATGTGCACAAATAATCATGATAACCAGTACACTACGTTAACAAAATCCTGTGATAATCAGCAGTCAGAAGATTACAATGATGTTGCAAACCTATCCATCGATGAACAATGTAAGCTACCTATATTAGAAAACTAAAACTAAAATGTAGGTATCAACCAGAAAACGAAAAAGATCGAAACTATAAATGCAATAGAAAGTGAGTTGTATTGTTTATTAACTAACTACTTACTTAGATGTTATTAAAATGGTATTCAATCAGTCCAACTTACTTTCAGTTCCGGGATATTGTCACTATTGACTGTTTGCAAATAAAAAGGGTTGACTTAAATTTGCCACTTTCTTCTCTTTTTTGCTTCTATATTTGATTTAGTGTTCTAGGTAAAGTAAGTAAATAACAGTAAACTTTCGCCAACTAAAGTAGCCAGAATGTGTTACCACAGCCTATCTCGACACGTCATATTAACCGAAGAAGAAGTAGTTCGGTAAAAGGCTGAGTGGGAAAAACTAAGACATGACATCAACGTATGGCGTCACTGACTGTTGTTCTGTTTTTAGCCTAACCCCTTCTCGATGCAACCAAAGTGATTATTTAGTCTTCAATTCACCTGGCTAAGCTATAGGTGAATAACCGATCAGCTGGCACCGTCTGACTGCTCAGACAGTATTCGTGACTCACCAGTCCCATCGCTTCTGCCTTCATGTGATGGTTGTGGTTGCATATCACAATAACCCGCCAAGCTGCACTGACTAGAACGCCTGTTCCTTGAGGTCATTATGTGCGACGAACCTTTGTTGGATAGTAGTAAAAAAGCAGTTGGGTTTAGAATTTAAATAACTCACCTCACTATGCATCTCAGCCGACCAAGATTAACAACCTTATCAATCGACTTCCCTTTCATGCCTAGTACCATTCGCCTGACTTCAACATTGCTCACAAGGCGATTCCACCAAACGCGAGCAATGCTGCAAAACTGCATGTGTTCGAAAACCTGCGATCTCTTCTTGCCTACTACTTTCAACGGCCACGTCTCACGAACGCGTAACAGGACAGAACAGACTACAGTGCAGTATACTTATCCTTTGATAGATAGTCGGATACCTCGCCAGTCAGCTCCATAGATGACGCTAGCTGGAAATACCAAACAGGCCTTTCGCACAGCAGATGAGATCACACAAACAATTAACTCTTCCAGGCAGATGCGATTCCCCAAGTAAGTGGAACGGGTGACGTATTCCACCGGTTCACTTCCGATCTTTGAAGGAAGAGTAGCTACAGACCAGTCCCGAAGGATCATCTTACATTTGACAGGTGCGAATTGGATGACAGACATGCTCAGAGTCCTACTCAACGCGTTCAGGAGACCCTGCATTTTGTTCGCATCTTCACGTAGCAAGACAATATCATCTGCATGTTCCAATTCTACCAGATGACCTCCAGAGAGCAGATCAATCCCTGTGAAGTCAGATGTACCTAAAGATTTGTCCACCAGCACGTTTATGATGAATTTAATTAGGAACGCTTTGATTAGCGTCATGTACATGCTCAGTAATCCCTCCTCAGTCAGACTTCCACAACCTCTCACGGTCAACAGAGTCAAATACCACTTGCAGGTCAACAAATATGACACGTGTAGGCCACCGATAGATATACCTGCCTTCTACGACTTGTCGGAGGGTGAAATACGTTTGACGCACCCTCGTCTAGGTATGAGACCTGTCTGGTTTTCTTGAGCTTGCTGTTTTCGATCTGCGATTAGGCATCGGATAATAATGGACCCTAGCATCTCGGATACAACATTAGTCAAATTAATTCTCCCCGTATGGTCATCACATGAAGACTTCTCTCTCTTCTTATAAACTGGGACGATCAGTTAAGTAGGCCAGTTTGATGAAACTACTTCTGATTCCCATACACTACCTAGTACCTCTGTCACTTCAATTAGAAATTACCTACCCCATCACTGAAACCTTCGCATGGCAAAGTGTCACGTCATGCTGCTTTGCACTGTTTCAGGTTCGACATAGTCTTCTCAATAAACCTCAAGGAGAACTGAAGGACCGATTTCGATATTTCATTCAAGTTCAGACTGGACACTGAGCAACTGAAGCACTGTTCAGGGCCAGTTGAACTGTACTTCGAACTGTTCTCCCTAATGTCCTGACCAGGAAGGGTACCATCCTTCTCGGTGATCGTCTTACTCACCATCACCTTCTTCTTGCCGCTATCCTTAACAGGCCTAAATGGTTGCCAAGTGTTACCCAACGCTGATGTCTTCCCCTTCCCTCTCGATATCCATCACTGCTCGCGATCGACACACAGACCCTTGTCAACTTACGTCCGAGTTGTTATCGTTCTTCGTCGTGGTCAGTGCCAGCTGGGTAATGAGTCTTCACACATAAATCATTTTGGATGACGTAGCGGAAATCCAGTGGTGTTTGCTAACCTTCGGGTGTAGATCACCAGTTGTCTTTACGGCTGTTCCTACAGCAGACTTAATATCAGGATGAGCATTGCTGTCACCTTCAGATAAATGCTTAGCTAACCCCTCCCCTTAATACGTATATGGCGTCCTCATCTTTCAGTCGATCACAAACAGGCTTTATTATCATATGTTTCCTGCGACCAGTAAGGCACAGACACACACGAAACCGTACTGGCGCATAATCGGAGTATAAACTGGTACTCCAGAAAGGGCAGAAATCCTTCACCCATCATCTCCAACGATGGGTCATGGCAACGTGATCTATCGGTGGAGACCATGTCAGACAGTCCCTCTTCTTATCTCTAAAGTTAGTGCCGACCAGAAAGAAAATTGCAACGGACGATCATTGTTGTTGGTTTGTTAGCATGGGATTCCATAAATATCTCCGAGATGCCTTTCCGATGGGCTCAGCTTCCCTACTTAGCTGAGCTGCTTTCCACATTGCGGAACGACCGATAGAGTTCTGTCATCACCTAGGAGTGGACAACATTAAGTTGTTACCGCGGGACCAATCAGTGTGAAGATAGGTTGCATTTGGTTGGGTCTTGTGTACTACTGGAAGCGTGCGGGCGGTTGACACTTCCCGGCTGTTTACACCATGGAAAGCTATTTCTTAATAAGGTACCTGAGAGGAAAAGATTTATGTGACCCCAGCACCCACAGGACATCTGCGTGCGGCTAGTCACACATAGCCATTCGCCAATTAAGATCTTGGTTGTTTTTCTTGTGAATCTCTGCTGCGACATCGGTATCCCGCGAGGGGGTGGGTTGTGTCATTTTAGGGCCGACCACTACTAACCCCACTCCTTCCCACTGGGAAGGCACCATCGGCGCGACACTTCAGTTCATCTTAAGGAGACATCTTACCGTTGTCACACCCCATTCAGCTAGCAGCAGTACAACTTCACCCTCAGATCTCCATCACAGTTTAATAATCTACACTACAACGGTAGCCGCCTTTCGTGTTCACTACTATCCAACAGACCTTCCTTGCATAGTAGGAACTCAAGGGAACAAGCGTCCCACCGGAATAGCTCGTTGGGTCATTATGATACGCAAGCCCGACTACCACATCAAGGTATCAGCCAATGATTGGGGGCTGAAAATCAGTGGTGCCGATGTATTCACTCTTTGATGTCTTCTAAAGCTTGAATGTCCTGAATAACCTTCGCTATTAAAATCCTTCGCCTCATTAAATTCTGTCCACTTTGTTGTCAATCTTTTTTATCCGTTTGTTGTTTGGATGCTACTATGAAGTGTTGCAACTTGAACCAACGCTCTTCTGGACTATGTTCTGTGTTGATCTTGTCCGTTTATGTGCCGATATAAAAGAAATGCACTGTTTCTCGTACGCTATGGCATCACTTTACGGAATGACATATTCGGAAAAAGAAAGTAATCATTAAGGTTGCCTGTTAGTATTTTGATTTGTTCTTTCCAAATGGTTCACTATTATAAGTTAAGTTTAAATACTCCAGGGTTGTTGTAATTTTATTCTAAATGCACCTACTATCTAGCATTTACTGAAGAAACATTGCAGATGATAGGTCATTTCAGTAATCGACCAATTAGGTTTCATCTCAAACTTACCAACTGTATTATACTTCATCGTGTTATCAAAGTGGAGCAATATTCTATGCGATCGAAAATGTGTAAGCAACTTTCTCGCACTCGTATTCCTAGACATCACGCTGGTATTTATAGGAGTAGCTGATGTTTTAGTGCAACCGTAAGTTCTAGACCTTGTTTTAATTTGTTTTGACGAAAGTTGAAGGCTAATATCTGTTTTGGTTGTGGCATTATCAACTATTAAACTTATACTACACCAAAACTTGGGAATAGTTAAAGAGCATACTTGGTAGAAGTCATAATGAAAGTCACGAAAAGACATCATTTTACAAAATCTATATTGTTATTTCAATTTCTTCGTCTAATACATCAGCACCAGCGTGTTTTAAATTCTGAGCAGCACCACGTTTTGTCATAACAAAATCGTCTTCTACTCTCATACCGATACCGAGAAACTCCTTAGAAATACCCATTTTCCCCAGATCGTCTCGGAAGTATATACCCGGTTCCAAAGGGAAAACGACTCCCGCTTGAAGAAGTTCAGTATACGGTATTGTTGGAGTATCATGTACATCCAAGCCAAGATAATGACCGACATGATGTGGACAGATTTTTTGCGCCATCTGGAATATTTTTAAACGAAATTTTCATGTAACGCTAAGGAGGAATATATATATAAACATATGGCACGCTGACATTTTCTCATGCAGTTGCTGGGTTTACAAAACATTATCAAATGTCTGTGTTAAAAGCAGTTTTATTTAGATGACGAATTAGCAGGACATTTGACCACTTGTACTCTGCGACGCAGATATCAGTATTCAGCTAACTCTTTAGTACTTCTAAATCCAGAGACTAGATGACATACTCCAACCCCTACCTTCATGACATTGTATTTGTCCTGCTTCATAAATAAGTTATAATAAGGTTTTGTTTCACGTCAATAAAAACACATTGTTTCTGTTCATTACATTAGGAATTTCTTGATGTGGTTTGAAGTGTATCCCCAATATTTTGAACAAAGTATGTTGATGAAAAAAAAAAGTAACTTCGGTACGATTGTCAAATGCTGCACTTATAAGATGTATACGTAATCTGGGAATTTCATATTTTTAAACAATTCAGTAGCATGAACGTATGAGATATCAATACAGTGACCGATATTGGAAACAATTTTAGCTGTGCATTTCTCGGAAATGCACCGAAAACAAACTGGTTAAAGTTGTGTGCAGCATATTCTATCCACTTTCAGGTACAATAATGATACCAACTTACACAAAACCTGTCGTGATCTGGAATAATACGTTCATTAACCAAGTGTCGTCCTATTTCTGATAACATATGGTGATATATATCCTGTAAACTCTTCTCAGGAGAGGCGAAAGAAGCACACGACCTTTGCACATCAGTTAGTATTTCATATATAACTTTCTGAGGTTTTGAAAATTGACCTAGTAAATAAGCAAATAAAAATGTCAATTCAGAAATGGTGCATCTTAACTTAATATTTTGGTAACGAAAAGATGTACTGCAGTTATTACGTAGGGTGCAACAGACTGAATAAGCCGTATTTCCGAAAGTACCTACCTGCAAAAACTAGGAATTCTGGTAGGATTTCAGCAATAATCATCAACTATTCTAATTCGTCACAGAAACGGGATCATCGTCAGTAAAGGTATCCGACAACAGTAAAGTCTCTGACTGCACCACTGTATGCTGTAAGATCGGATCCCTGAAGAGACATTAGTTCTTTTGAGGAAACGGTTACATCTTGCTATTGAATACCAACGAGCACGGCTTCCTGTTGATTTCTCCTAAAATCAAACGAGGTACATCACCATGCTGAGTCTTCTAGCATCGTGACCACATTGCGAAATTGTCGATCAGCACTTCGGACTGGGAAACGTGGAATTGATGACCATTCAGTTTATCATAGTAAGTGAATCCCAAACTGAGACGCAATTAGATTTAGGTCCAAGATAAGGATTATATACCGTCAAATTGAATTGCCTGCAAGGGCTAATTTCTCTAGCGTTTGAAGAGTGGAAGTTTTTCTGTTAATCAACGACCTGTCTGGTGTAGCTTCTAAACCATAAGGCACAGTGTGATGATTCACTTCACTACAGAAACAAATTCTCAGGAGTCTGGTTGAATTCAAACCAAACTTTACCATGCTTATTACTCTAATTTGAAATCAACAGGGACCTAAATATTCCACATACAAATTGGTCAAGTAAACAAAATCAGCGTGGTTTCTACACCTTAAGTGATTAGTCAGTCTGTCAACACGGGACTAATTATTACTGAGTTGGTATCCAAACTGCTACATTAAGGTACATAACAAAAGCCAAGGAAATAAAAATAATATAAAGTTAAACAGCAAAAGAAACAGACTGAAGTAAATCACAAATTAAGACAATGAATAGGTGTGTGTGCAATACCATAAACAATTCTGAGGCATACCACTAGCAATCCCTCACCATCGGTTCCAGTTGTCATATGCACTTAACCAAGAAATCTGCATTGACCTACTCCGATCATATTAACTTTCAGATAATTCATGGTCTGTCGTCGTTTTCTAGACTCATCAGTTGATGATGGGGTTTTACGCAGTCTGTTGGTGAAAAACCTTGTCTAAATGATTGTACACATTTTTAAGCAAGTTGAAACTTGATTTCTTGGACAAAATATCGCTTTTCATTTTTACGTGTATCTACAGCCACTCCTATCCCATTGTTACTATGACTGCCAGGTAATGAATCATGTTACTCACGGGAAACTTGATTCGAACTCTAGCCAATAGGTTAAAAAATCGTTTAAAAGTTGCTTAAATCTTAATGGCTGGTGTAGAGCTCAAGCTCATACTTTACCATTTTTAAGGAGAACATTATAGTCAACATATTAGCTTTTATCGCCACCCATTTTTGTAGTTCATTTGGAAAATATTTATTCATATGATAGCAGATGCTTCCAGACCAAAAAATGGGTCAGTATATTTCGCAGAGCTGTTGTTTGGTAGTCTATCAGTCACCCCTCTTACTTTCCCCCCTGACTCTTGAACCAAAACTTCGATACTTCATATACAGAAACCACGTTTTGCTCAAATCAACCCAACCCAACTAAATTTCAGTCAATAACGCATATTAAGATAGATGATGACTAAGCCTGCGTAAAAATTACAATCACTTCAGTCGATGCAAGTTTAGAACCACAATGGCTGGCTTACCTCTATGACCCAGTACCCTGCAATTAACGTCTAAGCTGTGCACATACTGTGTTGGTTCGCCACACCACAATCAATGCTTCAAGGGCTACAGTGGTCAGACACCCGATGCCTTCGAGTATCCTTCAACTAAAACTGCCATTATAAAAGAAATATATTTATAACATCCCAATGAGGTAGAAATATGAATTTCTGATGTTTCATGACGTCGTCAGGTAATAAAAACTATACAAGCTATCGCATGTTTAAATAGTAAGTGGAGACAAATGAGATCTCGTCGTTCATACATGATAGTTATATGGTTATAAATGTCACTGGTATCAGTTATTAGTTTGTGAGGTCGAGGTGAAAATTTCTGCACATGTGAATGGGTGAGAAAAATATCATGTAGATGATAAATTCGGTTTGTTTGTGTGTATGAACTTCAGTTATGATTAGTGTGTGCAACGTGTCATTTCGGATATACTGTCAAAATTGGTTGCATAGTTAGGTCTTCCTTTGTGTTGAGTGCATTGGGACTCAACATAATGTGAAATACCCCAGCTATCCATCTTCTCTGGTAGTTTGAAAATCCTTTTTGAATAGTCTTGATATTTTTGATATCAATTTTGTGACGATGACAGGTGGCGTGAAAAACGACTGTCAATTTGATTTGTGAGATTTTCAGTTCCACATAATTCTTTTTACGTCAATTTGTGTAACTTACAAGTTCTTAAGCACAGAAAAGGGTCTCGCGGAATGATTCAATATAGCAGGCATCCCAGTCGATACAACCTAATCTGTAGACACAGTTCTGTGTGGTACAAGGAATTCTATCCTTAAAGTGAACTAAAGCGTTCCCTGAAAACGTTGGTTGTCTTCTAGAAGGCTGTAATTCGTCGTTTTTATGAAATCCTTGGTAGCTTCTCAGCTGAACCTTGACAAAATGGTGGAACTACTGTACTAATTCAGGACTCATCAGTTGATATCCAGCTTGGATTCTTTTGCTAATAGACTTTAATCTACTGAAGGATATTCCCAGGGTATCTTTTGAAATGTAACACATCTATTATTTCTCTTATCTATCGTCTTCATTCGTGATGAGCTTTGTGGCCCTCCTGATTACGTTTCGAGCAAGTGGAAGTTTGACATTGAGTGAATGTGCTAAGTTGAAACCAAGATGTCGATCTGAATCTGTTGGTTTACGATAAATCCATTTTTATTCCTTTTAGCATTAGTCTTTAAGTGGTAGTTCACCACTTGCATTTTTCAACATAAATTTGATATGGGGAATGAATATTAATCAATCTAGAAAGGTCCTCAGGGTTAATCTTTTAAAATTATGTTTCATCTACATATTTGAGCTAAATACATGGTTTGCAACGAAAGGGGACACCGAAAAACCCATTGCCACTCCATTTGTAGCAAAAAACTAAAAACTATGAGGAAAAATCCAAGTGGAATATCAAAAGATGAGTCGTCAATTATTACAGCACTTCTTGCAATTTACACAAATCGACGTAAAAAGAATTATGTGGAACTGAAAATCTCACAAATCAAATTGACAGTCGTTTTTCACGCCACCTGTCATCGTCACAAAATTGATATCAAAAATATCAAGACTATTCAAAAAGGATTTTCAAACTACCAGAGAAGATGGATAGCTGGGGTATTTCACATTATGTTGAGTCCCAATGCACTCAACACAAAGGAAGACCTAACTATGCAACCAATTTTGACAGTATATCCGAAATGACACGTTGCACACACTAATCATAACTGAAGTTCATACACACAAACAAACCGAATTTATCATCTACATGATATTTTTCTCACCCATTCACATGTGCAGAAATTTTCACCTCGACCTCACAAACTAATAACTGATACCAGTGACATTTATAACCATATAACTATCATGTATGAACGACGAGATCTCATTTGTCTCCACTTACTATTTAAACATGCGATAGCTTGTATAGTTTTTATTACCTGACGACGTCATGAAACATCAGAAATTCATATTTCTACCTCATTGGGATGTTATAAATATATTTCCTTTATAAGCCATTTACCCAATCCTCAACATATTCAACTCTATCAGGTCAAAATTTGATGAAGAAGTCTATATAATCACTGTTTTACTGTCACGTGTAAGAACGGCAAAACAGTGCGCAGTATACTTGATCCTTAGAAGACAACTGGAGATCTCATAAATAGAGTAAAGTGGAAAACGTCAACTAAGCCTTTCGTATACGTATTGAGGTTTTGTCAGCCACCAACAAGCAGAGTGACATAACTTTGCGAAAAAGGGAATTGGTCAACGTGCACCTTTACTTCATTCTGTATTACAACACTAAAGGCAAGAATTGGAGTGAATATGTATTTTTGTCAGTTTCATCAAATACTTTCATTTTTATCGGTTTATTAGATTTATCATACAGTGTAACAGTATTGTTTACCGGATTACGTTTTGGACAGCATTTGTTGTCCTTAGTCATATCAAGATAACTACACAACTTGGAGACGTCCTTTATATAGTCCTAATTTCTCCTCCTCCTTTGTGATATGGGTAATAAGATTTTTCGCATATCCGGAACACGTACTGAGTCATTCCTGTTGCACGTGTTAGGTGTTGATTTCATAAACAAAGATTCAGTTACCATTATCTTCCTGCCCCATTCTATGATGTGATTGTGTGTAATCCTATGCATAGCTATGACTGGGCATTTCAACAGGATGTACTAATTTTGACCTAGCTAGGTTTTTGTGCTCGGATGGCCTGATTGATCCTAGCCGACTACTTTAACCAATGTATTTCACCTCACAGTCGTGTTTAGGGATTTAGTTTATCAAATTATTCTGCTCAGTTGGGTCAATAGAATTTTCTAACCTACAGAGTTTACTTCCGAGTTTGTAGGTTTAAATGCCACTCTAATCCCAGCCAGTCTTATTGAGAATTCTACGTATTGTTTCTGAGGTGCCTTCTTTGTATGCTAATACTGTAGAGGTTTCAAATTTTCTCTTCACAGTACTGCAACTGCTATTATTATCATTATTACTGCTATTATTAACCCCTGTGTTACTAATATTTTCCTTACGATTCCTAAGGAAGTTATGAACTAATTTGGGAGGGCAATTGTTGATGAGTAAGGTGTCTTTGATGTATCTGGTTTCTTATGTTAGATTTTCTGTTTTACTACTAAGTTTTCCGTTCCTGTTACTTAGACACCATACTAAGCCAACTTTACCTGGCACGGGGTGAGACGATTTGAAGTTCAAGTGTCGATTTGAGTGTGGAGGTTTTCTATAGACACTAGCGTCTTAACTCCTCTCTTGTTTTCGTTTTATTCTACAATCCAACATAGCTGATTCCCCTTCACTAGTTTTTAATTCACACGTTAGTTGGATTGCGTTGACTACTGGACTTTTGTGTCTTAACAAACTATATGTGTTCCCCAATTTCAACACTATCAATATGTCACTTGCATATCGAAACTAAAGTTTTGGAGCAGGACTAAATGTTTCCACAGTCATCCGTTCCCAACTATCCATAAATCTGTCAGCCACAATAGGGGATATTGGTGATCCCGTGGAACCTCCTTGTGTTTGTTTGTATGTTTTATTCTGAAAACTAAAGATTGTGGGAGTTAGGCATAGCTGTACTTCTAACGTGATATCATCTACTGGTACCCCAGTTCGTACTGTAAGCTCGTCGTCATTATTGAGATCATTTCCAACTGCTTCCAGAGCCATGCTAATTGGTATATTAGTATACAAACTAATTACATAAAAACTAACCATTTTTTCATCATCATCTGAATTTATGTTATTTTATCTATGCTTTAAGTCATAAAAGATAGTAAGTCTTGGTTTAGAACTGTTTCTAGCTGAACATAATTCTGTCGCTAAATATTTAGATAGGACATAAGTAGGAGTGTTTCTAAAACCCACTCTGGGTCTAATAGGATAACCTACCTCATGAATTTTAATAGTTCTATAAATCCTACTGAGATTATTAGTTTTCGGCATTAAATTAAATCATTTCGACTCGCCTGGAAACGGTTTTATTCAGCGTGTTAGATCCATCGTGGTTTTTTAAGCTTTATTCATAATAGTGTCCATTGATTTCTTAACTTCCTCGTATGGTCCTGTTTCTATATGTCCCTTAACTTTCTGAACATAATCAAACTTGTTTAACACTACTGTTAAGTTGCCTCTGTCGGATTTAACAATTACTATATTTCACACTTAGAAAGAAAGACACACTGAGTGGTTTCATTAATTTTGACACACAGTTAGCTGTACATTAAACTGATTACGGGATTCAAAATGCGTGAGAGTTTATTTCACAATATAATTAATTTCTAAAGGGATTAACTGGTACAGCAACTATCAACTACAACTGGACCAAAATTAAAAACCCTAGCTGACAATTGTTATACCAGGTAGTGCTTTTATACACCAATTATCCGAAATCTTGTGAAATAAACTCTTACACATTTTGAATCCCATAATTCGTTTAATGTACAGTTGTGTGTCGAAATTCATTTAACCGCTCAATCTGTTTCTTTCTAAGTATGAACTGTTGCATTTAAACATAGAATCTGTTGAGACCGATAAAGATACACATCTGCTCACATTCTTATCTCTTCTAAGTTACCATTTTAACATTGCATATATTGTTACATGACTTATTAAGTGCAGAGATAGAGTCTATAGACCAAATTTACTATCTGGGTACTACATAAAGTGGTACAACATAGGTAAAAGGTGTTTAATGTGGGACTTTTGAGGCCAGTCAGCAGGAAGTCGTAGATATAGGTTTTGTACTTACTGACACACCGACAAAACACATCCGCAAACCTGAGGAAAACTCATATTCTGTCGAAGATTCGCACACTTTTCACGCAGTCCCAATAGATTATTCGGATTACAGCTGATTCATCGTGCGAACAGATAAGGTACGTAAAAAAGTTGCTTGACGGTAAGCAATGCATTTCTCGAGTCCTATCGATGAATGGTAGGATGTAGCAAAACTGGATCCAAGGCTGCCTGCCAACTTACTCTAAACACCTTTTACCGAATATTTCACAACTGAGAAACAAATCGAAGATTGAATCTTCAAAACTATATGACTGTTCATAAGGTTTAGTTTGTTAGCGGAAACCTACTTCGCGATCATAATTTTAAGCTTCCCTTATGAACAGGTTTTCAAAACGTTTACTCTAAATAATTGGATGAAACCTCTAAAAAACCATATTTAGTAAATAAAATGATGACTACCAATTCCAGATGCCTACCGTTGACTGGCCAAGTTCGAGTAATGTCGGATGTATATCCATTCATGCGACAGCCAGCATCCACTAAGACTAGCTCTCCGTTTTTAATTTCCGAATTATTTTTCATGTAATGTATAATATTCGTTCGTTTACCACCAGCAACCACAGGTGGATATCCGATAGAACAGCCTCGATTACGCATTTGATATTCGATGTGATTTTGCAAAGAAGCTTCCGTTATTCCTGGTTTTGTGATTTGCTTAGCGGATTCCAAGGATTCAATAGCTGCGATAACTGCAGTTTTTATCTGACGAATTTCATAGTTTGACTTTGTGAAACGAAGACTGTCTATTACACACTCGGGATTCTGAAAACTGATACTTTTATCGTTTATCTCCCTGAAAGTCTGTAGAATATTTTTCAGGATAAAGTTATTTTGAGGACGCTCAACAAGATGGTTTGATGATAATGGAATGTACCAAAAGCAAACAGATCGTGAAAATGAGACTTGATGACGTAAAAAGTTACAGAAATCATTTAGAGGATGAGAATCACTAATCCCAGTTATTGAAGATGCTTCTGATAATGTTAAAGAAGGACCATCCCAGATTTCTTTATGTTCATTGTGAACATCAAGAAATAAATGAGTTGACCAACAGGCATCACTTGGGTTAGGGCTTTCTTCAACCTTACTTTTACAAAACAATAAAACTCCATTCGGTTCATTTAGTCCTGTGAAATAAAAGAAGTTGGAGTCTTGATGGAAAGGATACGGGACATGATATGCCATATATTGTACTTCTGACGCTGGTATTACAACTAGATGACAAGACGACCATTTTGGTAACTCCTTTGCGAATTCGTCAAGCTTAGTTATAAAGCTTCTACGTCGACTCTTCAGCTCTAGAAGGGGGACAGAAGCATTAGCTGTCAAACAAACCGACGAATGGCACAAAGTTCCAACTGATGTGAAGTGTGGAAACCACAATTTAGAAAGTTTCGTTAAAACATAAGTCATGGGATTGATGTACCACAAACTCGTCACACCTGTAAAATAAAATACATGTAGTCCATATAAAAGTGGCTATCGGAGATAACAGTGAATGGATTAAAAACAACAGATACGAATCAAACAATATATTTTAGCTAATCTATTTTACAAATGTATGTTTATATATTATGTTGACAATTTATTTTATTGATGATGCCGCAGAAAGTTAATTTATTATGCAATATTAATTTAAAAAGACAGTAAGATTGAATAGGAAAACCGGCTCTTTGAATAATCATACACTCCTACATAGTAGGAAATTTTCTATTATTTTACAGATTGTTTTAATTGAACAACTCAACTAATAGACATGTCTCTGTATGAAGATTGAGATGACAAACACGATGTTTAGAAACATGATATTTAATAGCTTTGTTTTAAAGGAATAGCTTAGTGTTCTCATTCTTATGATAATTACTGTTACTCGGTTGAAATCTTACAACTATACTGGTTTTCCTGTGTTTAACAGTGGCACCATAACGATACACAAACACAACTTGGAGGTGTTTGAGGATTTTATTGATTTCAGGTTAATATTCATCATGGACTGACATCAGTTGAAGAAAAAGTGAAAACCTGGGGGCAGTTGTTTTGTTCTAGTATGCGACTCATCTGCAATGCGCACGAAACAGCTATCCAGTGCGCCCATACTTCCAGTGTTTCTGCAACTGATATCAGTCCATGATGAATGATGAATACCGACCTGAAGTACAGTAACTATCTACAGATATATATTGCAAGAACCGACCGTGTAAATGGGTTGCATATGTCTTCAGTATTTTTTGGCAATAAATGAATTAATGATTCAAAATAAACTACATGAAAATTAAGAACAAATCGAATTCGCTATTTTATGAACTGCCTAAGGAGATTGAAAACAAAGTCGGGGCTGGGACAGTTTTGCACCCATCTAAGTTGGTGAAATTGACAAAAAAACCAACCAGAGAAAAAAAGGAATGGCAGTTAATTAAACGGTATGACACAAGTAGTTAACAAAAGAAAGTGAAATAAAGTGTAAAGTTTAAGATATTCAGTACCACATGTTATGGCTGCTTTAAAGATTGATTTCGGTTATAAAGCGGACTCCAACTAAGAGGGTAAAATATCTGTCTTGCTGTCCTAAGGTTTTTTCAAACGCATTTAAGCCAATGCAAAATAAAGCACACTGAAGTCGATAGAGTACAAGCCACTCTGCGAATTCATAAGGTGAATTTGAAAGCAATACATTTCAAGTTGGTATTCATCGTAGACTGACATTAGTTGGAGGAATGATGGAAACCTGGGAGCATTGGACAGCTGTTTCGTCCTAGTATAGGACTCCTCAACAGTGCGCACCCACGACCCCGCCAGGGGTCGAACTGATATCAGTATACAATGAATACCAACTTGAAATATCTCTAAATCTCACAAACCCCCAGATCTAATTGAACTAGTGCTTATCGGTGACTAGCTTCGAGAGGTGATTCCCGAAGTTCCAGTGAGAAGTCGTGACCAGTGGGGCAGACCTGGTGGCCGTGAGGACAAATACTCAACAATGACATTGGGTGGCGGTCTCGCTATATCGTGAACTGACAGAAGTGGGAAATATGGACCACTGAATTTCAACCCAGCGGCTCAATGGTAACGTGCTGGCCATAGAACCTGAAGGTCACGGGTTCGACCCCCGGCCGGGTCATGGATGCGCAATGCTGAGTCCCACACTAGGACGAAACAGCTGTCCATTACTCCCAGGTTTCCTTTGTTCCTCTAACTGATGTCAGTCTACGATGAATACCAACTTGAAATATCTCTAAATCCCCACAAACCCCCAAATTCAACAATACATTTTCCTTGTAACCACGATGATGAACTTTTACGTCAAAACACTGATTACATATTTAATTATAACGGCTACTCATTTTATAGAATTGGATTTTTTTAGATACCTCAGTGATGTTGCTATGAGGGGTATCGTTCAGATTCTTGTGAATTTCTCTTAAAGACACTTCATCTAATAATATTTGAGGTTCTGTCGATTGCCCCACTCCTTGAAGTAGAATTGATTGACACTCCATATCATATTTTGATTTAACAGTCACTGCTGGAGAATTCCCTTTTAAATCTATCTCTTGTTCTGACAGACAATTTAACTTCACATCTACGATTTGCTTTTTGAGATTTCTAATCTCTAGATTTCTTCTGTTGACTTTTTATGTCCTTGTTTGCACTTCTATTAAACAGCCTAGATCTCGAAGCCAACATAATAATTCAACAAGGCCAAAAGACCCGGTGGCAAGGTATTTAAAATTTTAATGCATCCTTAACCAGGGTACATTGCATAAGTGTCTTTTGGGACTAAAATGTTTTACTTAGGATCAGTTTGTTTCTGGGTATAACCGCTGTGGAGGTGTGCTGACCTTCTTGTGAGCATGATTCTGTTCTTGAGTAGGGGATATAATAAAATGATGATGAGCACAATGATTGAGGATATACTAAGTATCCTAGCTGTTGTGGTAGAAAACTTGCTAGGTGATGATATTTCGGAGCAAGATGGTAGATTGGAGTTAGTATACTGAATTGAGAAACAGGTAGATGGGTAGTAGCAGGTCAAGGTGTTCTGAATGGCTTGGGAAGACATCCTGGCATTAACACCCAAGGGCACTTAGGTTATAATTGGGATTTAAGCCACGCCGGCCTGGGTAGTCATTTGCTGAACGCATATATCTTCTTGTGGAACAGTCATGTTGTACTGTTCGAAAATAGGATCGATTGGTTGTGGGCCCATTTTGAAAAATTTAGCCTCTAATACGGCACGATCATTTAAGACTTTAGCATGCTTTGTAAGTAGTTTCTCTATATGAAGCGTGCACTAAGATTTCCTAGGGTTCTTGTCCTTTGGACTGGAAGATTGAGATAACATATTTTTCCGGACCAGCAGTTATCACAAAGCTAATCTTTGTAAGAATCTGTTAATTACAATGATGCAAGAAACTAAGACATCTTGTAAGTTTTGGACCCCACTGAAGCTCATCTACAATAAAAGGGAGAACAATGCACTTTTTAAATTCCTATAACAAAAATATACAGTTCATAAAAAACTTGGTAGAACTAAACTTTAGTGACGGTCATTCAAGTACACGCATGCACTGACCAGTCACAATCAAGAATATGAAAGACAAAGTAATTATTAAGGAAAATAGCACTTTATTTACAATTTATGAATCTGTTTTACTCGAGAAATAAAGATCCCTAGATTCTAAATAGGTTTGTCATCTTTGAAAATATACCACTGTCTGCATTGTTACTAATTCATATGAGAAAATATCACTTAAATGATATTGGAGAAATTTCCCCTCGTGGTCCCTATGAAGGTCTTAAGAACTTTCTAAGACGACTTCACATATTTTCAAAGTTGTTTGTATGCACTCCAGTTTTCCAACAAAGTGCTTCTTGTGAACAATAGCTTGGTGGCGTTAACCCATTTCAGATAGAGGCATATATGACTTTTAATCATCTGTGTATATTGTAGTATCCAATGCCATGCATTTTTGCATAACTGATAGGATAAATTTTTTTGATCTATCCTTCATCCACTGAAAATTTCGTTGTTTTGTATCTCGTTCACCAAGAATCTGGTTTTCCAATACTGGAACCGTGGCTCAGAGGCGACTATCAACCAATGGGTCGTGGGTTCGAACCCTGCTTCACCTACCTGGGTTCGGGCAGCGAGGCAGTATTACTAGCCCTCACACAATAGGTGTCGTTCATTGCCTACTGCAGGGATATGCGCAAGGTGGCTGAGTGCGTTTCGTTTCGTTCGGTTTGCCAAGAGATGTGTATGTATACATACATACCTTAGGTAAGTAAGTTATAACTTCCTCAGTCCTGTTTAAGTCATCTGCCTAAGTTATATTCAAGTTTCCAGAAACAAAAAATTCATCTATTTCAACTACATTACCTAATCCACTAAATTTCACATGCAACCTTCAACGAAATCTTCGTCATAATTCAATGGTTTATGCAGCGTCGAAAACACGGTAAATGGACGTAACGAATGCCTTGAACAAACCCTCTCTAACCTTATTGGTTGTCCTCAAGGTTTACCGTCACCAAAGTTTAGTTCCACTAAAAACTTCAACTAAACAGTTTTGCTAATATCTTATGAAGTCTGATATTCTTTAGTTATAAAAGGCAGGAGCTAGCATATTTTCTAGGCATCTTAAGAAGGTGGTATTGAATGAGAACACAATATCACTAGAATTGTTGTTTCTGAGCATTTAGCGGATTACAGAATAACAACGGAATCCGCGGAATAAAGTGTTATGTGAAGCTTTTTAAGATTAATTTCTCCTGGGTCCTTTCTTCAACAATTAAAGTATAACACTGTTAGCGATTGCTGGTCATGCGAGAAAAAGTGTATTGCTACTAAGACTAACTACAAATAAAAAAATGTCACCCTATCGCAGCGCAAATATATATATATATATATATATATATATATATATATATATATAAGACGATGGTAGCTACTGTTTTTTTAGCCATCAATAAACCAACTTTCTAGTTAGACTTCATGGTACCGATGAAAATGAGCCCTTAAGTCAAGGTTGTGGCTACTAAAATGTATCAACGAAAACTAGAACATGACTTAGAATTTAAATCAGTAATTTTTTATGAATAGATTATGTTTATTTCTTGACATACACTACAAACAATATGAAAACAAAGAATAATTAAAGTTTCTGAATATATCCGGTTCGTATGGTGTCTTTACTACCCTTATGGACATGAAGACATCAGATCAGATGCACCTGTTTTAAATCCTGGTGCAACTCTTCAACTTATGCACTAGAACATAATTCGCGTACGACACCTTACGATACTACGGGACTGGTCGAAGTGTACTTGAATGGAAAACGTTCTAAACCTACGACCCTTTATTTGAATTCACGTCAATCAGTCGATATCAATTTGGAATCTCGCATTACTTGCTAAAACTCATGTCGACACATCAAAAAAGAGGGCGATGAGATGAAATGTAAGATTAAAACTCGTGAAGTGGGATGGCGTATAATTCTATAATACAGTATTTATTTGATGTGGCGCACAGTGACACAGTAATCATTGCTATTTCTGTATATAATACCCTATCACTGTGTACTATGTCGAATACAGAATCTGGAACAAGATCAAAGATTGGGTAACAATGAAGAAAGTAGTCAAATGTGGAAGGAAAGAGAGTCAGACAAAACATTGTAGAACCTCCCACATAAGTGCACCGCTTCAAATCGCTAGACCACAGAATTATACAAAGAACAAGTGGATAAAATAACAGTAGTATCAAAGTGGAAAAAGGTGCCCGAGAAAATAAACAATTTGAATATAATGGTTAGTCCAAATATTCAAGATCTAGAATACGTCAAAGAGTGAATACATCTGCGCCACTGTGACTGATTTTCAGCCGTTTCACTACGAGTCCGCAACCACTGACTTCTGTCATCCCAGGGGACCCAACCACAGTCTAAATTTCCATAAACGGTTAAGACCAACAGTGAGAGACTTCGTGAACTAGTGCCACTTCTTGGTCTGGCCTCCCTGAACCCTTCTCAAACCTAATCCAACTTTCCCTAGCATGGCACATCAAAGTAAGCAGTGGTTCGACATGCTCAGTACATGTTTAGGCCATCTAAGTCAACTAAGATTAACAACCTTATCAATCGACTTCCCTTTCATGCCTAGTACCATTCGCCTGACCTCAACATTGCTCACAAGGCGATTCCACCAAACGCGAGCAATGCCACGAAGACATCTATGATCAAAACCCTGCAATTTCTTCATATCTTCTACTTTCAAGGACCAAGTCTCACGGACGTATAACAGGACAGAACAAACTACAGTGCAGTATACTTATCCTTTGATAGATAGTCGGGTACCTCGCCAGAGGGCAGATCAATCCCTGTGAAGTCAGATGTACCTAAAGATTTGTCCATCAGCACGTTTATGATGAATTTAATTAGGAACGCTTTGATTAGCGTCATGTACATGCTCAGTAATCCCTCCTCAGTCAGACTTCCACAACCTCTCACGGTCAACAGAGTCAAATACCACTTGCAGGTCAACAAATATGACACGTGTAGGCCACCGATAGATATACCTGCCTTCTACGACTTGTCGGAGGGTGAAATACGTTTGACGCACCCTCGTCTAGGTATGAGACCTGTCTGGTTTTCTTGAGCTTGCTGTTTTCGATCTGCGATTAGGCATCGGATAATAATGGACCCTAGCATCTCGGATACAACATTAGTCAAATTAATTCTCCCCGTATGGTCATCACATGAAGACTTCTCTCTCTTCTTATAAACTGGGACGATCAGTTAAGTAGGCCAGTTTGATGAAACTACTTCTGATTCCCATACACTACCTAGTACCTCTGTCACTTCAATTAGAAATTACCTACCCCATCACTGAAACCTTCGCATGGCAAAGTGTCACGTCATGCTGCTTTGCACTGTTTCAGGTTCGATATAGTCTTCTCAATAAACCTCAAGGAGAACTGAAGGACCGATTTCGATATTTCATTCAAGTTCAGACTGGACACTGAGCAACTGAAGCACTGTTCAGGGCCAGTTGAACTGTACTTCGAACTGTTCTCCCTAATGTCCTGACCAGGAAGGGTACCATCCTTCTCGGTGATCGTCTTACTCACCATCACCTTCTTCTTGCCGCTATCCTTAACAGGCCTAAATGGTTGCCAAGTGTTACCCAACGCTGATGTCTTCCCCTTCCCTCTCGATATCCATCACTGCTCGCGATCGACACACAGACCCTTGTCAACTTACGTCCGAGTTGTTATCGTTCTTCGTCGTGGTCAGTGCCAGCTGGGTAATGAGTCTTCACACATAAATCATTTTGGATGACGTAGCGGAAATCCAGTGGTGTTTGCTAACCTTCGGGTGTAGATCACCAGTTGTCTTTACGGCTGTTCCTACAGCAGACTTAATATCAGGATGAGCATTGCTGTCACCTTCAGATAAATGCTTAGCTAACCCCTCCCCTTAATACGTATATGGCGTCCTCATCTTTCAGTCGATCACAAACAGGCTTTATTATCATATGTTTCCTGCGACCAGTAAGGCACAGACACACACGAAACCGTACTGGCGCATAATCGGAGTATAAACTGGTACTCCAGAAAGAGCAGAAATCCTTCACCCATCATCTCCAACGATGGGTCATAGCAACATGACCTATCGGTGGAGACCATGTCAGACAGTCCCTCTTCTTATCTCTAAAGTTAGTGCCGACCAGAAAGAAAATTGCAACGGACGATCATTGTTGTTGGTTCGTTAGCATGGGATTCCATAAATATCTCCGAGATGCCTTTCCGATGGGCTCAGCTTCCTTACTTATGCGTTAAAGTCAGTTGTCATTATGACTCAGCTGAACGTTTTGCCATCTGTAGCGAAATTGACAGCTCATCAAATTTATCCTTTGCATCATCCAAACTTCAGTGAATGAGTAGGGGGAGATCACGAACAGGAATTGCTTAGTCTCTTGATCTTGCCTATTCTTTACAGATCCATTTAGTCGAACAGCGCATAGGCGGCTGTTTAGGAGAGTCCATTCGAGCGCACTTTTTTCTCCATAACTGAATGCTATGTCTACGCTATTGAGTTCACAAGAGCTAACCAATGGGATTCTGGATACTCATGAAGTGAATTTTGAAGATTCACTGCACTGCTTAGTTGAGGTCAATTTAATAACCTCACTCAGGTCCTGTATACATGTATCAGAGGCACAGTATACATCTTTGGCTAGAATTTCCAGTTTTAACAGGCGATATCGCTGTCCGATATAGCACAGAGTTCGGACGTTCAAAGCTCCTACACGACATCGATGGCGGTGTCTTAGGAGACTACGAACGACGTTCCAGTGGTTTTGATCATTGACAATGATCGCAGAATGAAAGGTTGGGCAAGGCGTAAGAGGCTTAATATAAGCACCAAGAGGTAAAGTCAAAGGAGGAGACAGAGTTGAAGAGGATAGTTTACCTTAGATTGGGTCTTGTGTACCACTGAAAGCGTGCAAGTGGTTGACACTTCCCGGCTGTCCACATCGTAAGAAGGCTTTCTTAAGATACCTGAAAGAAAATAAAAAAATATGCTTGACCCCAGAGCCCGTTGGACATCTGCCTGAGGCCTTTGGGTGCCGTTGTTTTGGGGTTTAGTTCTTCTAACGCCAGATAGAGAAAACTTAAACCACCAACATACGTAAACCATGAAGCAAGGGAATGTTATTTTGGAAGCGGACTTCTTCTAACCTCTACCTCTTCCCATAGGGAAGGCAGCACTAACGTGGCACTTCTGGTCATCCAAGGGAAACATCTTAATGCAGTCATACCACATCAAGCTGACAGTACGACATCGCCCTCAGACCCGTCATAGTGTAGCAATATACATATTATACACTCCTTTCGTCTTATCAGTATCCTAGAAGCCTTTCCGGTATGGTAGGACCTCGAAGGAACGCGCATTTCAGAGTGGCCAGTTAGGTTATTGTGATATGCAAGTTCGACCGCCACATCAAGGTATCAGCTGTCGGTCGGTCATGAGAAGAGGATGACTGATACAATAATCGAATTCGGTATGATGATTGAAATGAAGATAATATGTGGATACCTTGCACCACTAACATCGATTCTGAGCCCCATCACCTAGAGTCTCTAACCAGTGATTTCACTTATCACGCAGACTCCAACTGGGAAGGGAAGTTTACACCTTCCTCACAATGCAAATATCAAAAGTCAGACTCCATGAACTTACACCCTTTTTTGATCTGGTCGCCTCAAACCTTGTTTTAGTTTGAACCTACTTCAGCTAACATTGTGCGATGAAGCAGACGGTGGCTAGGTATACTTAACAAAGGTCCTAGCCACCTGAATCAATGAACGTTCACCTCATCAACCTAAAACTCTACTACAGAGTGAAGTGTCGGTGATGTGACGGTTGCATAATACATGGTCTGTGCAAAGACAGTAGACCACTACATTACTTCTTCTGATTTAGGCAAGTTTTCGCGATTATTCCCTAGTAACCTACTGCATGTAAAAAGTACGGTTTTATCGCTGAATTATTGTACTTTAGGATTTTTGTCTACAATTATTCACTCTAACAATCTTTACAATTACTGCACGAAAATGCACATAATATCAGATTATTGAAATCACTTCAATCTGTATTCCAGCGGTTTTATGATGACTGTTATAAGTGTCATGTGTTGTGAACGTTCAATCACAACTGATTAGCCCTTCCTTTTTCAGCCGCCATCTTTTTCCTTTCAATTGTTTTGCATATCCCAGACTAGCAAAACTGGGGAAATAAAGTGGGTGAATGGGGCAATCCATTATAATGGGTATTTCGACTAAAACTTTAAAGGAAGTATCAACTCACCAAGTAGACGTAATTTATTTAATATTTTGCAAACTTCAATACACATTACCAACACTTTAAATGGGCAAATAATTACATTAAATTGTGACTCGGTATATGCTCAACATGTGGAAAAAAGACTGAATTACTGAAGTTCATGTGATTATTTGCCCATCTGAAGTCTTGGTAATATGTATTGAAGCTTCCAAAATATAAAATACATAACACCTACTCGATGCTCCCCTAAACGTTTCAGTTGAAATATCCCAAGTAATTCAATGCCCCATTACTTTAATATTCATAAGATTCATTTCAGGAAATTTTTAGTTTGGAATACGTTTAGAACCAAAAGGTTCCCTAGAGAAACTCGTGGTTCGCTGCTTCCGGAAACGGAGAATATTGAGGTGAAATCTTCCTCTATTCCATTATCAACTATTGGAAAATTGAAGACCATTTTTTTTCGTGGCCTTTATTCATTATCTTCGCTTCCGTCCTAACCCCTTTAACGTTAAAATGTCTTTGGTTGACCCCAAAGCCACCTAAACACTTCAATTTTTTAACTACCGTTTATTCATTTCCTTTTGACAGTTGGGTTTATCCATACTTGTTGGTCACTTATCGAAGACACGCAGCTGTAAATGACTTCCAGACTAACCTTAAACTCCGCATGAAGTTGCACATCAGTTGGAAAAGCCGCTCCACTTTCTGGAAATCCAATCCAATATCCAATATTGATAGTGCGAGCGTAGAAAACTAGTAGTTTTTGATCTCTCGCGTCTAGTTCTTAGGGCTTGGTTCCAGTTGTTCGGTTCACTCCTGCAGTGGACGAGGAAATCCCCTCTGCTTTCTTGCTTTTAGCTTCGGTGAGGTGGATGTTTTGTGGGTTAGTAGGTTGTAATTTGTAGAGTGATTAGGGAGCTACGGGCTGCTGGGAAGTTTAGAGAACAACCGTGACTCCTGTCTGTGTAGGTACCTGAAAGAGAATATTAAGGTAGTGGTAAAGGAATGAAGAGAGAAGAAAGGAAGAGTTAAAAAAAAATAAATAAATAAATAAATAAAATAAAATAAAATAAAATAAAAAATAAATAAATAAATAAAATTAAAAATAAAAATAATAGTAATAATAATGTAGGGAAGAGGAAAGGGAAGGAGAATAAAAGAAGGGGTGAAGAGAGAAATGAGAACGAAAGAAAAGTATTTGGGAATTGCCCGAATGGTCGCGTGGGTTTGGTTCCTACAGAAGAATTAGTAGGTAATGTGGGTGTATTAAGGAGAGAGATAGTGAGTGGTAGTTAGGAGGGAGTTGGGGGTACTGAGGTTGGTGACTACCTGAGTACGTCCGTGGTAGTCCATGCGAGGTGACATAACTGTCTAATCGCCTCTTGAAAGAGTCGATTGAAGGAGCTATAACGATGTGTCGCGGTAAGGCATTCCATAAAGCACATACTCTCAGGGAGAAAAATTTGGACCTGAGTGTGGTGTTGGCTCTCTGGTGTGCTATCTTAAAGGGGTTTCCTCGTGAAGATCGTTCAGTTGCAGGCAAAATTGATTTGTTTGCATGGTCTGCCTGATGGGCGATCTTGTATGCCATAATGAGGTCACCCCTTTTCCTGCGATAACCCAAGGTAAATAGGTTGAGGTGTTTAAGTCTTTCAGGATACGTCTTTCCCCTTAGCCCCACAACTGATTTTGTTGCAGTTCTTTGTATTCTTTCAAGGAGATTAGAGTCTCTCTTGAGTGTTGGAGGAGCCACCGTATTGAAGACCTCTAGGTGCGGCCGCACGTAGGATTTGAAAATGGTAAGGAAGAGTTCGGGAGTGAGGGCGCCAAGCTGTCTACGCAGAAAGTGTAGAATGGCGTTCGCTCTGGTTGTCATACCTTTGTAGTTGGAGCTGGTGTCCAAGGTGTCGGAGAAGTTGAGCCCCAAATCTTTCTCCATGGACACTCTGGTGATAGCACGGTTGCTCAACATGTACTGGAAGTCGGTCGTACTTGCCTCATTTTTACTGATGTGCATTACTTTGCACTTTTCCAGTTGAAGCTCAGACCATTTTCCGACGACCAGAGCTCGAGTTGCTGCAAGTCCTTTTGTAGTGCTGCACAGTCGGCTTCTTCGTTTACCACCCTCCAAATTTTTATGTCGTCAGCGAAGAGGAGGATGGGTGAGGATATTTTGTCTGGCAGATCGTTGACAAAGAGGAGGAACAGAAGCGGTCCTAGGATTGCTCCTTGGGATACTCCTGACGTCGACGGTCTCCACTCCGACCTTATTCTGTTCACTTTAGTGCAGAACTGCCTCCCTTCCAGGTACTCCTTGAACCAAGAGAGTAGGGGTCCACTTATACCAGCTGACATGATCTTGTGAAGCAGTACTGTGGGTGGGACACTGTCAAATGCTTTGGCTAGGTCGAGAAATACAGCATGTACAGGTTTTCTATTATCCCAGCTTTGTGTCCAGTCGTCCCAGGCAGTTAGTAAGTTGGTGGCACATGAGCGACCACTACGAAAGCCGTGCTGAGCAGTGTGGACAGTGTTTTTTCTATTGAGGAATTCCCAGATGGTGTCAGCTACCAGGCTTTCCAACACTTTCGACACAATAGGGAGTAGGGCAATCGGCCTGTAGCTGCCAGGGTTTTTTCTGTCTCCTCCCTTGAAGATGGGTGACAAGATGGCACTCTTCCATTCTTTAGGGAGTTTGCACGAGTCTATTGAGTGCTCAAAGAGGTTGCGAAGTGGTTTGGTAAGCACCTCGGCGCAGTTTTTCAGAACCACTGGTTTCAGATTATCGCAGCCAGGGGACTTGCCCGGACGTAGCCTAGATAGCTTCTCGAACACCTTTTTCTCTGTAATAGAGACGTGACAGAGGTATTCGTTATTTGCGACCTGGTCGGTGTCGTGGCGAGTCGGTGTGGATCTTGTGTCAGTGCTGAGTTGGGCTTGGAAGTGTGAGCTCAAAAGCTCGGCAATCTCTAGACTGCTTAGCACACTCCCGTCATGGCCTGTGACAAGATTCACTCCCTTACTGGTCGACTTTCTTCTTGACATGAAGCGGTACAGGTTTTTGGGGTTGCTTTGTAACCTCGCTGCCAAGTTTGTTTGGTAGGAAAATCTGTCGTTACGCACTCTAATGTTACAGAGATTGCGAATCCTTTTATAGTTCAAGAAGTCAGACTCCCTGCGTGATGTAAGCCACTTGAACCAAGCCTGTTTCTTGCTCCGGATAAGCCTCTCTGTCCCACGCTTTAACCATGAGGTTCTCATTGATTGTCTGTGTGTTACTTCTGGTACACTGTGACTGATGGCCCCAGTGATTATTTTCTTCACCTCCAACCAGTGTTCATCTATTGTGAGATGAGTCCAGTCCACTGGCCATGATGCATTCATGAGGTAGTCCCTCATGGTCTCATAGTTGGCCTTGCTGTAGCAAGGGAAGGTGTTGGGCGTCTCCAGTTGCAGAGCCTCCCTAGTTATCATGGAGAAGGTGATTACAGCGTGGTCACTGAGGCCAAGGGGAGGTTGGATGCAAACATCCTCAATGAGAAGTTCATCGTTCGTCAGAACGTAGTCAAGGCGCGATGCGTTTCCGTTAGGTCCCCAGCGTGTAGCATCACCCACTTTCTCTGAGAGGCCAGCAGTCTTAATTGCATCCTTCAGCTTCTGATTGAAGGATCTGATGCGTCTCCCTTCCGTCTCGAAGAGGATGGACGGGGTGTTGAAGTCGCCGGCAATGACTACGGAATCGTAATTTGCAGAGGAAGTCGTTAAGATAGCCTTGATGATCATTTCCTTATGTGTAGGGGAGCAGGTGGGGGACCGATATATGACTCCGAGCAAATATTTGGTACTGTGGAGAGTGAAGTAGCACCATAGGGACTCTGGGACCTGGGTTAAGGCCGTATCGCTAACCATCCTTGCCTTTAAACAAGAGTTTACGTAGATAGCCACTCCTCCTCCTGCTCTATGTTCCCTGTCCCTGCGGAAGAGTTCCATGCCAGTAACATGCATCTCTTCGTCGGAGATGTCTGGCGAGAGCCAGGATTCGGTGATGAATATGATGTCGGAGTGCTGATGTGCACGCAGCGTCCTCATTTCTGCTACCTTCCCTCTTAGCCCCCTAACGTTGCTGTACATACATGTTAGAGTGTGCCTGGTGAGGGGGAGGTCTGGTTGTGTATTTTCGCAGGATGACAGCTTATGTGGTTGGGTCTACCCTCGCCAGTCCTCATAGGACTGGCATTGTTCCGTTTTTTGGTGTTTCGTTATTAACTTGGGTGGGGGCTGTGGCAGTGGTGGCTTCTTTACTTGATGTATCTAACTCACTGGTCAGCGCCTGTGTGACGACCACTGACTCCAGGGTCTTGGTGGTTGTCGTCTCTCCTCTTGCCTTGTGGGTCTAGGCTTACTTTCACATATACGTATTGAGCCACCCATGCGATCCTTCGCATTATACCATGCCTGTAGAACGTCTGTGAGGGAGGCATGTGAGTCGAACTGGACGGCGAGTAGTCTGGGATTGGGTATGGTCTTCAGGTGCGCTGGCCTTGGCAGTCTACTGACGCTGTTGGCCGGTATGCTGTTGAGACCAACTTTGGTTGAGAGCCATTGCCATTGTTGGACGTCATGAAAGTACCGATCTTTGACCGAGCGGTCACTTGGCAATTCTGGAATCCCATGTACAACTATAGTGTTGTTTCTGTTGGGATTTCCAACCGCTGACTTTCTCTCCTCCTCTCTTATTGACCATGGCTTGTCAGGCCTGGCCCGAATTTTACAGGCATTAACAACGTCCGGTTGTCGCGAGAGGAGGAGTGTGTCTTCAGCCTCTTTGGTAGTATTTAGGGACACACGTAGAGGGGGTGGCTTATCTCGGGGTGCACGGCTTCCTCGAGAAAGGCGACATAAAGTTGCAGGGAGGGGAGGGAGTCCTAGCATCTGACAGTAGTCGGTCCACATTCGGCTGTCAAACCGTTCCCTCTCGACCAACAATGAGTCTGTCGATACATCGACGTTGAACAAAATGATCGAGTTGGTCCTCCTGTGACCTGGGTTCGTTGTGGGTGGCACGCCCGACTTCCCAATGGGTTTGAGTAATTCCACTGGTTGTTTCTCAGTCACGGTGTGTAAGGTGTTTGGAATGGGTTTCGTAGAGGCTTTAGCGGTCGATGTCTTTGGCCATACGCTTGACGTCCCCTGGGGCCGGGTAGGAGGTATGGAGACTTGACCTAATATGGTCCCCACGCGAGGTGGCGTGCCCACAGCTGGAGCTCTAGGTCTGTTTCCAGGTCTCTCTGTGTTATCTTTTGGTGTTAACCCTACTTTATTCGAGGGTGCTGGTAGCTTTTGCGTGGCGGAGAGCATCTCCTTCAGGCTTTCTGTGCGCAGTGCGGGCATTTTCCTGCACTCTGGACAGATGTACCAGAACCACTTGCATGGTTGTCTCTTCATCAACTTATAGTATTGTCGGGGGACTTTGGTGTCGCAGTGACAATGCGCCCATCGTTGACATAGGTTGCATGCAAATGCCTCATCGACTACCGAAACAACTTTGGTGCAAACACTGCAGCCATCGGGTGTCGTAATACAGCATTCCTTGCATGAATTAGGTGCTACGGATTGTGACGAACTGCCTGTGGCTGCCTTGTGCTGAAGCCTTTTACGTCGTCTTCTATTTCCAGGCATGGTATGATCCTTGCTCAAGATAGGACTAGTTTGTGACGGGCTAGTGCTACTCTGTGTCACCTGTCTGATGGCTACTGGAATTCTAGAAACATGGGTTGGCCACTTCTTTAGAAGTTCGGTGTTCTGCCCTACCTCTGTTTGCATTCTAGTACAGACTAGTGTGTTGTCTAGGGTGTTTTTGGCCGTTTTTGTGCACGACCGCGTTATCCGTGTCAAAGCTTCAGACCTAGCGTTTTGGGCAGACATGTCGCTATGATATAAACTTCTTAGGAAAACAAGTAGTTAACAACAATAAGAGGGTTGAAGACTGAATGCAGCAAAAGGACAGAATAGAAAAGGGAAGATAATTTATGTTGGCTCACCTTCAGACACTTGTCACTTGATCCTCTGCTCTTGACCAACGAGTTTAACCGTAAGCTCCAGATGCGTATGTATAACCAGGAAAGATATTTCCTGGGGAATGACCTCCGAGGAGAACCGAGAGCTAAGGCAGTTTGGCAGTTGAAACGCCCAAGAACCACTGACAGGAGGTGGACCGGTTGGTTCAAAGGAATAATAATGCCAATTTTCAACTGTTGAGAAGTGGGCTGACGAATACGCAGGGGTGAGGTGCGTGGACGGACAGAAGTGCTGCAAACGTTCGATCTTTTTAGATTGAGTATTGTAAGTGGGAGTTTTTCAATGTGGAAAAATCCAAAAGCTGAGAGACGAGAGAAAACACGTCACTATTCAAGGAGCGCGGTTGGAAAGAATGCTCAATACATTTTGCACAGCGAGTGTTAACCAACAGAATTTTTCATGCTTAACTCCTGGAAGTTCCAGCGATTTCGTAGATCCTTTGTGCACTTCATACAGGAGATCTAATCAATAATTTGCTATAGCTCTAGTGAAGTGAGAAGTGATTTGGTTCAAATGGTTGTTGACGGAATAGAAGGAGCTTCCGCCTAACTGGCTTCCGCGTCTACAGTCCGTGGATCACTACTCCTTTTCGTTGTCAACCTGTTGTACAAGTAAAGAAAGGTGAAAAAGTGGCAATTAAAATGTGAAAATTCACTTAGTTCTGGGCAGATCCCAGACACACATCAAGTTGGTATCCAGTCAGCGTTTAAAAGATCCAGACGAAAAAGTCTGGATCACATCCTCAGGAAGAGCGTTCCACGGTTTAACAACTCTTAAGGAATGGAAGTTGTGCCTGACATTCAGCCTGCCAAGTTCCAGGCACTGGTCCAACCTTCACTTGGTAATAACTGTTGGAGAAAGCTTCAGTTTGATATTTGACAATATTTTGGATACGTTTACTCACTTGGTGAGTCGACCTGTTTTCAGCGGTGATAAACTGTCACGCGAATTTGTAACATGGGCTTGACACGTAGTTCTAATCTTTTTTAATGAGAACAACAGAAGGAACCCATATGACTTTGTAGCGTCACACACTTCCCCAAAATCAATAACCTAGGGTCTGACGACTTTTGGCATTGATGCTGACCTCGGTAGTTTAACTGGACTCGCTAAGCCGAAAGCACCCGTTCAAGCATCCTCGCCATTTGGCACGCTGTCGTGTTACGTTGCACTGCTCGTAATCGACTCACTAGCCAGTTAGTTGGAACGCATCGGAATCTTGGCACAACCATCCAAATACACTATTCCATCCGACTACACTATCGTGTTCTTCCTTGGTCTCGTAATCGTGGGTATATAACAAGTCCGAATAATTAGTGATTGGTCTTTGCGTCTCTCAAGTTTGCACCAGTGCAAATCCTAAACCTCCACTGCTGCTACGAAGGGCCCAACGGCATCAGTTGCACAAAACGTATGACGACAAATGGAGAAATTATCGGATACCGCATCCGTACAACGAAGACTGCACGGATTGGGAAACTCACTTGCTGCCACGCTGTGACATCAGCCATAGCCAGTGGCAGCAGCCAATTCTTTTACGTTACAGACGTGAAAACGATAGTTCGTAACGTCGTCAACGTTGACTTAGAAGGTCGTGCTCTCAATCTAACCACGAAAAGATGGCATCACGGCCTGTCATTTAGCCTGCAGCCATCTAACGTAGCACCGATTAGCACAACTGGAGAAAAGTATTCTGACCTTAAGCAGACATTTTCACTGAACCTTCCTTTCAGTTGATGCTTCCACCACCATCACCGAAGTGGCCTTGTTGAACGACTGTGACTCAACCAGAGATCCCTACCAATGACAAGTGACAAAGATAACGTTCGTTTCATGTAAATTAGCCTGCATGAATATATACTATTTTTTCAAGCACAGATTTCTTGGTACTTTGGAGACATGAGTACAAAAATACCAATTTTTGGAGCCATCTCATCTCATTCCTCAGAAAACTATCGAAGGGTGAGAAATAAGTATAGTTCCTACTGCGTTCTCTAAAGACAAGGTGGTCCCATCGACTTTCGACCTTGATAATGGAGTAGCTTGTACCCTGGTAGGACTTGTTACCTGAATTTGTCGTTTTCAGGTAGGGGGAAACGGTGGTTTGCGGACCACTTTTAGAAAACACGAAGTACATTTCAGCGCATTGGCATTATTAGCCAATGGGATGCGAAAGAGAAACAAAGCGGCATGAAAGGTAGTGCTAGTCACCCAAGAACTCGTGAAAACAACCCTTAAGATGGAAATGTGTAAGACTGAATGAAGAATAAGTGGCTACGTGGCTCAATATTTTATTCTTGCGCTACCTTTGTAGTCTTTTAGGGTGCTCTTCTCATGTCCCAGCTTCAGCTGCTTTACAAGGATGGTGACTTCGTTTTGGATCTGAGAACCTTTATGAGCTTTGGTATCCATATACTAGGCTGCAGTAGGGGTCGTCCTCGATGTCAAAGTAGGGGAAGACATGGGGTGTTAGATGGGAATTCAAAAGGTCCGTGATTTGCAGTTGTTCTCCCTTCCCTTTGGAACCATAAGCTATTGTTTGGGGAGTTAGGGAATATAACACAGGTAACATGGTATTCGATATCACTCTAAAAGGCTTGTTTGTTACCGACGCGGGAGAAAAGACTTCAGATAGGGTTGATTCTCTTCAGTCCTCACCATTTGTTCCACTATCTTCACATGTCATTATGTTGTGCTTTATATTTAGTTTGTTGCTACTAGACCTATCCCCTATCCTATCACTGCTCGTTTTTCCTTATCCTCTACTTTTTTCTCAACCCATTTGGTGCGGATGGCATGGAGGAGGTTAGAGAGTGTTGCACTGGTAATTTGGTACCCAGCGTCATTCTTGATGGGTTTTCGTTGTGCGATGCTACAGTATACCCAGATACCTCAGCCACACCTGACCACCTCGCAGATAAACATGGTTTCCATGACTCGCCGCCACCAGATCTGCCACCTCCTTCTCATGCAGTGGAGCTGTTTTGGTTCCATACACTATCCTTCAGTTTGTTGCCGATTTACTTGTGCTGCGTATCGTCTTCGGATTCCATTTTCAAGGAAACTTCCTTTCCTTTTCAACCGTGGCGCCACTTGCGACGCGCATCTGATCACATCACTTTCGCTTTTGTATGTTAAAGTGGAAGTAAGCGAATAGTTATTAAACAGCACATGTCCATGGTGGTTCCAAAGTCAGAGTAATATGAGCTCTGGGGTAGTAGGATAAATTTGCCCAGGTGAGTGAGGAGTAAAATATTTACTTACCGCGGTTCAGAATGGAGGAGACGCCAAATCGAGGTTTTAAATAAAATGAAGTAAAATAAGAGCAGCTAAAAAACCAGTGTTTCAAAACGTATCACACTGTTTATTACGCCACCCGACTGTTTAGGTGAGTCTCTTAATTAGCTTTTAACTTGGCTTATGCTCCTAATGGTACTTATGTTAGTGCTGTGTATTATTACACTGAGTCCGCGTAAAAGTAGCACCACCGTACGTGGAACCACCGTCTATAAGTTTGTTGCCGGGGCATATGTGAGCGTTGTTAGACAGGAGGAACTCGTTGGGCAGGCGTTGAAACTGGCAAATAGATTAATGTGGCCCCATAGAAGGTGGAAGTTTCTCCCTGTTGTGGGGCTGAAAGTCTCAGTCTTGAATATGTTTTTGTGTACAAAACCCATGAGTTCTCCGCCTTCGGACACAACTGGATCCAAATTCTCTGTGAGAGTTAAACTCATAGGGCTTAGCGATGCCAAGTTCTATGATGGAGTTCAACAACTACTGTGGGATGCCACTCAAGTGTAGTAACAAATCCAGTCAGCATCCACGGAGCTTGAAAAGAGTCTGCTAAGTCCAGCTTTAAGTGAATGGTCTTTTCTGGTCCTGTCGAATTTGATGGAAATCTTCTGTTATCGCTGCGCGAGGGAGACCGTAAGCAATCTTCTAATCATTTGAGAAAGAATATGGTGTGCTGCGTATGATAACGCCACAGATATCTTTTGTATATCATAGGAAACAGTACCAGCGGTATTGTGCTCCTCTGGACGTCATCACTTTGCGTAGGTTAAGGAGAGGAGCAGGAATGACTGAATTTCCCCGCCTGAAAGTGATCCATCAAGGATATTTTGGGCCAGATCTTGAAAACTATATAATCTTGAATTGACGACCAAGCGTTTTTGATAACCTTCGATGAGTGCCTGCTTGAGGCCAAGAAGAAGGGTAGCCACGATCAGGCCAAACCCACAGTTACCTACAACACCACCTAAATAGTCAAGAAAGTAAGCAGCGTATGAGTGCTCTTTCAGGAAACCGTGTTGTACTGGAGGAAGTAGTTGGTTTGCTGTCATGTAGTCCGCAACTTTTGTTACAATCACCCTTTCCATACATTTTGGGTAGCAGTGGCATGATGTCTATAGATTAGCAGTTTCTAGTACTAATTGTTGGTCCATATTTATGCTTGGGAGATATGCATGACAACTTTCAGTTCTCAGGGTGTTTGCTGCCGAACTGATGCGTACAAAAGGGCCTCAAGAGAACCAGAGGAGTGTCCTCACCGCCCGTTTAGGCAAGATATTTGAGGTTCCATCTTATTTAGTGTTGTATGGGGCTGGAAATTACGCTACTGCGCGGGAAATGCTTCGTTCGGTGAATGGCACACTACCTTGGGAGTGAGCATAATGTCCAGTGAACTTGGTTATGATTTCCTTCTGTTGTAAACTTTATATTCACTGTTGGCTGCAACTGAATGATGGGTAACTTTTAATGTACTCGTAAACTTTTGCCCCCCGAACTTGCCCACTAGAGTGCTTGGAATAAACACGTTATACGTCTACCACTCCCTCTTTTTTCGCTGTCTCGTGGCTGTCTGAAACAAATCGTTCAGAGTGTGGGACATCAACCCCTGAGTCCAACACGAGTTTACATTGTTGATTTATCAGCGCCGTATGTGCTGGCTTCGTATGCAAAGAGCTGGTAAACTGATAGCTGGACAGCTCTTAAATTTGTAGTGGGTCCGCACTTTGCCAACGAACAGACTAGGAGGGTCATTTCAACTAGTAGCCTGCCAAAAGCGCAGAGCCATGTGACATGCGAAATGCCCTAAAAGTTTTTTTCTAGTATCCTGCACTCGTGACAGTCACGCCATAAAGGCCTTGTAGGACCCCTGTCGGAATCTAATCGACTTCTTCATATTTTCACCTGCGTGAATCGTTTACGGGATGGTCAGAATGCAGCGCCCATGTTTTCATAACAATATGGTTAGCTAACTGTAGATGTCTGTCTTGTCCCCCACGACAACTATGACCATGGATGCCAAACTGAGTGTGGACAATTCCACTCCGTAACCACACCTCGTAGCG